TTTGAAGCCCAGCAGCTTTTGAGGTTTCTTGTTTGGATTATGCACACATATAATTTTTTACACACACATATAATTTATGGATTATGCACACATATAATTGCTTCATTTGATGATGGAGGCAGCTGGATTGGAAAGATTTTGAGTGGTAGCATTCTGTTTTGTTCATCTATCTTCTGTCTTTAAGTGACAGTATTTAAGAGCAAGAGAGAAAGTCATTTCATGATAACAGTGTCGTTCACAGCAGACTTTTTCCTGAAGCCTTCCCCTCACAAGTGTGGACCACCTTTGATTATACAGGGACATTTTCTGCAGTTTTCTTAGTTTGGGGAAGACCCTGCTCTAGAACTAAAGATTTCAGAGTAACTGTATTAGGAAATATGAGGGAAATATTTATGTGTAATTTTGCCTGTTAGAATCAAAGATCAAAAGGTGTAACAGACCCTCTTGTAGGAAGTAGCAGTGGAACTTGAGGTAGGAAATCTCGCTGCCTTTTACTGATATTTTTAATATTTGGAACTGGAATGAGTAATCTTTGGCTTAGTTAAGTATGAGCACATAGAATTCTTGTGTTGCCCAGGCTCTGAGAGTAGATTGGTAATGGAACCTACATTTGTGTTTTTCATTCACCGATCCAGATAAGTAGAAAATTTACTCCCTTTGAGCACACTGGTGTGTCCATTATCCTGATGGTGTCGTGCTAGGCTTTCTCTATCAGCTGTTCAATAGTAGACATGACATTGGGCATTAGTAAAAGTGGATTGAACTTCAGCACACTATGGCTTGAGTTGGTGGTAGTTTGCCACTGACTACAGTTATGTCTCTTTTGTTTTGGCTTAAGGACTTACTCCAGCAAAAGGACTGTAAACATGGATTACCTGTCCCATATAAGGGGTGCACTTGTACAGCCCTTGATCTCACAAGGGGTAGAAGGAGTACAGGATGTCATTGCTCTTATGGACGCCTACTACTTGATGAAAGAAGACTTTGAGAATATCATGGAAATGAGCAGCTGGGGAGGCAAACCTAGTCCCTTCTCCAAGCTGGATCCCAAGGTAAATTATGTAACCTACTGGTTCTCCATCACTTTGTAATTGCCAGGTTTGTAGTAGAAGTGTTTCAGAAATGTTGTAGGTGCTTTAGGGACGCCTGGGTGGCTCAGTTGGTTGGACGACTGCCTTCGGCTCAGGTCATGATCCTGGAGTCCCGGGATCGAGTCCCGCATCGGGCTCCCGGCTACGCGGGGAGTCTGCTTCTCTCTCTGACCTTCTCCTTGCTCATGCTCTCTCTCACTGTCTCTCTCTCAAATAAATAAATAAAATCTTTAAAAAAAAAAAAAAAAAAAGAAATGTTGTAGGTGCTTTAAAGCGGTTTAATTTTTTCCCCTTTAAATGCTTTTCCTTCTTATGGCCTAGGCTTTCCAAAGATTCTGTTTGAGTGCAGTATTAAGAATGGAGTTCTGGATTTGACCTTAACGATTTGTAGGTTTAGCATTGCTTAACATTGAGTGGAAAAGCAAGACATGAAATCTAGAGAAGCAAATATAAATGTATTCCTTGTAAAAATGATGAGCCTGGGGAAGTAAGTCAGGCGGTGGTAAAACATTATGAAAAGAAAGATGTGTTTATTGGCTGAGGATTTTTATACTTTTTCTCAGTCTGCCTAATCTGTGAATTTAGTATTTATTATAGTTATAATAGTTATACTTTATAATGAGCATGAAAAAATTAAAATGACATAACATGAATTTATAATATCTAATACCTCACACTGCCTATTTCTTTGGTGCCATTTTAGAAGATAAATATTCTCTGTGGCTTGCCTTCTTTAGAATTTTGATCTGACTTTATGGTTATGGGTAAATTCTCCCAAGAGACCACCACTGTTAGAATTCAAGGACTAATTCTACAACTATGTTTAGAAGCTTCAAGTTAAGGCTTTTCAAGTTACTTAGTAGTTTTAATTAACCATTATTATTATGATAAAGCTAGTATTTTTAAATAACCATTATTCTGATGATAAAGGTAATTTATGTATTTTGTGGTACCTAAGGGCCAACTTTAACTTGGACCATATTGTAAGTCTTTTTTGATTTACTGATTCACTGTACCTCTTACTTTGTAGAACAGTGGAATGCACGGTTAAATCTCACAAGTTAAATTTCTCTCTTTTTGTCTGCCTAATGTTCCCAAATACTGGTTCTTATTTTTGACTCACGGGCTCTATTAAGAATGTCATGAAAAATAATAGAACATCATCACAGAAAAATGTGCAGAAATACACTTAAATGTACATATATAATATTTTGCAGAATATTTTAAGGATCTTGCAGGATCTCACAAAACCTTTAGTTTAAAAGGACTTTTTGGCCCTTATATTTTTAACAGCCTCTATTCCTTTCCCGTAGGTGAAAGCAGCCTTCACGAGAACTTACAATAAGGAAGTCCACCTCACTCCATATTCCCTTCAGGCTGTAAAGACACCCAGACACAGCACAGGCCCCGCGCTGGATTCTGAATACAGTGAAGAGTTAAATGAAGATGACTCTCAATCTGATGAGAAAGACCAAGACTCTATGGAAACTGATGCAATGATCAAGGTAGTATTTTAAGCTACAGACAGGAAATGCCATGATACTCCCTCAGTATTTTTATCCTTTCTTGTGTACAACTCGCCTTCTGAAATCATTCAGGGCCTGTTTTAAATTTTTAGGTTCATCACATTGAGGGTGGAGAAAGGTGTAGATTTTATTCTTATAAATAGCTGCTTATAATAGTGGAAGAAAGCAAGAAAATAGGCCATCATATTGATGGTCATATGCTATTTTAGAAAAAGTACCATTTTTGTTTGGTCATTGGTATGTTTTACAATAGGCACATATTTTACAGTTTCATTAAGAAAAAAATTTTCAGTGAAACTGTTTCTCTCTTCTGTAATTTGTTTTGCTATCGCCATCGAACTGCCTATAGAAGTTTCTCAGGATGAAACCATCTTGTGCTTGGAAAGATTAAAACCATTTATGGTATCCGCTCACCATTTACCGCTGGCTAAGGCAAAGGAATCTAGTCTCTGTTCTTTTCTATCCTTAGTGTGTGTCATTCTTGTCCCTCATTTCTGTTTTGTATATGCAGGGGAGGGAAAAGTGGCCTTCTCCAGTATAGCTCTTTAGTCTTCCATAGACATGAGAGATTGTCTCCCTCTCTCCTCTTCTCAAACTGATGGGAAATTCTTCTTTAAAACATTATCTTATTAGTAAATTATGTCCTGTTTATTTTGTCTTCCCTAAATGTACCTATCTCCTAAATCCAAGACTCTGTGTGCCTGGGGAACATATCTTAGTTGTAGATTCTAAATAGCTTTTCAGTAGTTAAAGGCCCCAACTAGCCCAGTTGTTGCTTCAAAGCAAGCTCATCAGATGTAGTGGTAGTTGAAGGATGTTTGCAACCTTTCTTTTTATTAAGTTGCAGGTAAAGATTTGCTTCATTGTAGAAATTGACTTATTTCACTGCCTCAAATACAGCTATTAACTATTTTGTGCATTCTTCTCTCCCAACAGAAAAAGACAAAATCTTCAAAGCCTTCAAAATCAGAAAAAGATAAGGAGTCCAGGAAAGGAAAAGGAAAAAGTTCAAAGAAGTGAAACTGTTTTCCACTACTGACAGCCACTTTTTACTTGCCCTGTTGACCAGTCTAGCTTGTCTAGATAATGCCTTGTTTTTTCCAAAGGAATCATATTTTAGTATAATGGGGCAACTCCGTGGTCCCATTATAAATAAATGGTGGTACAGCTAGAGGGATGTAACCAGTAGGCTAACATACGCCTCTTATAGAGGTTGATAGGACTGCTTGGGTCCTCCACTGTCCCCTGTCAATCTAATTAGATTGTGCTTCAAATTGTGTATAATCAGAAACTACATGTGGGCTTTGGAGTCAGATTTTAGGTAACAGTAATATGCCTGGGAACATTGGTACTAAGGCGACTTTTGTAGGCTTAAGAATTTATCCTAATGGCCTTTATAGGACCAATGCCGATTTTTTTTTAAAAAGGTAGTTACTATGATGTGGTGAAATTTTGTAAATAAATCATAATACAAAACAGTCACCACCTAGAGCTGGTATTCTTTGTATATTGTCAGATATCATACAAAATATAAATTAGGAATAAAAATGTTCCACGCGACATATGTGCAAATTCTTAAAATGTCATCTTGTACAGTAAAATAATATGTTGGTATATTACATTCCTTATTAGTTTGCAAATGATTGGGTAAAAAGCTAACTCTATTCCTCACTAACCAGCTGTGTGAAGCAGAACTTCAGCAGTTGGGACAGTCAGAACTCTCATTCCTAACCTGAGTACCTCTGTGAGTGCCAGCGGGATCTCTGTCATGAACAGCATGTCATGGAGAGGCCCCTGTGGCATCACTGGAGGGGATGGGTGACTGTAAGCCACATTTTCAGCCTTCCAGAGTCTCAGCTCATCAGGTTTAAGCCAGTAGGGTGTAGGCTGGGTCAGGATCTGTCTCACTCTGCCTTGGGACAACATGAATGCTGGCTTTCGTTACTTTTCCTCTGGGAGCTCTGGTTCTGCCCTGTGAGCGATTGTACAGATCATACTGGAATTTTGGATGGTTCTGTAACTGTACTTGCAGAGTGGCTCTGAGGCCGTGGAAGTAGCCTGGAGTTTAGTTGTCTAGCTCTTTTGGAATTTTGTCAGTAAATGCTCAGAGGTATGTGCTAAAAGGCATGTAAAATTAGGATACTATTTCCTCCCTTTGAGTAATTGACAGTCTTGTTTGGGAGGTGAGACATAAAGTTCTTGAGACATTTAAAGTGTATTTACGAGTGTGAAAAATGTCTTTCCTGTAGCCTGACTTCATTATGGAAATTAAACATCGCCTTTGGCCTTGTCCCTCTCTGTCAAAGCCCAGCTTGGAACTTCTGCTTCAGTGAAGAGCTCCTCGATTGATGACTAACTCACCTCACCAGTGGGGTGAGCATGGCTTGCTTTCACACATTCTCCTATTTCTATTGCTTTCTGATATGAAAGTCATGCTGCCTACTTGTTTTTTCTCCCCAAGAAAGGGTGTAAGCTCCTTGCAGCCAGAGCAATGAGTATGAATTTACTTGTAAATTATGATTTTGTTATTCTAAATGCTCTATGATTGGCATAATCAGTGTATGAGATAAATAACTTTTAGAATTAGAGATTATAAGCCTGCTCTTTAAAATAGGAGGTCAACATGGATCTGCTGGAGCTTTGTGATGCCATGTGGCTTTGCAGAATAAAACTGCATACTTCTTTTGAGACCTGTTGTGTCTTGGCCATTTTGGAAGCTGTAACAAACTACTGTGCCTTCTCCTTCATCCTGTTAAGTGTTTGCGGTCCATTACTGCAGCAACATTATTGGCCTCTTGAAGTTATTAACAAGGAGCAGTATTGTTGTATCTTCCTAAATAAGTTCTGGGGTAATTATGCTTATCAGTGAATGTTTAAAGCCGATAACTCTCCAACTATGGTGTGCTTTACTCACTCAAATCCCACAGTGCCTTTGGCTCTTATTCCTGTAACTTTACAACATCCTTCCAGTGATAATAGGAAAACAAGAGGATGATGGGTGAGTTTAATGACAGTGACTTGTATCACTTATTCTTTAGCCAGGCTTTGCAGGATGATTAGATCATAAAGTTGGAGGTATCATGTATGTGGATGCTTGGATACAGGAAGACATGATTGTCACTTAGGTACTAATACCGTAGGCTGGCAGGTACACTTGTAATACTCAGGATGCTGGTGGCTATACGGTAAGATCCTATCATCTGAAACATTCAAATTTAGGCTCTCGGACTAACTGCCAGCTGCCCAGACTTTGGAGACATTGGCTTTGGATGACAAGGAAGCATATACTGATGCAGGAAAAATATGAGGTGTGTGTGATACGGGGAAGATTTTGAAAAATGTATGTCTTCAGGGGCAGTTAGATGATTTAATTTTGTGAAAGGAATTAACACAGGAGATAAAAGCTTACGGTTTATAGTTTCATTCTTTTAAATTGGTGTTTTTATTCTAGGACTGATTCTACTAAACTTGCATTTCAGACTTTTAAGTGTTAATGTCTCTGCTGCCCGAACTTCACAATGCTATCTCCCTTTAAATCCAGGAAAAACATTACAAATATCTAATGAATGATTTTATTTTAAAGGAGACACTTCAAAATATAAAAGTTATCAAAAAGTTGAATATTTACAGTTACATCATAGGCTACTATTAACAGTGCAGAGCATATAATACGTAACTTGAAGAGGAACTCTATGAAGTATAATAAACAGCAAGGTTACATGTCACTATTTTGCCATTCTACAATGGCAACTGTACAATGTCTGTGACCTGAAGAGTCTTTCTTTTTTCTGTATCCAGAAACCACCAGGGGTAGAAACTTCGCCTCCTGTCGAAAAGTGGTATCTTTTCAGGAACATTATATCTAGAAAAGACAAACCCCACATCTTTAGAAGTGTTTCAAATGACTGGCATGCACTAATAAAGCCAAGCTATGCTACAAAAGTTTTGCTTATTTCTGGAATGTGGAGCAATGACTATTCAAGTTAGAAACCTCCAGTCTATAATCAGTATTGAGTTTAAATCTTGGCTTTGACTAAAAGTGTACAGGCAAACTGTTGAACTATTATAAAGTGAGGGTGATGATAATAGTCACTTTATTGGGAAGAATGGGAAAATGCAGGGTAAGTGCTCAGCAATCTGTGAAGATTTTCCTGAAACTGAATGGTCATTAATGGTTCCTTGTCTAAAAGGAGTCAGTGAGGGGCACCTGGGTGGCTCAACTGTTAAGCCTCTGCCTTCAGCTCAGGTCATGATCTCAGGGTCCTGGGATCAAGCCCCGCATCAGGCTCCCTGCTCAGCAGGAAGCCTGTTTCCTCCCCCTCTCACTCCCCCACGCTTGTGTTCCCACTCTCACTTGTGTCTCTTTCTGTCCAAAAAAAAAAAAAAAAAAATCTTAAAAATAAAAGGAGTCAGTGAACAGTAGCCTCAACCACTATTCATTGTTCAATAAGACATTTATAGTGACTTTTTCAAAAGATGGTGCATAATCATAATTTACCGGAGCATATCTGCAAGTATATAGGAACTGTGGGATTAAGCCTCTACTTTAATACAGGGATAGTGTTTGGAGAGAGTCTATGTAGGATTATTAAAAACCTAAGCAAGATTCTCCTTTGGTAGAATTGTAGATTATCCTCCTGCAGATAATAGTTACAAACTCGGGACAAAATACAACTATTCAAAGGTATTGGAAGAGCAACCAAAAGCTGACAGAAATTGGGAAGGTGTCAATTCTTGAAAGAAGAGAAGTCCACTGGGTAAGATTCATCTTCCTGTGCGTTTGACCTGAGGGTAAGTCCATGAGGACAGAGAGAAGTCATAGTCTTCCTAGCTCAAAGAGTCAGAGAATAGAGTTTGGGCCTGGTGGAACTACTGAAGTGAAAGGGATAATACCCTGAGAAAAGGGCACTGCCCCCCAAATCTGCATATGCACTCCATGTAAACCCTTGAACTTCACAGGCTTGGAAGAGACTGTTATGCTGGACTGGAAGCACAGTTCCATGTTGAAAGGAATGCCATGTGTTAGAACACTGAGGGCAGCTTCTAGGATTCACAGGCTTCAGTACTCTGATGGTAAGAATGGAATTCCACCAACAAACACGCTGGACAAAAGTCTCACATTGGACTGCAGGTCCAACCAACTGCAGCCTTGTGAGATCCTGAACAGAAGACTCTGCTAAGCCGTGCCTGTATTACTGATTCACAGAAATTGTGAGATAGGTTCTGGTTCAGAAATTCTGAGACAGGTTCTGGTTCAAGATGGCAATGCAGGAAGATCCTGAACTACCTCTTCCCATGGACACAGTGCATCTACAGCTGCATATGGAACAAGATCCTAGAAACTAGCTAAGTAACTCCTGCACATCAGGTGAACAAGAAAAAATCCACAGCAAAATGGGTAGGAGAGGGTGAGGAAATCTTGCTGTAAACCCCACCCCAGCATGACGACACACAACCAGGAGGGAATTCAATAGGTTCTAGCCTCTCCCTGAGGAGTAAAGGGTTTGGACCCCACATTTGGTGCCCTGACTTTTAAGACTTCCACCTGAGAGAGACCTCTAAAATCTCTAGCTTTAAAAGGCAACAGGCCCCGTATCCACAAGAACTAAAAGGATATGGCAAACTAAAAAACAGTTCAAAATGAGATCACAGGGACCCACCCTGGCTAATCCCCCAGGGCCCAGATCAGAGGCAGCAGAGTGGAATGGACCCTGTCTGAAAAAGGCCTATTGTCTTAAAAGCTTTGGCCTGAAGCAGGCTCCTAATTTAACATATACTTAAGGGCCAACTGCAACACTCTGCTGAGACTGTGGAGGCTAGCAAGCACCATCTTTGTGTTCTTTCTCTGCCTTGTGCCAGGTGGCCAATATCTCTCAAAAAGGAGCTTATGCACAAGTCTGGTACTCCAGTTGCTGCTGCTGCTCAAGGGACACCCAATAATCACCTAGCTCTGGTGGCCAGCAGAGCTTTACATTTGCAAGTCCTAATTAGATTGTCACAAACAGAAACCATTCTTAACCAGCTAGTCTTTCAGTGCTTAATGCAGAAGCAGCAGACAGAAATGCCCAGTCTTTATGAAAGAGGCTTATTTGCTTCATAACTGTGGCCTGAAGTTCAGCTTTCAATCAATCTGCATCTAGATGCTGACTGAGATTTCCCCCTTCAGGATACTGACACGTCTTGGCATACCCTCAACTAACTGGGAGCAACAAAGAAAGAAGAACCAGGGCAGTGTTGAATGGTTAGGCTCGGAGAGGTGGCTGTTTTAGCTAATGCTTAGAAACCAACACAGAGTCAATGAAAATGAGGAAATAGAAGAATATGTTCCAAACAAAAAAACTGGTAAAACCTCAGAAAAAGACCTTAACAAAATGGAGATAAGTGATTTACATGATAAAGAGTTTACAATAATGGTCATAAAAACAATTCATGAACAAAGTGAAGAAAGTACTAAACAAATCACAGACTCAAATACAACTACTGAACTGGATAATACAGTAAAAAGGTTCAATAGCAGGCTAAATGAACAGAAAGGATCAATGAATCTGAACACAGGCCCATGGAACTCATCAGCAGAGCAAAAAGAGAAAAGCATGAAAAAAAGTGATTATCATTTAAAGGATTTATGGGATAACATCAACCAATATTCACAATATAAGGGTCCCAAAAGAGAGGAGAAAGTCTGAAAACTTGGGGAAGGAAACAGATAACCAGATCCAGGAAACCCAGAGTTCCCAAACAAGATGAACCCAGAGACCCACACCAAGACACGTTTATAATTAAATTGCTAAAAGCTAAAGGAGAGAAGCCACTTGTTACATACAAGGGAACCCCTGTAAGATCATCAGCAACTTTTTCAGTAGAAACCTTTGCAGACTAGAAGACAGTGGCATGACCTATTCAAACTGCTGTGAAAGAAATGTGAAACAAGAATATTCTACCAGGCAGTATTGTCTGTTGGAACTGAAAGAGAGAGAGTTTTCCAGACAAAGAAGAGCTAAAGGAATTCATCACAGTTAGACCAGCCTTACAGGAAATGTTAAAGGTGGTTTAAGCTGGAAGTGCTGGTTAATAGAGGAAGACATACAAAAGTTATAAATCTGAATGTTTAAAGGTTAATATGTTAATTCAGAATAATCTTGTTGTAATGGTGGTGGGTTAATCACTTACAAAAGTAGTAAAAATAACCATCATGACAATAATTTAATGGACACTCAAGATGCAGAGATACAAACTATGACATCAAAAACAGAACGGGGGATAAAAATGTAGAGCCTCAGAATTTGTTATCAACTTAAAATAGGTTTAACGTAATCCTCATGGTATCCACAAAACAAAAATCTACAGTAGATACACAAAGGATAAAAGGAATCTAAGCATACCACTAGGGAAAGTCATTTAAATCATAGAGCAAGAGAAGAAGGAAAGAACAATGGACTTACTCCCATTTTTATTGTTTTCTGGCTATTTTGTAAGTCCGTATCTGTCGATAATTACTTTATATGCAAACTGGCTAAAATCCTCTGATCAAGAATGGCTGAATGGATTAAAAAACAATATCCATCTATCCTGCTGCTGAGAAGAGACTTAGTTTTAAGGACACAGGCTGAAAGTGAAGGAATGGAAAATATTTCAGGCTAATTGAAATCAAAAGAAATCTGGAATAACTTTACTTATATCAGACAAAAAGAATTTTAAAGACTGCAATAAGAGACAAAGAAGGTCATTACACAATGATAGATCAACACAAAAGTGGATATAACATTTGTAAGTATGCATCCAACACAGAAGCATCTAAAGATACAAAGCAAAAATTAAGGTCTAAAGGGAGAAATAGCAATATAGTAAGAGTAGGGGACAGAGAGTGGACAAAGCATCCAGACAGGAAATCAGTACAAGGAAACACCACACTTAACAGACATTTACAGTGCATTTCATCAAAAAGCAGAATATACAGAGTTAAGCACACATGAAACAGTCACCAGGACAGATCACAGGTTAGGCTATGAAAATAAGTCAATAAATTCAAGAAGACTGAGCATCTTTTCTATCCACAATCGTATGGAACTAGAAGTTATTGATAAGAAGAAAACTGGAAAGTTTAAAAATATTTAGAGATTCAACAATATGCTATGGAACAACCAGTGAGTCAGAGAAGAAATCAAAAGAAAAAATATCTTGAGACAAATGAAAATGGGAAGACAATATACCAAAACTTAAGGGAGGTAACAAAAGCAGTTCTCAGAGAGAAACTCCTAGCAATTAATGCCTACGTCAAGAAACAAGAAAGATCTCAAGTTAAACATACCTAACTTTATACCTCAAGGAACTAGAAAGAGAAGAACAAGCTAAGCCTAAAGTTAATAGAAGAAAAAAAATAACAAAGCAGAAATAAAGGAAAGAGACTAAAAAGAACAATAAAACTAAGAGCTGGTTAAGGAAAATAGATAAACCTTTAGCTAGACTCACCAAGAGAAAAAAAGCACTCAAACAAATGAAAGAAGAGATAGTGTAATGGCTAACACAAATACAAAAGATCATAAAAGACTACTATGAACTACTACACAGTGACAAATGAAACAACTTAGAAAAGAAATGGAATATGCCTAGAAACATACAACCTTACAAGACTGAATCATGAAGAAACAGAAAACTGAGCAGACTAGTTACTAGCAAGGAGATTGAATCTGTAATGGGAAAAAACTCCCACCAAACAAAAGTCTAAGACCAGATGGCTTTTCTGGTAAATTTTACCAACATTTAAGGGATTCATACCAGTCCTTCTCAAACTCTTCCAAAAAAACAGAAGAGGAGGGAACACTTCCAAACTCATTTTATGTGCCAGCATTAGCTACCAAAACCAGACAAGGATATCACAATAAAGTTCTAGACCAGTATCCCTGATGAACATAGATGCAAAAATCCTAAGCAATCTATTAGCAAACCAGAGTTAACAATACATTAAAAGGATCATAGACCATGACCAACTGGATTTTATTCCAGGGATGCAAGGATAGTCTAACATTCACACACCAATCAGTGTGATATATCACCTTAAGAAAATGAAGAATAAAAATTACATGATCACTCAGTAGATACAGAAAAAGCATTTTAACAGTATTCAACATCCACTTAATGATTAAAAAAAAAAAAACAAAACTTCACCAAAGTGGGTGTAGAGAAAACATACCTCAACGTAATAAAGGCCATATAAGACAAGCCCACAGCTATCATCCTCCTCAATGGTTAAAAGCTTAAAAGCTTTTCCTCTAAGATTAGAATGAAGATAAGGATGCCTACTCTTGCCACTTTTAATTAAACATAGTACTTGGAGTCCTAGCCAGAGTAGTTAGGCAAGAAAAAGAAAGAAAAGGCATCCAAATTGGAAAGGAAGAAGTTAAAGTGTCACTAACTGCAGATGACATGGTATATGTAGAAAACCCCAGAGACCACTAAAAAACTGTTAAAGCCTCATAAATGAATTCAGTGAAGTTTCAGGATACAAAATATACAAAAATCTGTTGCATTTCTATACACTAATAATGAGCTATCAGAGATTAAGAAAACAATTCCACTTAAAACTGCATAAAAAAGAATGAAATACTTATGTGTAAATTTAACCAAGGAGGTGAAAGACCTGTGTGGTGAAAACTATAAGACACTGGTGAAAGAAATTAAAGAAAAATACATAGATATTCTATGCTCACAGATTAGAAGAATTAAAGCTGTTAAAGTGTCCATACTACCCCAAATAATCTACAGATTCAATGCAGTTTCTATCAGTTTCCAATGATTTTTTTTCACAGAAATAGAATAAACAATCCTAATGTTTGTATGGAACCACAAAAGATCCTGAGTAGCTAAAGCAATCTTGAGAAAGAACAGAACTGGAGGTACATTTCCTGAAACTATATTACACAGCTGTAGTAATCAAAACAGTATGGTATTGGCATAAAAATAGTCACACAGTAGACAGCAGATGTGAAGATCAATGGACCAGAATAGAGAGCTCAGAAATAAACCTATGTATATATGGTCAACTTATTTGTGACGAGCCAAGGGAAAAAAATACATATATATGTGTGTGTGTATACACATATATATGAAAGGAGGATCTTTTTAATAAGTAGTGTTGGGAAAACTGGGCCACTAGCTCACATCATACACAAAAATCAATTCAAAACAGATTAAAAACTTGAACAGAAGACCTGAAAACATAAAACTCCTAGAAGAAAATGGGGGGGTGGGGAGAAAATATAGAGGGTAATAAGCTCCTTGACATCCGTCTTGGCAACAATTTTTTGGATTCAACACCAAAAACAAAGGCGGAAAGGCAGTAAAGCTAAAGTTCTAGGCCAATATCCCTGATGAACATAGATGCAAAAACACTTCTGTACAGCAAAGGAAACCATCAACAAAATGAAAGGGCAACATATGGATTGGGAGAAAATATTTGTAAATCATAGATCTGATAAAGGATTAATATAAAGAACTCCTACAGTTCAGTTGGAAAAAATCAATTAAAAATAGGCATAAGATCTGAAAAGAAATTTTCCCAAACAAGATAGGCAGACGGTCAGCAGGGACATGAAAGGGTGCTACCAAACATAACTGGTTATCAGGGAAATGCAAATCAAAACCACCATCATATGTCACCTCACACTTGTTCAAATGGGTATTACCAAAATGACAAGAAATCACAAGTGTTGGCAAAGATGTGAGGGAAAGGGAACACTTGTGCACTGTTGGTAGGCATGCAAACTGGTGCAGCAACAGTGAAAAACAGTATAGAGCTTCCTCAAAAAATTAAAAGTAGAATTACCATGTGGTCCAGCTGTTCCATTGGTGGGTATTTATCTGAAAAACAAAATCACTGTCTTGAAAAGATATCTGTATTCCTATGCCCATTTTGGCATTATTTACAATAGCCAAGACAAGCAAACAACCCTAAGCGTCCATCTACACTGGATAAAGAAATGACACTGGATAAAGAAAATGGCACATGTGTATGCATGCATGAACACACACGGGAATATTATCTGGCCATGAAAGAGAAGGAAATACTGCCATCCGCCACAACATGGATGGACCTTGAGGGAGGGCACTACAGTAGGTGAAATTAGAGGAAGACAAAATACTGTATACTCTCATGTGTATAAAAAAAAAATGGAACTCATGGATACAGAGAACAATTTGTTGTTGCCAGAGGCCTGGGGTGGGGAGTGGGTAGAATGGATAAAAGTGGTGAAAAGGTACATGGTCATAAGGGATGTATTGTACCATATGTTAACTACAGTTAACCATATTGTATATTTGGAAGTTACTAAGAGATTTAAAGTTCTCAATAAAAAAAATTTGTTCTTCTGTGTGGTAATGGATGTTAACTTACTGTAATAATCATTTCTCCATACATAACCATTTTTTATACACCTTAAACAACTGATGTCAAGTATTTATCAAAAAGAAAATGGACTTAATGTATATTGTTTTAAGATGCTAAATTTGTGATATGTTATATAGCCACAAGAAAACGAAGCAAATCCCAATCATAATTTGAGCAAGCTTTAAAAATAGAACTTGACAAGCTTATTCTGAAATTTTATAGGGAGATGGAAAACATTAAGAGTAGTTGAAACAATCTTGGTAAAAAATGACAACATTGGAGGATCCACAGTACCGGACTTTAAGATGTATTAGAAAGTCAGAGTAACCAAGACAGTGTAGTATTGAAATAGGGGACAAATACATTAATGGAAAAGAAGAGAGGGTCCAGAAATAGATCAACATTTAAAAACCTCATTGATTTTCAACAAAAAGCACCCAAGCAATTCAATGAAGAAAGAAAAGAATTTTCAATAAATGGTGCTGGAAGACTGGCTATTCACTTGGGGCAGGGGGGATCTCAGTCCTCATCTCACAGTGTAAACAAAGATAATTTCAAAATGATCACAGACCTACAGCTTCTAGAATAAAATATACTAGAATATGCTTGGGCCTTGTTAGTAGGCAAATACTTTTTTAGACAGGATACAATAACCATAAAACTTAAAAATGTATAAATTATAATTCAACAAAATCTCACCAAAAGATACCATTAAGGAAAAGAATTGGGAAGCCACAGACAGAGAAAATATTTGTAAAATATATCTGAAGATAGACAACCCAGTAACAATGGGGAAAACCAGTCTTTCAGCAAAAGGCACTGGAACACATACCTGGCAAAAGAAAGTTGGATCCCTGACCACACACCATACACAAAAATTAAATGGATCAAAGATGTAAATGAAGAGCAACAACTATAAAACTCTTAGCTAAGAGTCCAGATGTGACCAAAAGAGGGGGTGTGGGAAACCAGAGGGAAAAAAAAGAAACTTCAAAATAAAAATCAAAATAAATAATTAAATAATAAATAATAAAATCAAAAATGCTTACGTCAAAGGGTACTATCAAGAAAGTAAAAACTTCTTCCACAGAATGAGAGAAGAAATTTGCAAATCATGTATCTGATAAAACACTGGTATCTCTTAAGAATTTTTACAACTCAACTATAAAAAGACAAATTACCCAGTTAAAAAAATGGGCAAAGGACTTGAATAGACTGTTGTCCAAAGAAGATACCCAAGTGGCCAACAAGCACATGAAAAGATGCTCCGTATCCTTAGTCATTAGGAAAATGGAAATCAAAACCACAATGAGCTACCACGTCACACCTACTAGAATGATTATAAACAAAAAGATGTTGAGGCTGTGGGGAAACGGAGCCTTCGTAGGCTGCTGATGGGAGTGTAAGCGCTTGCGGGTGCCGTGGAAAGCGGGAGCACGCGAGGAACAGCAAAAACCTAGCGGGGCTGCAGCACAGGGAGCAGACAGGGCGGCGGATGCTCCTTGTTTCTGCATGTGTCAGAAAAAGCCCCTGGAGGGTTTATGAAGGAACCTGGTAACACTGCAGGTAAACTGAGAGGACTTGCCCATGGACTGGGTGACAGGGCTGAGGGTGAGATGAGTCACGGATAATGACCGGGTTTCCACCCAGACCAGCGGCTGGAGTGGAGCTGCTCCTGACTGAGATGATGCAGATGGAGAGAAAACCGAGTTGCCTTTTAAGCAGGTTAGGGGAGATGCCGTGGCCGGGACTGAGCTCCCTGCTTCTCTTTGAAGAGCCTCCCAGGTTTGGGCAGGGCTTTTGGCTTCCCAGGGAGACACGACACCTCCCTGCCTCCCTCTGCAGTGTGTGTGGCTCTGAGTAAATTCTTGCCGATGGAATGCAAATGGAAGGGGTGTGGGCCCCTTCTACATGGCTACCAACGAGACTTGGAAAGAAAAAGGTATTTTTCCAATCTGTGGATGCCAAAAGTTTTATGATATATTCTGAACTTTAAAAGACTCCACTGTTACTAGCTGGCTCTAGTTTTAATGGACTGATTAAAAAGAAGCCCTTATGATTTGATAAAATACATTACAGTTGGAATCCATGGTGCTACACGGCCAAAAAGCCTTTGTCACCATGGAGACAGTGTGACCGGCATTTTTAAAGGACATCAACTGGTTTGTTGTCAGATTCTTCAAATCGGACAAGTTACACGATGCACAAAAAGGAGCCAATACAAACGATAAATCCTGCCTACTCCAGACCCTTGCGCCCTGGGGAAGGGAGCAGATGGTCTGGGACTCACCTGCATGGGCCACTCACTGCTCCACCTCTGTCCGCAGGAACTGGGTACAGTCGGAGATTTTTTTTAGTTGAGCAAAGCTTAATCTTTCAGAACACATAGGACATGTGTTTTCCGTGTTTAACATGCTGTTCGGGGAGGGAAAGGCAGAGGAGATTAATATTCCTTTAGCTTTAGGTTATTCTAATGGGAAAAGCAATCCTGTCTACACCTCCTTGGTACATATTCATCACACAATTTAAGAACCAGGAATATTCAGTCTCATGCAAGATCCCCTTTAAGGATAATGTTCTCAAAGGTCACAGAAGCTTTGGGCCTTTAGAGATCTTCAGGAATATGAATAAGGAGACCTCAGAATAAAAGAGTGGTTGAATGAAAGGCCTATTTTGGGGTAAATCTGAATGACCGAGTAAAACGATGCACACTTACATCTTAAATTCCGAGTACAGAGCAGGGAAGTCACAATGTGGACACATGGTCCAGTCATCCTTCAACATGTGTCGGCCCTGGAAACAGTACACTTAAGAGTAAAATTCATCGTTTAAAAATTTCCTGCCATTATTCAATTATGATAAGTGTATTAAAATTAAAAGCCAGACCTCTAAATAAGGTGAGCAATTGACTAGAAAGAGATGGGGGCAAACAGACAGAAGCCAGATTTCATTTATCAATTCATGTATAAAGAATGGTCTTCAATTTTGTGATATCATCACCTAAATTTATGTCCCTTTAAAATAAAGTTTATGTTAGTCTAGTGATTAACAAATAATCTAGTATTTAACATCTTCTAACAGCGGGCACCGGGTGGCTCAGTCAATTGAGCGTCCAACTCGATTTTGGCTCAGGTCATGATCTCAGGGTCGGGGACTGAGCCCTGGGAACCCTGCGTCAGGCTCGTGCTCACCGTGGAGTCAGCTGTCCCTCTTCCTCTGCTCCTTCCCCCACTCCCCACATGTGCATACATTCTCTCTTTCTCAAAAAAATCTTCAAAAATTTTTCTACAAGGTCTTAATATTAAAACGAATAATAAAAGCCACCACTTATTCAGTATGCCAGGTAGAGAGCACTGAGGCTTTACATATGTCCTGTCATCAGCCTGCAGTTTCTCTCAATAGGCAGGTGCTGTTACGGTTGGACCTAGCAAGGGAAAGCAAATTGCAGAGGATCACAGAGCCGGTAAAGTGGCAGAAGGATTTAAGCCCAGGACCATCTGATTGCCAAGTGTTGCTTTTTACACATCAAGTATTCAAATGGACTATAAATACATATATATAAAGACATACGTATTACAAACTTACTGTTGCAATGCAATACGGGATGTTATTTTTACATCCAGGACAGAGGAGTTCACACTCGGGGAGAAGAAATTCGCAGAATGGACACGGGGTTGTGGGCTCTTCTGTCTCGGAGGTATCGGGTCTCCTGTGAGAGAGGATCACGTAACATGCCTACTTCTGCACAGTCGGGATCTGAGGCTGGAGAAGCTCCCATCAGCCCGCACTCCCGCTCAGGGCGGAGGGAGAGGAAGTGAGGGGTTAGAGTGTCTCATCATCCCGGCCACATGTGGGGGCTGGAGTTTGCAGCATAGTAAATGGCACAGAACATGGGTGGCTCGTGCTCTCTCCTCTTCCTGTGCCACGGATGCCACTGATGGGGTAAGCCCGATTCTCCCCGCCCCCCGTCTCTCCCCTTTGTGGACTGAAGTGGTCAAGGCTATCCAGGGCTGTCTCGCCAAAGTGCCCGTGGCCACGGCAGTGTTCCCGCGCTCTCCAGTGTGGCAGCCGGGAGCCACGTGAAACTTCTGAGCACTTGAAATCCGGATAGTGTGAGAAACTGAGTTTTAAATTTGATTTAATTTATTTAAATTTAGATAGCCACACATGGCTAGCAGTTACCATATTAGACCCCCCAGCTGGAGAGGAGTCTCACGTGGGGAGAGAATGACTAGCGTCTCTTCTGAGCTGGGGCCCAGGCCGCAGTGGCCCTGGACGGTCGGGATGACTGTGCTCTAGCAACCACTCCCCCGCCACTGCCCCGCAACTCTCCACGAGGAGGACACTTCTGTGCTCCAGATACAAAGCTAGAAGACTGAGGGTTCTCCTTGCTGCCACCAGGACACAGCAGGCCTGAATCACGACACTTTGTTTAAGAGTCAAGTAAATCCTGACTTTTCCAAGCCATTGTTGGGTGTTCTGCTGCTGGTTGCTCAATACAGTCCTAATGGCCACCCCAGTCCATTCTCTCCCTGAGCCGCACCTGAGCAGCCAGAGTCTAAAAACTACATCTGTGAGATGCGGTGAGACAGTGGAAGCAGCTGTCCCTGCCTACCTGACCATGGCCTCGATCTTCTTCTTGTATTTGGCGTCTATGTTGCTGCGGTACTCGGGCCGCATCAGCACGGCCGCGAAGCTGAAAGCAGAGCTCTTCAGGCCTGCTCGGCGGCACTCGATCACCGTGGACGTCAGGATCGGCACGATGTCTGCAACACACACGGGAGGGCAGGAAGCCAGTGCTTCTGCTGTCCCGACTCTGTCCCCATTCAGGAGGACAACACGATCGCACGTCTAAGTTTGCTCTTCCTGGCAAAGAACCAGTTAGGACCTGTTTCATGAGGCAAGGGGGCGCATCAGAGTATCTTCCCTGTGATTTTACTGTGTTTTGCCTTGGAGCACCGGACCTGCACTCCCTTGAGGTCCCCTTTTGCACGTATCCTCCCAAACCAGAGATGTGTCTCTGCACGTGACAGGACTGCCCGTGAATGGTCAGGGAGATTAGTAAGTTTATGCACTGACCTCAGCGGGTGTCTCTCTCTTCAGGACGGATACCAGAAGGTGGATTACTGGATCAAAGAACATGACTTTTTAAAAAATGCTCTTAGCACAGATTGCCAAATTGCTTTCTAGAAAGGCCCTACCAGTGTCTGTTCCCTGCTGCTCCCTTAGCCAGCATGGAATACAATTAATTGTGAAGTCGTTTTCATGTAACAAAAAAGAAGACAGTTATAGAGGAGGGGTTGGTGAATTTTGACCTGTGGACCAAATCGGGCCTTCTGTTTTTGTATGGCTCATGAGCTAAGAGGGCCTTTATGTTTTTAAATGGTTGAAAAAAATTAAAAGAAAAATATTTTGTGACATGTGAAAATAATATGAGGTTCAAATGTCAGCATCCCCAAAAAATAAAATTCTGTTGGAACACATCCATACTCATTCATTTCTGTATGGTTTATGTAAAAATAGTAGCTGTGACAGACGTTATGGTCCATGAAGCCCCAGACACTTGACATCTGTACCTTTGCAGAAAGACTTTGTTGACCCCCGACACAGAGTGTGAGGAAGTCTGTTAACTGAAGAATGTTAGAATGACATGTCGCTAAGAATGAGGGGACCTTCTGTAGCAGCGGTGGCCTGGCTGAGAACAGGGTCAGACTTACTAGCTGAACAGTGCGGTCTTGGGCAAGTGTACTTCACTTCTTTCCCCTCTGTTTGCTTCTCCGGTAAAACAGGGAAAACGATAGTGCCCATGGGTGTAGTTTTGAGGCTCTTATCCTTACAAAGATGTGCGTGATCTTGGCTGGCATCTGGGAACTCGGATGTTGGGGGCATTTCTCCCATTTCCAGATCAGAGTGGCTCACTGTACCTGAACTCTTTGCACAAACAGTGTGGTCTACACTGAACACCTGCTTTCTGGGAGTCTGACAGCCCCCGGTACAAGCCCTGGGCCCTGAGCCTCTCATGAGCACCGCTGGTAGACACTTCACATGTGCTGTCACACAGCTCACTGCTGGAGGAGTGTGTCCCGTGTGACTCTGCTGAAGGAGACTCGGAAACGTGCACCCGTTCTCACCCACACCTCGCCCCATGCGTGTGCCTTTTGCATTCGCTGCTCTGGGTTTGTATTCTTCTGCTATAATAAATGTTAGCCTCCGGCACGACTGTGGGTTGCATTGTGTGAGTCCTAGTGAACTTGGGGGTGGTCTTGGGGTCCCATTAGACTACTTGCTGGGGTGGGTGAGAGGAGTAAATGAGTTAATCTGTGTAGACAACAGTGGCTGGCGCGGTTAGTGACTGTCGATCTTATAGTGCCACACTGAGGCCCACACGTGGGGGACAGGTCCTTCTCAACAGTACGTACGTGACGGGAACTTGCTGATGTTGTTGGCCACCCGGATAAGCATACGTGCCCCTTTCATATGATCGCCACTTTTCACATGAATCTGAAATAAATGACATATGTTACTCTTAAGAGATTTTGATTAACCCTAATTCATGCTTTATTCCCCCAAATAATAAACTCCTTCATTATGATCCTGAACGAGCTGCCCCATGATCCTCTTAGCGCTACCTGGCTTAAGACACTTGGGAGTTCTCTGTTTCTCCTTCCAGCAGTGCCGCCTGGCCCCGTGGCCTCACCGACCTTACCCCTCCTCTATGCTCTGCTTTTTATTTTGCCCCAGAACACGTGGCATGAGTTCAAATCCCTGATTCAGCTCTTATGGGCCATTTTCAGAGGGCTAATAATGCCAACTTCGCCAAGTTGTTGTGAAACCTAAAAGCCAAGTCTTTCAGGCAGAAGGAGAGGATGAGTTGTTAAAGGAAGAGGGCAAGGGGGCAGCGGCGGCCGGAAGGCATGAGATTGGGTGAGTGCTGAGTATGAGGGGGGCCCTGACACGTGGGATGAGAGGAGGCTTGGAGAGCCAACAGGGCCAAGGAATGATGTTGCTGTATCATCCAGCGAGATGGGGCAGCCCACAGAGGTGGGAGGGGGTGGGGGGGGTCTGTTGGGGGCTGGGGGGGGGGGTGGAGAGAAGTAGAGCCATAGGAGGCAGAACTGGTTGGTATTTGGTGAGAATGTGCAGCGTGAGCTGAGAGTAACTCCCAGACATCAGGTCTAAGCAACGACTGATGGCATCATTTCCTGAGCACTGCTACCTGGTAAATACTAGAAGGGGTAGGGACTCCCTTGCTGCTTGTCCTCTGCTGACTCCCTGGGCCTCAGACAGCCCAGCTCCATCATGAAGACACCAAGGTCCCAGGCTGTCCCTCAGCCCAAATCCCTGCCCCCGCTCTGGGAGGAAGTACCCACCAAAGCTGTCTTGATAGCCCCTGAAGCGTGGCTGACTTTCTTCAGTCTTTGGCTCAAAGATGCCTGGGACATTTTTACGTCAATGTATTCTGACTGGAAAAGGTTTCACAGTTTCCCTTTTGACACCATGAGCAGTTAAAAATCTTGAGAAAGGGTGGTGCTTGTATAAGAGTCGAGAACTACAGCAAACAGGGAAGAGTCCTGGGGTGCTCTTCAGTGGGAGGGGAAGAGGGTGCCCGGTTGGTCCTCTGCCAGACATGGGCCGGCTCTCGGGGCCGGATGAAAAGAAAAAGGCTTGAGCACCATCCCTGTGCCTTAGGGTGGTAGAAAGCCCTGGTCCCCGAGGGTTGTGTGTGGGATTCCCTGACTTCCACCCCCAAAAGTGCTGTTCTGCTGGATTCTGTGCCCACAGCACATGGCACCACCACTCATGTCTGCAGATGAGAGAGCCCGCCCTTCTCCCTTTCTACTCCTTTCCACATGAGAGAAGGGATCCTTCTGCTGCTCTGAAGAGAAATGTACTCTCCAGGGCTACAAGCCAGAATTCTCATTTTTTCCTTACCATCAGTGTTACAGAACTGAGTGGCCGAATATGGTAGCCACTAGCCATATGTGGCTATTTAAATTTTAAAATTAAAATTATATAAAATAAAAAAATGTAGTTTCTCATTTGCACCAGCTGTATTTCTGGCTGCTGGCTGCCATATGGGGCAGCCCAGACACTGGCACCTACAACACTGTAGAAAGTTCTGGACAGCACTGGTAGAGATCATAATTAGGATCTTAGTCATTCATAACATGCCTCCTCTATCCTCGGTACCGTCAAGATTAAGATCTTGGGGACTGGACTGGAAACCAAATTAGCATTAATATGGGAAGATGTACTCTGATATAATGAAAATTTAGAAAAATATGTGAGTTGGATTCTGTATCTTTATAGAGATATGTGTATAAATATATTACAAAATTCACATCTATTTACCCATAACTTTTATGTAAATTATAATACAAGTATTTGAGGTTTGAATGCTATAGTTTGTTTTTATTAAGATTTACTAATTGAGGGGCGCCTAGGTGGCTCAGTAGGTTAAGCCTGTGACTTCAGCTCAGGTCATGATCTCAGGGTCCTGGGATCGAGCCCGGCATTGGGCTCTCTGCTCAGCGGGGAGCCTGCTTCTCCCTCTCCCTCTCCCCTGCTTGGGTTCCCTCTCTTGCTGTCTCTCCCTCTGTCAAATAAATAAAGTCTTCGAAGAAAAATTACTAATTGAAAAGACAGAATACACAACTGGACATAAATATAATCCTAATGTGGTAAAAAAATAGGAGTGCATATGTGTATTTACCAAAGTACAGAGGATACACACAGCACAAAGTTAACAGCCATTATATCTGGTGATGGACTTAAAGGGTCAGTTACTTTTTCATTACACTTTTCTACATTCTCTAAATTTTCTCCATGAATATGTATTATTTTTATATTCAGATGGAAACTAAATAGTATTAAAAACTATAGAATTGTATAAAATCTACCATCTTAGAATTAATAAACTAGTAAACTCTGGTTAAACAAAAATGTCTTAAGTAAATTTTTTTTTTGACCAGCTAATCCATTTATATGCTTCAAAATCAAGACAAGGTAGAAATACATCCACAGAGAAAGCTGCTCTCCCTCTTGTCCCCTCAATGGGGATGGCTATCATGTCGCCTCTGCCCCATGTCGTGTTCCTGTTAGCAACTATTTTTGCTACCAAGACTTTGAGTCTTTTTCTAATTTTATTTGCCATGAATATATATTCATTCTTATTTTTTACCCTTTTGCACCCAACAGGTAGCAGACTGTATAATTATCCTGTATGTTGCTGTTTTTCACTTAACAATAGAGATCTAGAAACTCACTCTAATCCAACGGAGAGGTGCCCATAAGAAATCCCTTCAGGTGATAACCTCCCTTGGCAGATTATGTCCCAAGTCCCTCAAAGGGTCTCACCTTCACTAGGATGTAGCTGTGCAGGATCATGAGGTTGGTGGCCATCTCAGAAGGAATTTTGATCTTCTGGGATTTGAGTTCTGCATACATGCTAAAGAGAACGTCGTGTGCATTCCGATAGTTTCCTAGAAAAAAAGGTGGCAAAATGACATTATTGCAAAGGATGAAATCTGAGGCCTTTCTGTGGGCCCTCATTTTATTTTATTCTTTCAAAGTTTTTATATAAATTCCACTTAGCTAACACAGAGCATAGTATTCGTTTCAGGTATACAATACAGGGACTCAGTACTCCATACATCACCCGGTGTTCCTCACAACGTGGGCCTTGTTTCGTAAGTAGATTTTATTAGCAATATCCTCATAATTTCTTATATAAAGGAATGTAGTAGTTCTTCCCGCAGTAACTCTTGGTATGAATGTCCAGCTGGTCCCTCAGGGAGAAAATGGTGTCAGCTGACCATCTCCCTTTTCCTCAGGACACCATCTGCTACCAAAGCCAATGGGTCTCCAAGTTTGGAGTCGGCCTTCTAAGTCTCCCAAATCCAGCCTGGCCCAGGCCCATTTAATGCTTCTCACCATCTCTCCACCATCTCTCCGCAGCAGCATCGGTATTCCTCTCTGTTCTGCCTCCACTCTGACGTGAGAGGGTTCTTGGAAAGACCTGGAGTTTACACTCCAGCATAAAAACCCTCCAAGGGCCTTAGGGATTGACGGCAAATTCTTGAGCCAAGGACCTGAACCCTTCAGGATCTGCCTCCACCTACCATCCTAACCTGACTTTGCCCTCCCCCTACCCTGCACCACGGTTGGTGCCCCTGTGTTCCCTGCTGCCGTCCCCCCTGCACACACTCCCTCCCTCATCTCCGGCCATCTCAGCCTGTCGACGCTCAGCTGAAACTTCTGTTGTCTTCTCTCATCTCCATCCTCCAACTCCCCATGTCCCCCACCCTCAGGATGAGGGGGATCCCTGCCCCCGTGCCCTTCTAACGGGTTTCCTTCCCACTCTGGCACTTCTCCGCCTGCACAACAGTTCTGAATCTGCTCTCTGTCTCCCCCACCAAGTCAGGACTCCCTAAGGGTGGAACCACGGCTCAGTCTCCCGAGTCCTGAGCCAGCGCCAGGTACCCTGCAGCAGGTGTTAGATCAGTAATAACTGACTTAACTCCATATTTGCCAAAACCGTGTTCTGTATTTATGAACATCTAAAAGAATCAGCCTGCGAAAACTAGGGAAGATGTCAGACTAATTCTCTTCGTCAATAATATTTCGAAAGCATGTAAGTGAGAGAACGGAACTGTCCTGGAGGTTTCTTTTTTTTTTTTTAAAGATTTTATTTATTTATTTGACAGAGATCACAAGTAGGCAGAGAGGCAGGCAGAGGGAAAGGGAGAAGCAGGCTCCCCACTGAGCGGAGAGCCCAATGCAGGGCTCGATCCCAGGACCCTGGGATCATGACCTGAGCTGAAGGCAGAGGCTTTAACCCACTGAGCCACCCAGGCGCTCCGTGTCCTGGAGGTTCTATCAACGGTCCCTGCACGCTATTCCGAACGAGATCAATTCTAACGCTACATCATCTCCCATCTTCTAGTATCTTTCCTGTTATTCAAGCCTAACATGGGACGGAAGGAAAGTGCAGCACAGTGTAGTGGAGGGGCTGTGGGCGAGGGCGGGGAGGCCGCCATCGAGGACCAGGAGCTGCGAGGCCGTGAAGGGGAGAGGACGTGGCATGGTCGAGAGAAGGCGTCAGCGGCGGTACTCCGTGATGGGGCACTGTCTCACTTCCCTTGGACCCAGAAACGGTCCTTTCCCTAGTCTTCCGGCTTCAGAGCAAACCCAGATTAGAAAAGGGCTACTACTTCCTGCGCAGCAAAGGGGCTGGAGCTTGATTCCACTTTCCCAGGAAAAACACGAAGCCCGGACCTACCTGCGGACTGCTCTTCTCTGGCGATGATGATGGCGGTGCGGGCGGCTTCCCGGTACTGCTTCAAGGCCATGTACAAGCGGAACAGGTACTTGGCATCCTAACACGCAAACCGTTACAGAAACGTCACTGTCTTCACTAGCGAACAGGGGAAACACCTACAATTTTGCATTTCTGTTGGAATCCACTTTGGATACTCTTTTAAAAAAAAATCCATTGAATAAAGAATTTATTTATCCAGTATTTATTCATAGTTTAATATGCACCAGGTTGTATTTTCCATACTTGAGAAATATTAATGTGTTTAAAACCTCATGCCCTCCCTGGGAGAAAGACACAGTTATATGCTAATTGCACTGGTGAGAAACATACCCAAGAGGACCTTTCCAGAGCTGGGATCAAGCCACAGTGATGGGGCTTCAGAGTCTGTGTTCCTAACCCTCTTCCCACAGAGTTATCTCTCAAGTGCTTGAAATCAAACTGTGTTCTTATACGATGTACCAACTTCATAAAATTTTAAAAATTGCTACACACATATAAATTTCACTGGTCCACAAAAAACTTTGGCCTCTCACTATTTCTTATTCTCATTATTTTCACCTCCAGACAATCTCCTACGCTTGTTCCCTGGTTATTAGAATAAGTGGACATTAGGTGAGCAGGCTGGTAAGAGTTTAAGAGTTTAACCTTTGGCAGGTCAACTTACTCTCCCCTGGGTCTCCGTGTCTCTATCTGTGAAACACTGGAAATGGACTCAGGGATCAGATTTGCTATAATCCTCTCCAGCTATGACATTCTAGTACCTTCTCTCCAAATCAGTAACTTGACTTCCTTCACAAGAAAATCACCTCAAGCATCAAAGCAAAAGGGAAGAAAAAGCTCAAGGGTATTCTCAAAGGAGACCATCCTCATCAGGACTGAAAGACGACTGATGTCTGCATGAACTCCCGAGTCACATACTTTGAAAATATTTTCTTAATGATTTATTTCTCCTTTATATTTACACTGAGTTACTTTCATGCTAAATATGATTGTTATTCATTCCCATACCTTTTGAAATGTGAACAAAGTATACTGATTTTTAGGGATTAATGCCAACTCATAGTTCTAATAATATTTTTCATAGTTCCCAGAGTAAATAAAACCTTTAACTAATCTTGAGGGGGAGGGTTGTGCCTATCGCACAGGTGGCCGTGCCAATTTCAAGGAAAGAATATATCCAATAGCCTCTAAAATGCACGTTCTGTCTAGCAGACCTCAAGCTATATTCAGAAAGAAAATTTATAAGCCATAGTAGGTAAAAACAGGGCAGAATAAAGTCAGATCATAACTAAACTACATAAAATCCAAATGGCATTTCTAGTACCTTCGGCATGCCGTCACTCTCTCCCATCAGGTGGTCTATCAGCTGGCTGGTCAGCAGTTCATCTTTGGCCTGACCAACCTGTTTAGGAAGAGAAAGAAACCATAATTTGGCATCTTACAACTAGAAAGGAAGGGGAGTGTTGGGGGGGGACAAATAATCTTGGGCTAAGGAAATGGAATTTAAAAAAATTGTAAAAATACCTGAAGTCAAGTGCCTGACAGGATATAAATTCAGGATCTTTCTTATTTCATTTATAGTCTCCAATAATAAAAGTCTATCCTTTGAAGCTATAGCTTCTCTAAGTTGCTATATCAAAAGGCCATTTTTTTTTTCACATACACAATACACTTCTTGAATGTTTCGGAAAAACTTCCTTAAGGTAAGTGACTATGACATCTAGATAATAGGGTCTTGAGCGTAGGAACTGGGCCTTCTGCAAGAGCATAGCATCAAGCACTGCATCTCCAGCGCTCCCCAAGGAAATGCACCTGTCCATGGCCAACTGAAGTCCAAAAGCAGAAAAAGTATGGCTACTGGAGCCCAGAAGAGGGCAGGCGGCTGGAAGTATGGGAGTTTGGGAGAGGACGCTGGCCTGGAGACCTAGGTCTGAGAGTCACCTCCATGAAGGTCAGAGTTCAATCCCTCATGAGTTGTGTGGTGTTGATCAGGAAAAATTATGGATCACAGGAAATGTATTAGGTTTAGATAGGAGGAATAATTAATTATTGACAAGAATAGGCGGCTTCAGAGTCTTGGGCCTAGAAAAAAAGGGTGAGCCAAGAAACAAAAGGAGCTCCACCAAAGGGAACGAACACTGAAGAGTGCAGTGCTGCCCTCGTCACATGAATGACACAGTGAGAAAAGCCACAGGAAAATGAAGGAGGTGGTCATTAGGACAGAGCAACCCTAGCTTGCTACACCTCAGGGGAAAGGATTAAGAGAAGTTAGAAAGTTCCTTGTAGACAAGGGATTGTAGCGAACCTGTGGAGGGGAGAGGCTCTTTTGGCTGCAGAATTTCTACACGCTTGTGTGTCAGTGCAAGAAAGCTAAGCTTTTATAAATCTGTTGCCTCTGCTTTCACCCCTGCTGTAAGGAAGGGATGCTGTAAGAAAGAGAAATCCTGTACAGTTCCTCATCTTGATGGCTTTGGCGGATGGCTTTGGTGGATGGTGAATGAGCCAGTACAGAGACATGGTTAAAGCAAGGGCTCTGGAGTCGGCCTGCCTGAGGTCAAAAGATCACCGGTGTGATCTTCAGCAGGTAACTCTTGGGACCTCCACAAGGATAAAAATAATACCTAACTCACAGCACTGTTTTAAGGATTAAAGAAGTTAATACTCTTAAAGGGCTTGGACTGGTCCTAAGCAGACGGTGTTGCCAGATACAGCAAATGAAAATAAGGGCACCCGGTTAAATTCGAATTTCAGAGCATTGAGCACACCCAAAACATTAAGATAAATGGAAAGGGTAGGCAGTAAGGAACAGATGTGGCCACTTGGAATTAAAAGGAGGATGGAGACAGAATGCTGAGGAACACATATATTTAAGGAGCAGAGGAGTCAGTGGAGGAGGTTGAGAAGGGACTATCTGAGAAGTAATGGGAGAAGCAGTGTTCTAAGGGAGTAACAATTTCAAGAAAGGTGTAGTATAATAGCATAAAATGCTGCCATAACATGGAATAAAGACTGAGAAGAAACTCATGTACTTAGCAAGAAAGAGATCGGTGGTGACCTCGTAGAGAAGGTTTACAGAGAGGTGAAGCCAGAAGCTCACTGCAAAGAGGAAGGAAGGCACCCAACCCAGCTACCAGACACTGTGAAGACCCATCTTTCTCAACCATCTCATGGGTTTACTCAGGTAATGATTCCCAACTAGGACTCTTCTACATACACATCAACACACATACACCAAGAATGTATTTCAGAAACTTCATGGGTAGAGGATGGGGGCGTTGGGGTGGGTGAGGTATGAATATTTTTAAGATATTCTCAATTATGGGGTCAGCAGGTAAGAGTGCACAGATTATAAGAAAATTCAAGTCAGGGGAGGGGGTTTCAGGGTGGAAAGGAATGGAGGATTGGAAGGGAATTTATACCATCTATATAGTGCATTCACTGAGCTGGGAACCAACGTGTGTTCAGTCAGCAAATATTTACTGAGTGCCCACGATGTGCTACACACTCTATGAAGAAATGGTTCCTTGCGCTTGAGGACTATTAATCTGAAGGGGGAGAAGTGTAGTGGTAAGTGATGTTCAAACTACTTTTGTCTGATATTGATTCCTTTGACTTTTCTGAGAAATGCTCCTACTTCCATTTCAACCATGGGTTCTAGTGGGACTTTCGTGCCTCAGAGGACCCCATTCTCCATGACCATATAAGTGGGAATGTCAAGGGGTGGGAATTTAACCCAGTTTGCCAAAGCAAGATATTCCATCCTTGTGGCCACTAGTTGTTTAATCTTGGAATGGCCACCTGAACTAAGCAAATCAGAGCCTTTCTGGATTTATGAATTTGGGGCCAGAATCCCAGTCCATCTTTGGTAGGAAGGGGGGAAATGTATTCTTAAGAGCTGCTGGAAGTCTTGAGCCCAGCTTTCTAGAGGAAGTAGGTATTGGAAAATGTTGTGGATATGTGAGAAAACCAGAGAATGTAACTATTTTTATAATTAAAAATGTAGATGTATAGATATAAATGTAGATGTATAGATGTAAATGTAGATGGCTAGAGAATAATTTCCATTCTCTAATAATTCTACCGCAGCTTCAAATTCAGATACTTTTAGAAAACACTAATTTTTATGTCACAATAAAAAGGGCCAACAGGGACGCCTGGGTGGCTCAGTTGGTTAAGCAGCTGCCTTCGGCTCAGGTCATGATCCCAGCGTCCTGGGATCGAGTCCCGCATCGGGCTCCTTGCTCAGCAGGGAGCCTGCTTCTACCTCTGCCTCTGCCTGCCATTCTGTCTGCCTGCACTCGCTCTCTCTCCCTCTCTCTCTCTGACAAATAAATAAAATCTTTAAAAAAAAATAAAATAAAAAGGGCCAACATTTATACTGAAAAGGCTTAGAAACAGAATATTCCTAGCACCCAAATTATGGTCTCTAAAACTATTTCTCACTAAAAGGAATCAGAACTCCCTAGAGAAATGGCTGATTCCAGGTTTGGGGCAAGAAATGGAACCTGGCCATAGCAATTAGGCAAGAAAAAGAAATAAAAGTCATCCAAATGGAAAGGAAGAAGTTAAAGTGTCACGGTTTGCAGATGACATGATACCATAAATAGAAAACCCTAAAAAATCCACCAAGAAACCATTAGAACTAATAAATAAATGTTGCAGGATATGTAATCAATATGCAAAACTTTCTTGCATTTCTATACACTATTAATGAAATATAAGAAAGAGAAATAAAGAAAATAATCCCATTTACAATCACATCAGATACAATAAAATATCTAGCAACAAATTTAACCAGGCAGGTGAAAGACCTGTACACTGAAACCATAAGACACTGATGAGAGAAACTGAAGAAGACAGATAAATGGAAAGATATTCCATGCTCATGGCTTAGAAGAATATTGTTAAAAATGTCCCTATTACCCAAAGCAATCTAAACTCAGTGTGATACCTATCAAAATTCCAATGGCATACTTCACAAAACTAGAATAATTCTAAAAATTTGTATGGAACCACAAAAGATCCCAAAGAGCCAAAGCAATGTTGAGAAAGAAGAAAGCTGCATGCAGGAATCGTGCTCCCTGATTTCAAATTATACGAAAAGCTACAGTAATCAAAACAGTATGGTATTAGTACAAAAACAGACACACAGATTAAAGGAACAGAGTGGAGAGCCCAGAAGTAAACCCACACATATAGGGATGATTAACCTATGACAAAGGAGCCAAAAACATATGATGAAGAACAGTCTTTTTAATAAAGGTGTTGGGAGGAGCATCTGCGTAGGTCAGTAGGTTAAGCATCTGACTCTTGATTTTGGCTCAGATCATGATCTCAGGGTCAGGAGATCCAGCCGTGTTAGACTCCATGCTGAGCGTGGAGCCTGCTTGGGATTTCGTCTCTCCCTCTCCCACTGCCCCCTGCGTGCTTGTGCTCTCTCTTTAAAAAAAAAAAGTAGGGCACCTGGGTGGCTCAGTGGGTTAAAGCCTCTGCCTTCGGCTCAGGTCATGATCTCAGGGTCCTGGGATCGAGGCCCGCATCGGGCTCTCTGCTCAGTAGGGAGCCTGCTTTCCCCTCTCTCTCTATCTGCCTCTCTGCCTACTTGTGATTTCTGTCTGTCAAATAAATAAATAAAATCTTTAAAAAAAAAATTAAAGGGCTCCTGGGTGGCTCAGTGGGTCGAGCTGCTGCCTTCGGCTCAGGTCATGATCTCAGGGTCCTGAGATCGAGTCCCACGTCGGGCTCATCCTCAATGGGGAGCCTGCTTCCCTTCCTCTCTCTCTGCCTGCCTCTCTGCCTACTTGTAATCTCTCTCTGTCAAATAAATAAAATCTTAAAAAATAAAAATAAAAAATCATAAATCATAAAATAACTTTGGAGGATGCTAGGGAACCAACTCCTTATTCTCAAAACTAGTAAACAAAGGGAAACAATCAAGTATTAATTCTCCTTTTCTTTTATCTTAGTGTACCAAAATAGCTGATGTGAAATTCAGGAGGAATGACAATCAAATATCATCATTTTGCAACCCCTAATAAAATAATGGATCTAGGTAATAAATATTAATGGCTGCTGAGATCACTAGGTGAACGGCCAATGGGAAACCTTACAATGGAGGGGATCGGGCTGACCATTTCAACATCCAATAATCAATCTTAACACCATAAAAAGAGAGATGACAAATTATGGGCTATTACAGACGGAGTGTTTATGTACCTCCCAAATTCATATGTTGACGTTCTACCCCACAATGTGATTGTATGTGAAGACAGGGCCTCTGGGAATAATTAGAGTTAGATGAAGTGATGATGGTAGGGCCCTTATGATGGGATCAGTGGTGTCATGAAAAGAGGAAGGGAGAGCGATCTCCTGGAAAGGCCACATGTGGACATAGCAAGAAGGTGGCCACTTACAAGCCTCGAAGAGAGCTCTCAACAGGAACCAAACTGGCTGGCCCCTTGATCTTAGCCTTCTCAGCCTCCAGAACTGTGAGAAATAAATTTTTGTTTTTTAAGTCACCTAGTCTGTGGTATTTTGTTACGGCAGCCTGAGCTGATTAGGATATAAGCCTAATACATAGAATTTAAGAAACAACAGAGGATCATAGGGGAAGGGAGGGAAAAATAATGCAAAATGAAATCAGATAGGGAGGCAAACCATACGAGATTCTCAGTCACAGGAAACAGGTTGCTGCAGGTCAGAGGGGTGGGGGATGGGGTACTGGGTGATGGACATTAAGGAGGGCATGTGATGTATGAGCGTGGGGTATTACACAAGACTGATGAATCACTGAACTCTATCTCTGAAACTAATAATGCACTACATGTTGACTAACTGAATTTGAGTTAAAAAAATCTAAAAAGGGGCACCTGGGTGGCTCAGTTGGTTAAGCGACTGCCTTCAGCTCAGGTCATGATCCTGGAGTCCCAGGATCGAGTCCGGCATCAGGCTCCCAGCTCCACGGGGAGTCTGCTTCTCCCTCTGACCTTCTCCTCGCTCATGCTCTCTCTCACTGTCTCTCTCTTCTCTCAAATAAATAAATAAAATGTTTTTAAAAAAAAATCTAAAAAGATCCAAAGTAGACACAAACCGAATCCTAACAAGGAAAAAAAAAAAAAAAAGAGCCTACTGACGTGATGAAATAGGAAGTACATGGCACCATTTATGAAGCCATTTTCCTAAAAATATCAAATCTATGTCTAATCAAGTATCTAGATTTAATTACCAGTTAGTGGGAAATACAGGAGATGGGGAAATTTGCATTCTAAGTAGATGTTCAATAATATCCAGGAATGACTGTTAGAGAAACTGCAGTGCAATGTTGGGAATGTAAAATGGTTTAGCTGCTTTGGGAAACAGTTGGGCAGTTCCTCAAAATGTTAAACATAGAGCTAACATATGGTCTAGCAATTCCTAGGTATATACCCAAGAGAAATGAAAACACAAGTCCACACAAAAAATTGTACACAAATGCTAACAGCAGCATTATTCATAAATGCTCAAAAGTAGAAGCAACCCAAATGTTATCAAACACAATGTGGTAGAGTCCTACAACAGAATGTTATTCAGCCATAAAAACGAATGAAGTATTAGTACATGCTACAACACAATTGAACCTTGGAAATGGCTCAGGTCATGATCCCAGGGTCCTGGGATTGAGCCCCACATCGGGCTCTCTGCTCAGCGGGGAGCCTGCTTCCCCCACCTCCCCCCGCCTGCCTCTCTGCCTACTTGTGATCTGTCAAATAAATAAATGAAATCTAAAAAAAAAAAAGATGCCAGACACAAAGGTCACATACATGGTTCCCTTTATATTAATGTCTAGAGTAGGCAAATCCAAAGAGGTAGAAAGTAGATTATAGTAAAGAATACATACAACACAACAATTTAGACAGTGTGGTAGTGGTATAGGGGAGACAAATCAATGGAAAAGAATATAGAATCCAACACCAGACTTACACAAAAATGGTCATTTCATCTATGACAAATGCTGTATATAATTCAGTGTGGAAAAAATAGTCTTTTGATAAATGGTGCTGGATCAACCAGATATCCATATGGGAAAAAAAGATTCCTGACTCCTACCTCACACCATACACAAAAGTTAATTCAGGATAGGGATAGGCCTAAATAAGAAAGCTAAAACAATCAAATCTCTAGAAGAAAACATATAGAATGGGCAATGATTTCTTAAATAGGACTAAAAACCAATAACCATTAGAGAAAAGATTTGTAAGTTGATTTATTTCCATCCAGACACCACGGAAGAATAAAAAGGCAAGCCACAGCTTGATAAATTTTCACAATACACATATCTGATGAAAAGACTTGGATCTAGAAATTATAAAAAAAGTCCTATAATCAGTAAGAATGAGATGATACAACGAAAACTTAGGAAAAAAAAAAAAAGATTTAAAAAGCACTCCAGAGGGGCGCCTGGGTGGCTCAGTGGGTTAAGCCTCAGGGTCCTGAGATCGAGCCCCGCATCGGGCTCTCTGCTCAGCAGGGAGCCTGCTTCCCCCTCTCTCTCTGCCTGCCTCTCTGCCTACTTGTGATCTCTGTCTGTCAAATAAATAAATAAAATCTTTAAGAAAAAAAAAAAAGCACTCCAGAAAAGAGGATATCCAAATAGCCAATATACATATCGCTCAGTATCATCAGTTTTTAGAAAAAGGGATTAAAACCATGAGATACCACTATACACCTATCAGAATAGTTACAATGAAACAGATTGGTAAGTGTCAGTAAAGAGAGCAACTAAATTCTTTCACACTGCTGATAGAGGGTAAATTGGTACAACTACTTTGAAAAAAATGTTTGGCAGTACCTACTGTTGCTAAAATATGTGTAGCTAATGACCTAGTAATTCTACTCCTGGATATATACCCAATAAGGCAGAGTGTTATGTCCATCAAAGGACATGAACCAATTTATGGCAACTTTGTTCATAATATGCCCAAACTGGAGACAACCCAAATGTCCATTAACAGAATAATGGATAAATAAATTGTGGTATAGTCATACAGTAGACTATTACTCAGTCAAGAATAAGAATGAACTATTACTGGGCATGTGGGTGGCTCAGTCCGTTAAGTGTCTGCCTTTGGCTCAGGTCATGATTTCAGGGTCCTGGGATCGAGTCTTACAACAGGCTCCTTGCTCAGCAGGGAGCCTGCTTCCACCCCCAACCCCGGCCCTCCCCCGCTCACGCTTGTGTGCTCTCTATCACAAAAATAAATAAATAAAAATCTTTTTAAAAAAAATGAACTATTGCTGCATGCAGTAACACAATGCATTAGCAGACTTAACGGCTGATTGGAAGAAACTGGACACTAAATAGTACAAAATATGTATGAGGCCATTTATATGAAATACCTAGACAGATACAACCAGTCTATAAGGACAGAGGTCAGAATTGTGGTTCCCCCTGGCTGGGGGCACTGATTGGGAGGCAACATAAGAGAGCATTCTGGAAGCGGGAAATGTTCCGTATCTTGATCTCAACAGGGGTCACACCAGTGTACTCATATGAAAAAATGAGCTCTACATTTAGGATCTGTGCACTTTACTGCATGCAAGTTACACCTACAAGAAAATGCAAAGGTTCTTATCTTTTATAGACAGATTTTGTGCCCATAAATAAATGATTTGGTTTAAAATAATACAGAAAAAGAGGTGGGGGTCTGAATAACATAAGAATGGTCACATGTCGGGACGCCTGGGTGGCTCAGTCGGTTAAGCAGCTGCCTTCGGCTCAGGTCATGATCCCAGCGTCCTGGGATTGAGTCCCACATCGGGCTCCTTGCTCAGCAGGGAGCCTGCTTCTCCCTCTGCCTCTGCCTGCCATTCTGTCTGCCTGTGCTTGCTCTCTCTCCCTCTCTCTCAATCTGACAAATAAATAAATAAAATAAAATCTTTAAAAAAAAAAAAAAAGAATGGTCACATGTCAATCGCTGCTGAAGTCAGATGATGGGTACCTGGGAACTGGTTACATTCTTTGGTCTACTGCCGCATGTCTAATTTTGCACATCGGCGTTCTCAAAGGTTCACATTACAGAGTTTACTTACAGTTTCAATTGCCATTTCTATGGCCGCATTATCTTCTGAGCTCGGACATTTCAGGAAATGTTTAAGTGCCTGAAATGAGAATTGCATAGCAATTGAAAACGTGCAGCCCGCTTTCACCCTGGGGAAAAACAAAGTTTTCACACACTCAAAGTAATGATAGTTCCTGAAAGTACCCTCCTCTCAGCCAGGGGCGTGTGTTGTCTGGGTCTTAAAATACACTCTTGAAAGGCTGAGTGCAGTCTCAGCGATGGAAGGATCCAGTGAACCTTCTACAGAATTTAGTTCAGACTTCTGGTGAGAGGAGAATGAAAAATAAGCCCTTTTTCATTGTGAAGAAATAATTATTTTCATTCATTTGTTCGTCCGACAGGTATCTACTGCCCATGTGCTACTACATACATGAGACTGTGCTGGCTGCTGGGGAGAATCCCAGGAAGGACAGATCTGTGTAATGCCATGATATAAGGAACCAATTATTTTAAGTCGTAATGGGCTAATTCCACAACACTACACCATCACATCTATGAAGAAAATTAAGGTTATAAAAGTTTAAATGATAAAGGGGCAGTATGACTGGTTGTTTTCATAGGTGCTCCGAGGAAGAAAAGTTGATCTACATGGGGATGGTCCCAAAGGTGCCACCCAGGAAAAATGACTTGAAGAGGAACAGGTCCGTGGTAGGTGGGGAAGAGGAGAATCTAGATGAGAAAAGGACTGGGAAAAGGCTAGCAGGAATATAGGTTTTTTCCAATGGAAACAGCTAGATGCCAGCAGCTGGCTGGGAAGTTCCGGCTCATTGGTCAATTTGTGGGACTTCTCTTGAGTGTCAGTTAAGGAGTCTGGACATTATCTAAGTGGCCAGAAACTCTAAGTTGGTGGCCAGAAAGCTGAGTTCACACACAGTGTTTTTTTTTGGTGAGTGAGGTATTATACAAATATCTGGGTCCCTATTTTAAAATTGGGAGACTGAGACTTCTGTTTCTCATGAAAAACCCTCTGATCGGGCACTAGTAGGACCACTTCCTGAAAGGCAACAATGTTCTGGTAGCAGAAGCTATTTCTGTTAGACCAAACAGGTGCCACCCAGTAGTCCCCAACCTGTCACACAATGAATGCACAGCATTGCTTAGTTCTGTCCTTGCTAGAACCCCTGCTGTGGGGCTCTTTAGCAATGCAAGTATGTACCATTTGGGGAACAAAATGTAGGGTGAGTTATAGGGACAGAAACTAAAAACAGGGAAAATAGAAATAATATTTTAATAATCGAATAATAAGTGGGGTGACCCAGGTCTGAATTAAGTCGATAGTAGGTAGAATGAAAAGGGACAGATGTCAGAGATACTACAAAGGAAGAATGTGACTGGCTGTGGGAGAGAGAGGATTTAAAGTTAACTCAGACTTCAGATCTGGGTGTCTGGGAGCATAATATATTTTAAAATATTTCTAGGGCACCTGGCTGGCTCAGTTGGTGGAACATGTGACTCTTGATCTCAGGCTCATGAGTATGAACCCCACATTGGGCATAGAGATAACTAAAAAAAAAAAAAATTCCCCTAAGCATTCCCATGGAGTTCAATGTGTATTTTCTTGGGAAATACTAACTCGTGAATACTGGCCACACAGCAGGAAGAATTTTCCAGCCTGAAAATGTCTTTTTTCTCCTTCAAAATATAAGGCGATGCTTTGATAGTCTTCATTAGAAGTATCTTCAGAACCTACGACAGAAGTTCATTGAGTAAAACATCTGAGCAAAAGGTGTTTACCTTTTATTGTTAACTTAAAAATAAGATCCAAAATCAGATGATTAAAAAAAATTTAACTGTGAATATCAGTGTTGCTATGAGTGTTTGTTTTCCTCACAAAACCCCTTCACCATCATTACCCCAAATATCAACTCTGTTGCATCTTCTTTTCACTCAAACAGGAATCAGGACAGGAAATGAGGAGGCTTTGTGAGAATCTAGGTTGTGGTTTGACATTACCCTTTGTAACTTTTATCCATCTTTCAGAGCCTTATCTCCTCTCCTGAAACAACAGGAACAACTAGGACTATAATCGCCATCGTGATGGGCTTAGAGTTTCGGAACAATCACAGGTCAACTTTAATAGAAATGTAATCCGTCTCCCCGTCTCAGCACTGCCTGGTTTCGACAACTGTCTGTATTTGTCAGACAAATAAGGAGGTAATATTCAAGTAGCCCATAGATGCCATTTAAAGATAATTACTGTTTTTCTTTATATGTTAAGCAAAGAGGGAGAAGGACCTAAAATCATTGCTTACATTTACACAGAGGAGTCGGAGGTCCATTAATGTACCAAATATAACGATAGCCCTGGGCCTCCAGCCCAAGGTACAGAGGAAGTTTATGGGAGAAGGGGGTAAAGAAAGGTGGAGAAAAGTAACTCTGTGTGTGTGTGTGTGTGTGTGTGTGTGTGTGTGTGTGCGTGTGCGTGCGCATACGCGCAAGCAAAAAAATGCTTATGAAATGAAAAAAATCTCAAATGCATTAGTGCTGTGGTGATCGGCAGTGTTGAGACAGAAATGTCATCTGTCAAGCTAAACGTTAATGAGTCTAATGTTCCTTTTGTCTGTATTTCCTTTTTTTCTTTAGCTGTTTATTTTCTCCAATTATCTGAATGGCTTTGTAAGATATTAGAAGATGCTTTTACCTATTTGTTCCCTTAAAGACTGAAAGAAAGATTTTTTCATAAATCCTATCATCAATTCTTATGGATTCACAATTCTTTTGTGAATTAAAAAAAACAAAAAACAAAATAACAGAAGGTTGCCTGGGTGGCTCAGTCCATTGAATGTTGGGTCTTGATTTCAGCTCAGGTCTTGATCTCAGGGTTGTGAGTTCAAGCCTCACATTGGGCTCCACACTGTGCACGGAGCCCACTTAAAAAAATAAATAAAAATAAGTAAGTAAATTAAAAAACCCAAAATAACACAGAAGGACCAACACTTATATGTCACTTATATGAAACACTATGAATCATTAAATTTATAGACACAGAAAGTACAACAGTGGCTGTCAGGGGCTGGAGGAGAGGGAAACGGGGAGATACTGCTCACTGAGTACAGGGTTTTAGTTCAAGATGATGGAAAAGTTCTGAAAATGGGTGGTGGTGATGGTTGTACAATGCTAATGTACTTAATATGACTGAACTGTACATGTAAAAATGGTTAAAATGGTAAATTTATGTTATGTGTACTTTTCCACAATAAAAACAAAACAAAATAAAATACCACCACAAATAACATTATATATGAATCTCAAAATTATTTCAGTGGTTTCTAGGAATAATTGCAAACAAGGGAAGAAAACCTATTAGGCAAGTGTTCTCAGAATAGAAAAATTCTCTTTTGGACCTTCTTCTGGAAAACCGTATCTCGCTTATATCACTCTTCATCCAAGTATAATCATATAATCTTAATTTATAAGTCAATTTAAAACATTTATGAAAATATTTCTTAAAAAATTCTTTAGTGTTTTCAGTTACCTTCATTTTGGAACCTTGTTTTAACACTGGTTGACAAACAGCAGAATTTGGGAAATCGGACCTCTTTTAAAGGTCCCCCCAAAAACTGGATTTTTGAAAATGGTCTTATAATTCCATCTCACTTTGAGACAGTAGGAATCCTGAAATCCGACAAGTACCATACAGATATGCGTGTGTCTATGTGTAAATGGTGTGAGGGTATGTGCTTGGGGCATGCCTATCGGAAACTTGAATCGTAAGAGTTGAGGATTCCTATGATACAAATCTTTAAGAGAAATGAGGGCAAACAGTGGTATTTACCAATAATGTCTGCATAGATTTCCATTTTGTTGTGCTGCTGAGCCAGTGTGAAAGCTTCATTATTACATTTGGACATAACAAGAAACTGGATGGCAGACCCGTAGTCACCCAACTGTAGGAAAAACCTAAAACAAAGTAACTTTCATCAGTTTGACTCATTTCAAGTAAGTTTGTCATTGACAAAATAAAATCTTTCTGCAACTATGAGAAGCCACTGAAGAAAACAGGCAAACCGCAGTTCTACACTTTAGGCTTGTGTTCGAAAAGCATTACTCTCACGCACTGACCGCAACAGGCACACTTTGAACTTAAATACTCAGACCAAACCAAAAGACTAAATATTCCCTTGGAGTTTTCAAAGGGAATATTTGAGTTTTCAAAGGGAGTATTTAGTCTTTGGAAAATTTTTTGTTTTAAAATTTTAAAAATTTGGTACGAAATTTATTTGATGAGGGGAAGTGCGGACTTTCTTTTTTTGGAACCCCAAAGAACATGCATTCTGTTACCTGGCTACCATTTTGGCGCCATCCAGAGACTGGGTCTCTCTGACAATACTGACAGCCTCCTCAGGATTGTTGAGGTGATCCAGATAGATGCGGATGACACTGTTCCACTGTTTCGCATTCTCATAAGCCACAACAGCTTCTTTGTATCTGCAAGAAATACTTAGTTCAGAACAGCTTTCTTAACACTGTTGCATTGGGGAGAAATGTCAATAAACGGGACAATTTTTTAATGATAGTGATTTCTTTCTTTCTTTATTGGAGAGAGAGAGAGAGAGAGAGAGAGAGACAGCAAGAGAGGGAACACAAGCGGGGGGGTGGGTGGGAGAGGAAGAAGCAGGCTCCCTACTGAGTGAGGAGCCCGATGTGGGATTTGATCCCAGGACTCTCAGATCATAACCTGAGCCAAAGGCAGATGCTTAACCACCTGAGCCACCCAGGTGCCTGTTTGGTGGTGGTTTCTTATTTTTCTTGAACTACTTCTTCATCAGAAAGAATATAAGGACTCGTCTCACTAAAATGTGTTCTTTTTACAGGTTTAATAAACTAACAGTAAAATATTCACATTGAATTGTGTTTTCTCACCTGAATCATGTAATTTTTTACACTTTACTTTTTTTGGAGTGGGAAGACTAAAACAGTGGTATAAGCTTATTTTAGAAAACAGAAAATACAGACTATTCCACATTTACAGGTATAGCAAAAAGTGATCTATAAAATCTTTGTGTGTCAACCTCTAGATGGAGCTCGAGACTTCTCTTCATTCCCCACTAGCTCTCCATCCAGCTCTTTCCATTCTAGTAAGACATTTAATGAGGTAGAGCTTTTTCATGTTTATACGAAATACAATTTCATAATTGTGTTTCCTCCTCTGGGAACCCTTGACTTTGAGTTTCTTATAGCATGTTGCTGGGAATCTTTGTATGTTTTGGATATTAACTATCCATTGCTGTATCTTGACACTGTTTTGTGGCTCTCACTGAGCTATCATGGGTGGGGAATTTGTATTCCTTCACTGTTCTTATCCTCTGCATCCATGTTATCCTTCATAATAAAATGATGATCACTTTGTTTTCATGCCACATTACATCAAAAATATCAACCTTAATATTTAACTCTCAAATACAAGAGACAGTAGCCTATATTTGAATATACAAGGGATCAATTGAGGTATATAAGTTACGGGAGAGACTGAACATTCTGGCATTCAGGCAAGATGAAGGCAAAAGATGTTTCCTTCCTCCACTCTGCCTTTTGCAGAGGTTGCAAAGGTTGATGGTTAATTTATCAAACTTACAAAGTGCTTTAAATCTGAATGAATCTGAGAATCCATACAAACCTTCCATCGGCTTCTTTCGCTTTGGCATACTGCAAGTGAATCTTTGGGGAAGAAACACGAGGCAGAAGCTCACCAACTTTGGCCCTAGAAGGCAGGTTTTGGAGAATAATGTCAGCACTATGTTCAAACCCGAGGTAGTGTCCTACAATCAAATGTTAGTTTTTAGGATTCAAAATAGTTATCACAATCTTTAAAGAAATCTTGGCTCCTATAGGTAGAAGCGGACGTAACTGCTTTTCCTTCTGACCCCACACCCCTGCCCTCCCTCTCTGTGGGAAACCAAGACAGTGGTTGAGCTCTTCGGGGACAACAGAGCTTTTTCCCCTAGTAACTTGTCTGATCAGAGATCTCCCCACACCAGACTGATAGGACATACTGTTCTTTGGAAAGTGAACTATGAACATGAGCTCACAGAAGAAGAAGAAGGAGATAAAGAGAAGAGGGAACAGGATGTCCAGGAGGGAGGAACTGCAAGGAAACAAGAGGGGAGACCACCAGGACCCCTTCATTTCCACACCTGCTTGGAACAAGTTTTAGCCAATTCTTACCAATTCTTACAGCGGATGTAAACCGAGGCTGCTTTGTCATAATAGAGACCCTTTTCATACAGTTGGGCTGCTTCTGAAAATTGCTAAATTAATAGGAGATTATTAAAACACTGAATTTATTACATGAAAGTGCCCATGAATATTTATGCAGAGACAAGCACACCTTCATATTCTCCAATATGGCGCCACAGTCTCTTTTAAGGACCCTGCTGGGATGCTTCAGCGCCTGGTTAACCCCTCGGCGTATGTCTCCCATTCTTATGGACATCTGGGCCACCCCAGCCAGACACACTTCATCGTGTTCCTGAAATCATAAGGCAAATAACTTACAAATCAGACCCTAAGTTAAACTGATTTATTTCAGCCAAACAATTAATTTAAATCTAAAATGAGCCCAAACACTACTTTCATTAACCCTTCCAGGCAAATCTCAAGGTTATGAAATAACACAGAGTCCTTTTTTTTTTTTTAAATCACCCGTTACAAAGCCATACTTTTTTTCTTTAGAAGTCTAGATCTTTATAAATATCTAACAATTTCACTCATATGTGGAAGTTAAGAAAGAAAACCGATGAACATAGAGGAAGGGAAGGAAGAATATGATAAAAGCAGAGAGGGAGGTAAGCTATAAGAGACTCTTAGCTACAAAGAACAATCTGAGGATTGCAGGGGGGAGGTGGGTGGGAGGTCGGGGTAACTGGGTGATGGGCATGAAGGAGGTCACTTGATGGAATGAATACCAGGTGTTAAATGCAACTGATGATTCACTAAATTCTTCCCCTGAAACTAATAATACACTTATGTTAACTAACTTGAATTTAAATAAACCTAAAAAGAAGTCTAGATCGTTGATGCTTAAGAACAAATTTTTACTACCCCATGTCATAATGCCTTGTATATCTTTGTATGTCTTCTTGGTATAAAATTTTATACCAAGAAGTAATATATCTGGTACACAGCATAAATGCTATGAGCAAAATTAAGGAAAAAAACCATTTATGGAATTGAAGATTTCTCCATTAGACAGGATTAAACATTAAAAACTTTATATAAAATTGCCTAATTCATTAAAGATAACTAGAGAAATTTTCAAGTAATTAATGTGTACTAGTGAACTATACTGTCAGATTGCATTTTATGCACCAGGTCTAGAACACTCTGGTGATGGAAACGTTCTGTACCTGCCTGGTCCAACGTGGTAGCTAACAGTCACGAGCAGCTCTTGAGTAGCTGAAATATGGCCAGTGTGACAGAGGAACTGAATTCTAAATTTTTTTTCATTTTCATGAGTTTAAATAGCCATGTGTGGCTAGCAGCTACTGTATTCAATAACACGGATTAACAAAAAAAAAACACCTAAAATATATGTAGCCAAAGAAAAGATCAAAAACCCGAGTTACATGGACAAAGGATATGATCAGGCAATTCATAAAAAAACATGTAATTGACCAAGAAATAAAACATGCTCAGCTCCACTAATAATCAAATACACATAAAATACCTTTTTTTGGCTTATGAAATTGGTAGAGGAGATAACACGGTAACATTAGATGTTGTTGGAAATGGGGGGTGGGATCGACACCTCCATACAGACAGGCCTTTAGCTGTGTAAGTCGCTATAAATTCTTTTGGAGAGCAACCTGACATTGTAAGAAATTAAAATCATACATTCTATGACCTAGAAATCCCATCTATAAGAATATATCCTTCAGAAATACTATCTTAGGTAGTTAGAGATACAAGTATACTAGGTAGAACATTCATTGCAGTATTTTCATAGTAAAAAAAAAAAAGCAAAAACAAATAAAATTCAATAAGGGAGTAGATGAAAAAACTGTGCACATCTAAACAACAGGACATGAGGGGGAGCCTAGATGGCTCAGTGGGTTAAAGCCTCTGCTTTCTGCTCAGGTCACGAAGGAGCCTGCTTCCTCCTCTCTCTGCCTGCCTCTCTGCCTACTTGTGAGCTCTGTCTGTCAAACAAATAAATAAAATCTTTAAAAAAAAAATAAATAAAATAAACAACAGGACATGAGAAACTCTTAAAAGATTAAAATCGATTTGTGTGTATTGACTTGAAAGACCATGAAGAAAGCCAAATGCTGCTTTTCATAGAATGGATTTCAGTTCATCTTTGCTAAATGAATGGAAATGAATGATTCCGTATTTAGTAAAAACCCACATCTCATACATATATCTGCATGCTTACAAGAGATTCTTGTGTGGAAACATATAAAACTGTGACCAGTGGTTACCACTGAGTCATGTGATAGAGGAGAGAATGAAAAGGTGACTTTTCATGTCACACTGTCGCAGTTTTTTAAATTGACTGTAATGAAATTATGACTTCTATAATAAAAATTCTAGATAAAAGAAAGGAAATAAGATTTTCACTCTTTACAAGACATCACGTAAAAACATCAAATAAAATTTTCACTCTTAACAAGACATCATGCAAAAACATCAAATAAGATTTTCACTCTTTACAAGACATCACGTAAAAACATCAACTTTTATTGCAAAATTTGGCTTCTTGAGCTAAAATTCTAGGGGGAGAATGGGCTGGAATAGTGGGTAAAGTCCATGCTTTCCAGGATCATCATAAAAGATACAGCGTGACAGATGAAGGGGCAGAATGGACTTTATGGCATGGGAGTTAACTTCTCAGTGGTTAGTGAAACGTTTTAAGAGAGTGAAAGGAAAAGCTTCGTGAAAATCATAGTCAGCCTATACATGGGAAGGCATAAAAATTTTACTCCCAGCATTAACAAGAAGCTCACAGTTAATATACAAAGGAAAATATCTCTTTTTCAGACTGATAAAAATATTTTCACCTTCAGTTTTTAAGTGTTTTTAAATGATGAAACTATATCCTTTGCAAGGTTGTTAATAAACTGAAAAAGAGCTCACCTACCAGATACTGAATAAATAAGAAGCAATTCAGACAATGGCTTTTTAAACGAAACTAACAAACCTGAAGATAATTACACATATCTTGATTCAAGGTTACCTTCTGATCACCAGTTATTCCTTTCTCATAATGAGCCAAAGCATTTACATAATCACCCCTGAAAGAAAAATCAGAGTGAATTTCAATACATAAATATGTATCATATTTACATAGACAAGATTTAAAAGATAATCTTTGTCACTGGGTTGCTTGAGCTCACAAAAGATGTGATACACAACATACAAGCTTTTTTTTTTTTTCAAGTGCAGTTCATTTTAAAAATGATTACAGGGGCACCTGGGGGTGGCTCAGTCAGTTGAGCGTCTTTTTTTTTTTTTAAGATTTTATTTATTTATTTGAAAGAGAGGCAGTGAGAGAGAGCATGAGCGAGGAGAAGGTCAGAGGGAGAAGCAGACTTCTCGTGGAGCTGGGAGCCCTATGCGGGACTCGATCCCAGGACTCCGGGATCATGACCTGAGCCAAAAAGCAGTCGTCCAACCAACTGAGCCACCCAGGTGTCCTACATCTGACTCTTGATTTTGGTTCAGGTCATGGTCTCTTGGGTCGTGAGACCGAGCTCTGTGCTGACCAGGGAAACTGCTCAAGATTCTCTCCCCCACTCCCTCGGCTCCCCACCCCAACATGCACTCTCTCTCAAAAAATAATAATTATAAAGCTAGATTATGCGAGACTGTAGGGTACTTACTTTGTAGTATGTCAGGCATTTTGGGGGGCTATGTTAAATGTGATGGGCCACTTCTGGGGGGAATCCTTTATGTTTAAAAAATTATTTTTTAAATTCAAGTATAATTAACATACAGTGTTGTTAGTCAGGTGTACAATGATTCAACGAATGCGCCTCAGTGCTCATCATGGAAAGTGTACTGTTAATACCTTCCACCTACTTCACCCCCTGCCCCATCTCCCCTCTGCCAACCACCAGTTTGTTCTCTATTTTTAGGAGTATGGGTTGTCTTTTTTCTTCATTTATTTTGTTTCTTAAATTCCACCTATGAGTAAAATCATACAGTATTTGTTTTTCTCTGACTTAATTTCTTTTTTTTTTTTTAAGATTTTATTTATTTATTTGATAGACAGAGATTACAAAGTAGTCAGAGAGGCAGGCAGAGAGAGAGGAGGAAGCAGGCTCCCCGCTGAGCAGAGAGCCCAATGTGGGGCTCAATCCCACGACCCTGGGATCATGACCTGAGCCGAAGGCAGAGGCTTTAACCCACTGAGCCACCCAGGCGCCCCACTCTCTGACTTAATTTCTTTTTTTTTTTTTAATAGTTTTTTTTTTTTAAAGATTTATTTATTTGACAGACAGAAATCACAAGTAGGCGGAGAGGCAGGCAGAGAGAGAGAGGAGGAAGCAGGCTCCCCGCTGAGCAGAGAGCCCGACGCGGGGCTCGATCCCAGGACCCTGGGATCATGACCTGAGCCGAAGGCAGAGGCTTTAACCACTGAGCCACCCAGGCGCCCCTGACTTAATTTCACTTAGCGTTTTACCCTGTAGATCCACCGGTGTTATTACAAATGGCAAGACTGCACTCTTTTTTACGGCCAAGCAAACACCGCATTGTGTGTACACCACACCCTCTGACCCGCTCATCTGTTGGTGGACACTCGGGTTGCTTCCCCATCTAGGCTCTTGTAAATAACACTGCAGTAAATGTAGGATTGCATTCAAAAATACATCTTTTTGAATGAGTGTTTTCAGGGTTTTTTTTGAGTAAATACCCAGTAGTGTGATTACTGGATCATATAATAATTCTGTTTTTAATTTTCTGATGAATCTCCATGCTGTTTTCCACAGTGGCTGTTCCAGTTTGCATTTCCACCAACAGTGCACGAGGGTTCCTTTTTCTCACATCCTCACCAATACCTGTTTCTTGTGTTTTTTATTTTAGACATTCTGACAGGTGTGAGATGATATCTGATTGTGGTTTTGATTTGCATTTCCCTGATGCTGAGTGCTTTTCCACGGATCTCTTGGCCATCTGTATGTCTTCCTTGGAGAAATGTTTGTTCGTGTCTTCTAAATAGGCCACTTTTGATGATCTCTTTTTGGGCACTAAATGACAGTCACGTGACCATGAAAATGAATGTATTTTCTGAAGGCCCAATATTTGTAAGAAGAATATGTATTGAAGGGATCAGGGTAGACACGAAGGAACACGGTTAGGATTACAGTATCAAAGGTCCTGGTTCTTACTGAGATAAAAAGCATTATATATAATATAAATAACAATAATACTCCCATAACTGATGCTAACATTGGTATGCATATCCACAAGACCTATTTATTATCTTGCTTTATCTGGGACAGAATGAATCCTGTGATTTGTGGCTGAGGCCCAACTGCAGATCCATCTTCCTCTAAAAATGGCGCTAAGCTCCATGCGAGCTCCATCTTTTATCAGCTGAGGCAAGTTATCCAACCTCCCTAAGCCTCACTCGGTTTCCTCACCCACTAACCTACTTAGTTACTATGATTACAAAGGAAATGCTTGATCACTGGGGACTGGGTGTGTGTCTAGATCAGAGTCCAAATAGCAGTGAAAGTTTTGGGAGTTGGTGGTGAGAAAGTGCTAGAAATTTTAAGAAATATCAACAAAGCACTGGCTTTCAACGGACCTCAGCTCACCCGACTATAACAAGACAAAGTTTTAGAGTTTGCTACAAAAGCTCCGATGTCCCCCCAAAAGGAGAAAATAAATGTTTTCTCCACGGTCCAAGGGTTTACTAAGGTGTCTGTGTTCTGGGAGGATATGGTGGGTCATTTTCCAATGAAATGACCCTTTTCCCTTTAGCACAGAGGTTTTGTGCTCTAAGACCCTGTCACTCTCAGGATGGAGATGGAATGCCAAGGCACTGGGAGGCCGTGACCTTTAGGTTATGCACTAAGATTGCAATTTGTCCTTTTTAATATATGAAGTTACTTTTTTTAAAAATAGATTTTATTTTAAAATAAGCTTTACACCCAACATGGGACTTGAACTCACAACCCTGAGGTCAAGAGTCACAGGCGCTACCAACTGAGCCAGCCAGGCGCCCTTCCAGAGTTACTTTTTAAGGGGCAAATATGTGACAAACTTAAATTGAGGTTGGCTACAAAAGAAATGAAATCTCTAAAAAGTTTTTATTTGGAAGATATAAAATTTCAAATAAGGGAGGACGGTTAGACATGAAAGACCACTTTTTGAAAGCATGATTTCTCCAGATATAGTTTGGGTGTCCATATTCTCAGTGAATCCAAAGTCAGCTGAAAATAAAGAGGAACTATACAAAAATATTTTTTAAAAACCGTTAGAACCATTTTTTCTTTGTTCAAAGACCAATACTTTTCCACATTTCACTATTTTTGAAATGGCAATGTATAATCAATGTCAAAAGAAACTGTCCAGGGGTGTGATACAGTCGTTACTGTACGTACCTGTGTGAACTGAATTTGCAAGAAAATTATTCACTTGAATTGCCTCTCCAGCTATTTAAATGCCTCGGTAGCACTAAGCATGGCTGCCTGTGAGCTTAACACTGGATTCTGAATGCTTCTACCATCACACTTTTACGCAGCCATGAAATAAAAATCTACATTCTGTAATTAGGACTACCGACAAGGTGGTCGAGCAGCAAAGAGCATCAGAAAACTCTAAGGCTCTTGGAACTGACAGTTTCCCAAGGTAGGAGAGATCTGCGAAGCCGACTCATGTAGCACGAAGGATTACTACTCAAGCGTTGAATGACCACCTGTGAAAAGCTTCGGGCTTGACTTTCAACCCAACCTTTATGCAGATGCAATTCAACTTAGAGAGAGGAAAACTATAATTTTAAGCAAACAGAAGATGTAGACCAAATTCTGTGCTTTTCACTATGACTTGAAATTACACTGCAAAGCGGCGAAGGGTTCGAAGAGGTCAAGGTCATGAACACGGGCTGTGAAAAGCAGTCCGCCCCCCCCGATACTATGCATAACTGCTGCTGGCCAAGTGCGATTCCAAACAGTAGCTAGATTCTTGGTGTAGGAAAGGCTTACACCCAGACTTCAGTTTTGATGCTGAAAATGACAGTGGATAAAGGCCTGGACAAGCCTTCGCTAGTGAGAAAAGACAATTTTTTTGGAACTACAGATATATAGATTTCTACCTCTAACAAGCAATTACTCAGTCAATGGAGGGCCTTCTCATTAATGGCAGCTCGGAATTGGGGATATTCAGCAGTTAGCGACTGACCAAAAAACATAAAGAGAAGGACTTACGTGAATTCAAGCTGAATAGCATATTCTTTTGATATAAACGGTATCTGGTCCGGGGCTAAGCGCTTTGCCAGTTGTAGCGCACTGTCCCAGTGCTGTAAATCCCTTCTCATCTGTCGGGAAGACAGAGACCTTAATTTCAAATGAACAAATTACTTTGCATTGTTACCATATAGTGCTAGTTTTACCAGAAGTGATTAGAAGAGCTTTTTGTTTAAAAAGTGGAATTTGAGGGGCGCCTGGGTGGCTCAGTGGTTTAAGCCTCTGCCTTCGGCTCAGATCATGATCCCAGGGTCCAGGGATCAAGACCCACATCAGGCTCTCCACTCAGCAGGGAGCCTGCTTCCTTCTCTCTCTCTGTCTGTCTCTCTGCCTACTTGTGATCTCTATATGTCAAATAAATAACTAAATCCTAAAAAAAAAAAGGTGGAATTTGAGGGGTGCCTAGGTGGCTCGGTTGGTTGGGCAACTGCCTTTAGCTCAGGTCATGATCCCAGAGTCCCGGGATGGAGTCCTGCATCGGGTTCCCAGCTCCACAGGGAGTCTGCTTCTCCTTCTGACCTTCTCGCTCATGCTCTCTCTCACTGTCTCTCTCTCTCAAGTAAATAAATAAAATCTTAAAAAAAAAAAAAAGTGGAACTTGACCCTGTAACTTAACATAGTACTCAAACATACATTCTCAGTGGGAGTGACAGAGCTCCCACGGGGGTAAAACTGGTTCTTGGAGAGCAAAACCATCTTACTATTACAACGGCTTGTGGTCCTCCAAAACTCAACCCTCCCTAACAAAATATTATTTTTTTGGATTTAATTTTTACCCATATGAAAGAATTAAATTGAATTAAAATCAATTCCATCAATTAAGGTTAATTTTTCTTACTAGAGGGGAGAGAATAAAAAAAAAAGAGAAATACTTAACTATAGGAATTGATGTTATTTCCTGAGAAAATCTGAAATTACATGACTAATAGCAAACATAAAGATAAAATGTGAACATGTCTTTCTTCCAGGCTCCTGTGGTCTTTTATCTGCATCTGGGACACAATTCCAAACATAAACTAATCCTTAAAGAATCTTTTGGAGTTCATTCCTCACTTTAGTCACACTTTGTAAGGAATTAATAATAGCTAACATTTTTCCAAGTGCTATTCTTTGCCAGGTACTATTCGAGGACATTAGCTTGTTCAATTATCCTAATTGGGCCTTTAGCAAGTTACTTTTCTTGTACCCATTTTAGAGATCCAGAAATGGAGGCAAAGAGAGGCCAGTTTTATATACAAAGTTTGATATACAGAGCTAAGCAGCAGGGCTGTGCCTCTGACCTCTTTACCTGGCTAACTCCTCAGCCTTCACACTGAGGTTAAAGGAATGACAGGTACAAGCACCCCTCTCTACCCCTCTCCACCCATCACCTCAAATCCTTTACAAATCTGGTAGCAAACGGCAAGTGCTCACAGCTAAATGCAGAAGAATTAAGGTGGCATTTTTTCCTTCATATCACAACCATATCCCTACTTCAATGTGTACCAAGTCCAAGTTCAGGGTGTCCTCAATTGTTGCAAATAATATAAAATTATTTAAATTTTTTGTTAGAACAAAATTAATTCAGTTCACTTAAAATTTAAAGGTGTTTTTTTTCTAAATTTATTTGATAGAGAGAGAGATCACAAGTAGGCAGAGAGGCAGGCAGAGAGCCTGATGCAGGGCTCGATCCCAGGACCCTGAGATCATGACCTGAGCCAAGGCAGAGGTTTAACCACTGAGCCACCCAGGCACCCCAGTTCACTTAAAATTTAAAAATGGAAATTGGCTGTCAAGTAATTTGAAAAAAATGAAGTTGTAAAACCAATAGCAAGTATTTTTTAAAACACCTCCTCTGTGTAATTGAGCAAATGCTGATTTGAGGTAGGATAACGTTAATGACAATAGCTATCACTTTGCGTCTTAACTATTTTTTTTAAAGATTTTATTTATTTATTTGTCAGAGAGAGAGAGAGAGAGACGGCATGAGCCAGTGGGGTGGGGGCAGAGGAAGAAGCAGGGTCACCACTGAATAAGGAGCCTCATGTGGGACTAGATCCCAGGATCCTGGGATCATGACCCAAGCTGAAGGCAGACACTTAACTGATTGAGCCACCCAGGCATCCCAGGGTCTTTACTATTGATCAGGCAGTGTTCCAAAGGATTTAGCCTCATTTTAAAATCTTTATAGCAACCCTATAGACCAGATATTTTCCCCCTACTTTAAAGAAATGGACCAGGAGATAGAAAGATTAAATAACTTGTCCAGGGTGATACAGAGCTGGGATCTGAACCCAGACATGTCTACCCCTAAAGTCCCTGTTCTTAACTGCTATTCTATATAGCCACTTGGCCCTTGCACTGATCTGGGTCCTTCCCTCTGTTCTAGTCCTTCCCCTGCAATGCTCAAATCTCTGGGAAAGTAAGGTCCTTGGTAAACCTCTCAGTGCACAACAGAATCTCATATGCCAAGTAAAAGATACATGCACCTCAGTGTCCCCATTTGGCAATAGAGACAATAACTATCTCCTGGGATTGCTGTGAGGGTTAACTGAGTTAAAAATATATCAAGTGCTTAGGAAAGTGCCCGTCACATGTGGGCTCTCGATAAATGGTGGCTGTTGCCACGTGCATGCATTTTTGTAAATTACATAATCTGTTCCCTTTGGACACAACTGAGACTTGAAATTATTTGGTAACATTACAATTACATGCCTTTTACGGTTCCACAGAACACAGAATGAAAGTATTCTTGAAATTAATGAATACTCAGGAGTCTTAAAGCTGAAATGTCTAAATATCAGGAGGGGGAAGGCATGAGGCTTCCGGTGCTGAACAATTCTAATTACGTTCTTCCCAGCTTTATCCGCTGCCATACCTCCAGCGCAGCAATAGGACAGCTGGACGCAAGGTACAGGTCCTGAGCCAGGTTGAAATCACTAGTAAACATGGCAAGATGTCCCGCCAGAAGATTGTAGTCTTCTATTCCCTACAAATAAAAGCAGTTTTAATGAGAAGAAATAGAAGTGTTTCATTTTTTTTTTTTAAGCCTTTGCTTAGTAGGAAGTGGTTAAGGTTCTACCAATTAACTTGCTGATGAGTTAGGGAAGACTAACTGCGGAAACTTAACATGACTGAATACATACCATTTAAATCCGAATGCAGTTAAGTCTCGTGAGATGCTGCTTACCTTTATCTGTTCCAAGGACATCACCATGCCCACATTTCCGATTGTCCGATAGACGCGGATGGCAAACTCCACTTCCATGTGATGGAGACAAGCTCTGGCCAGCTCATTCCAGGCAGCGTGATCATTCAGAAGCTTGCACATTTCCCAAGCATCAGAAAACCTAGCATTTCAACATATCGGTTTCATCAGGGAGCTCTATTTGCCCCCTGGTTGGCAATTTTCAGGTTATATGGATTATCATGTTGGGTCTTAAATTTTGCAAAAACACTTCTTCATCTGTCATCCTCATTTCCAAGTTACAAAAAACTACATAAACTTTTCTTCCTTTATTGTACAGATCAATCTTTTTTCTTGGATGCCTTCTTCTCCTTCTTGCCCCTAGCTTGGGCTCTCTCTACCTCCTTCTCTCAAATAAATAAAATCTTTTTAAAATGTTCTTTAAAAAAGACCAAAAACATCTAAAATGTTTTTTAAACATTTAAAAATTTTAAATTTCAATACTTTATTTATTTATTTATTTATTTATTTATTTACTAGAGAGAGAGAACACCCACAAGCAGGGGTACTGGCAGGCAGAGAGAGAGGGAGAAGCGGGCTCTGATGCAGGACTCGATCCAGAACCTTGGAATCATGACCTGAGCTGAAGGCAGATGCTTAACTGACTGAGTCCCCCAGGTGTCCCCTGACTGGTATTTCAAAGGTGGTGACTAGATGAGATTGTCATGAGGCTATCAGCCGAGAGGGCGGTCGGGGAGTGCTTAGAGTATGGATTTTTCGAGTGAGGGCCCGCGTTAGTGGGGGAATAGAGGGCAGCAGGGAGGAAAAGGTGTGGGGTGTGGGTGTGCGTTGGTGTCGGTGTGTATGTTGGGACATGTGCATGTGGGATTAGGACTGGGGGGAAAGCAGAGGCTGGGGAAGATGAGCTGTTTTAAACAGAGCGAGTGTGAGGAGCTCATGGACTCCCAAACACACAGCTGGTGGGTAGCAGTACATACAGGTTTAAGTGGAAGATACACGTTCTAGAGTCCGCCTCTTATGAATGCTATTGAGCTGTGTCAGTAGGGGAGATGCACTCAGGAAGAATCATTAGAGAAGAGAAGAGGGGCTCATGGAACCCTAAGGAACAGCAACATGTAAGACACGGTCGGAGCCACAAAGGAAAGCTCACAGCGGCCGTTAACAGGTAAGAAGCAGCAGCAGAAAAAGGACGTCCCCAGCAAGGCAAACCCAAACTTCTTATGTCGACATTGGGATACTGTTGAAATCATGAGGCTTATTAATTATTAATTATATAATTATTAATTACACCATAAGTGTACTATTTGGGTGATGACGAACCTCTTTGTTCTGAAGGGCTTCGGATAGTCGCACTTCTTTAGAATTCACACACATTCTCTACCCCCCCCACCCGGTTTTCTTATCTAAGCCTCACAATAATCCCATAAATGAGGCAAATACTATCATCTCCCCTACTTTAATGGGATTTGACCTTTAAAAATCACAAAAGCAAACAAGATGCTTGGGAGAAGGGGAGAAGTCTCTGGAGCCCCCCCACCTTTTGAGCATTAAAGTCTGCGACAGCATCTGCCGCAGCTCGCTCGGTCCCACGTCTTTTAAACTGTCGAGGAACTTGTGGGTGCTTAGGTAGATGTTGTTTATTTTCCCGCTCTGCGTCTGGCAGGTCAGCTCGCCGTTAAACAACAGCAAAGGTCTGTGAGAGAAGGGCACTTTGGTGCCTCCAGCCAAGATGACCTTGGACCCTAGATTTGAAAACAGACACCTTAATGTCAAAAGCAGATCTTCAGCCCATAAATCAGAAAGGAATGCTTTAATTTCACTGTCACGGAAATTTATTTACCAACAACTGCACAAGAAAAATGATTACGTACCTTGTATCGTGTCCTTGTGGAAGACGTAAGTGTACACCTTATCGTCATCGTAGGCAATAAATACGCCTTTATCCATCGGCCAGTTTTCCCAAAGAACACCTCTAATGGTTGGTGAAAAGTCTGGAATCTCATAGGTAGCATCACTGACCTACGAAACAGGATATACGCATCTGCCCCAAGTCGCACTGAAACTGTCACCGCCGGCCTGGGCAGGAGCCTGTTTGCCGCCCTGGCGGCCCGCGGCTTTCCCACCTTGTCCACCCCAACAGCACTCCAGCCACAGCGGGAAGGAAAGTTCTTTTCCTATTCCTGTACTAGATCTGGCTTGAAAGAAACCCCGGGGTTTGTATGGCAAAATCAAGACTTTTATCTAAAACTTGGTGCAAAAAATTAAATTAAATTAGAAAACAGTGCATTTTCAGGAAAAACGGCAAGTCTGGACACAAAAGCTTCAGCTTAATAAAACAAACAAAAAAAGATCAAAGCCGCTGAACACAACAGAAATTTAAACTACAAACACACCTGTGTTGAGAAAATTTTCAATACCTGGTATAGAAATGGTCCAGCTAGAGAAGAAACTAATTAATTCATACATATCTGGAAATCAAATAAACTCCACTGGGTCTGTTTTATTTCAAAGCCTTCTCTAGAACACACGCCAATAAATATAAAATGTACTGTTAGTGATATAAGCTATTAAAAAAAAATCAATGCACATATTCCACCAACCTCCACAGAAAGGCTTATATCTGCTCTGAATGTGCAGCTGAGCCATACACCCCTCCTCCCTCCCTCATCTTGCATATTGCTTGCAAAATAAGAAGGAAATGTAAGAGCACAGGCTAGCTAATGCTCTAGAGCTGAGCTGTGCAACAGAGTAGCCACTAGCTCACAGTCCCCAGGCTCTCTGAAAGCTGAAATGTGTCTAGGCTGACTGAGACGGAAGTTTAGACCACCCACTAGATCCAAGGGAGCTAGTACGAAAAAGGGGGTAAAACATTTCAGTCATATTTTATATCGATTACATACCGAAGTATTAATATTGGGTTGAACACATTAACATCAATTTCACCTGTTTCTTTTTATCTTCTTGTAAAAAAAATGTGGTTAGCAGAAAATTTAAAATTATATGTAGTTCTAATTATGTTTCTAATAGTGCTACTTATCAGGCATTGTGCTAATTACTTATTTATATGCAACCTGATTGAATTCTAACCTACTGTACAAGATAGGCATTCTTTTCTTAAAGATTTTCTTTATTTATTTGAGAGAGAGATAGCAGAGCACAAGAGAGGAAGAGGGCACAAGCAGGGGGAAGGGAAGAGGGAGAGGGAGAAGCAGGCTCCCCGCTGAGCAGTGAGCCTGAATCCGGGCTCGATCCCACGACCTTGGGATCATGACCTGAGCCGAAGGCAGACGCTTAACGACTAAGCCACCCAGGCGCCCCAAGGTAACCATTTCTTTGGTGCTTATTACATGGCAGGCACATACTAAACGCTTTACGCACATTGTCCCATTTCATTTTTATGTAACAAGCTACAGAGTAGGTAGAACTGCACCCATTTTGGGGGTACCTAGGTGGCTCAGTAGGTTAAGCCTCTGCCTTTAGCTCAGGTCACGATCTCAGGGTCCTGGGATTGAGCCCCACATCGGGCTCTCTGCTCAGCGGGGAGCCTGCTTCCCTCTCTCTCTCTGCCTGCCTCTCTGCTTACTTGTGATCTCTGTCTGTCAAATAAATAAATAAAATATATAAAAAAAAAAAGAAGAAGAACTGCACCCGTTTTATCAACGGTGAAACTGGGATTCCGATCAAAGCGAGGGCTCTGGAGGAAGTCACCCCGGGCTCAGACCACAGATGCCAAGGTCACACAGTCCAAGGTCACACAGTCAGAAAATGGCAAGTCCAAGTGAGCCCAGGCGCAGAGCTTGGGCAGCTCGGACAAGGACCATGTTACAGAAAGGGGATTTGTCCAAGGGGAATTTCCTGATCAAGTAGAGAGAACTCAGGGGTTATTGTGCTATTTATGGCATTTGTCCTCATTTGTTCTGTGACTGGGAGAGGAATGGGTTGAATTAATAATTGGCCCATTGGGAATTTTGCTTCAATAATCCAGGAGCTCCTGTGGGGAAACCTGTTCCATTTATCAAATGTAACAAAGATTTATCAAAGATAAAAAGAGGAAAAAAAGAAAAAAGTTGAAGGAAGAGAAAGAGAGACAGGAAGGAAGGAAAGGAAGAGAGAAAAGGAAGGAAGGAAGGAAGGAAGGAAAGATCATGACCTCTGTCTCAGGTCATGATCTCAGGGTTCTGGGATCAAGCCTGCATCAGGCTCCTGGCTCAGAAGGGAATCTGCCTCTCCCTCTGCCCCTCCCCACCCTGCCCGTGCTCTCTCTCTCTCTAATAATTAAATACAATCTTAAAAAAAAAAAAAAAAAAAAAAAAAAGATGCCTCCAAGAGCAGCTGTAGGCTATGTGAACTGTGACCAAGAACATACTAACATTAACTGGACATCAAAAGTAAGTAAATGAAAAATCCAAGTATGGTAAATGATGTAAAAACCTATCTCCTTTCTCTAATTTATTAAAAAAAAAAGTAAGGGGTTTATAAAAATAAGAGTAACTGATTCTAAAAGGGGTCTACCTGTTTTTAATCTATCATATACAAAAATACCTTTTCTTTCTGTTCAGGATCAATAAGGCAAGAGGAAAATCAAGTGAGATGGGCAGGCAGGAGTCCCTACCTCTGAAGCTTTTTGCATATCTGGAGAGAAAAGTCACATACGTCAAGATATACTGTAATATTGTGCAGTAAATAAAGTTAAAGTGGTACAGAATGTAACTGTTTTTCCATTTAAAGAATCTTTCTGAGACTGACACTATGAAAAACTGCAGAATAAAGGAAAAAGTTTTCTTGATGCAAATAGTTATAAAAATGGATCACAAATGTGATTTAACAAAGTACTCTAATCCTTGAACTAGTTATGGAACAATGATTTTATATATAATACATATTAAAAATACTTTTCTTAATATATTACCTTAAAAAAAATGAATGCTTAAAAAAAAATCTTCCAGACTTACTGGACAGTAGACAAATCCATCACTTTTTTCATCAATGAAAATTAATCTGGTCCCATTTGGGTCAGGAAAAATCTTTTTCACACCAACAGGATGTCGATAATCATTAACAAATTGCCAATCTTCGATGTAGAAATATTGAATAACACCAGTCTAAAGAAAAAAAAAAATCCAGTAATAGGAATAAAAAGGTTGCAAGAAAATACTTTAAGCACTTAAACACACTTCCAATTTTAAGAGAAAATGTACCATATTTTTCATGCAGGAAGAGTCTAAAACTAATATTTATTATATGTAAACGTACAGATCCAAGAGAGTAAGTGAGAATGTACATGTGATTCAACCGTTAGTTCTAATATTCTTAGTGATATTGAAGTATAATTGATTTTCAGAGTTTCCACTTATAGGAAATACCTTCACTGTTTAAGAATAACTTTCAAATCATGCTATTTTTAAATATTCTTGCTGTTAATTAAGACCAATTAGAAGACTGAAATAAAACCACCTCATGCAATCAACTGTATTTCTATATATTAGCAATGAACTATATATACCAAAATTTAGAAATATATTACCATTTACAATCACTCAAAAAAGATGAAATATTTAGGTATAAATTTAAGAAAACTTGCACAGGATTTGGATGCTGAAAACTATACAACCCTGATGAAAGAATCAAAGATCTAAATAAATGGAGGGTATACAGTGTTCATGGACTAGAAGACTCACCATAATAATCATGTTAATTCTCCCCAACGAATACACAGTTTTAATATAAACCCATATCTTGGGTATAACCTAGGAATGAAATTCCTGGGTCATAAGGTAGCTATGTTTATTTATTTATTTTTGTATAGATTTATTTATTTATTATTTTAGAGAAGGGGAAGGGACAGAGGGAGAGGAAGAGAGAGAATCTCAAGCAGACTCCCCACTGAGCGCAGAGTCGGAAATAGGGCTGGAAAACATAACCCTGAGATCATGACCTGAGCCGAAATCGAGTCAGATGCTCAATCAACTGAGCCCCCCAGGAACCCCTATGTCTAATCTCTTACAGAATTACCAGAGCATTCTGCCAAGCAGCTGCATCATTTTACATTCCCACCAGCAGCATATAAGAGTTCTGATTCTTCTCCAACCCCCTCAACACTTATTATTATCTGACTTTTTTTATTACAGCCTCATAGTGGATGTGATGAAGTCGTAACTTCACATTTACTTCTGGGTACTTATTACAGAGAAGTAAAAACTTGTTCACACAAAAACCTGTATATGAATGTTTATAGAAGCTTCACTGGCAATAGTAAAAAACAGGAACCTATCCAGATGCCCTTCAATTGGTGAGCGCTTAAACAAACTGGTATATCCATACCGTAGAATACCACTCAGCAATAAAAATGAACAAATTATTGTTGCACACAATGACTCAAATACATCTCCAGAGAAGTATGTGAGTGAAAAGAAGCAATCCCCAAAGGTTACACGGTGTATGATTCTACTTATGTAACACTACTGAAATGCCAAATTATAGAAATGGAGACCAGCTTACAGTTGATCCTTGAACAACACAGAGATTAAGGTTACTGACCACTCTCATCCCGACAGCTGAAAATGCACATATAACTTTGACTCCCCCAAACTAAATTACTAATAGCCTTCTATTGCCTGGAAGATTTACCGACAACATAATTGATTAACACATACTTTGTGTGTTAAATGTATTATATACTGTATTCTTCCAATAAAGTTAGAGAAAATATTACAAGAACCATAAGAAAAAATACATTTACAGTACTGTATTTATTAAGAAAAAAACTACATAAGTGGACAGGTCCTGCATTTATTGGAAAAAATCCACATACTAGTAGACTCCTACAGTTCAACCCCTGTTGTAACCCTTTTTGTAACTATAACTTTATTAGCAGGGATTAAGATTGGGGTGAGGGCAGGAGGCCAGTGAGTGTGTCTATAAAATAGCAACATGAAGGCATCCTTGTGGTTAAAGAACCATTCTGTATCTTGACTGTCAATGTTAACATCCTCACTATGATATGTAATATAATGTTACCATTGAGGGAAACTAGGAAAAGAGCATACTGGATCTCTCTGTTTTGTTTCTTACTTGGGATCACTTTGTATTGTTTCTTACAACGGCCTGTGAATCTACAATGATCTCAGAAAAAAAAAAAAAAGTTAAATTAAAATAAAAACACATAACATCTTGGGCTTCTTATTCAGGCTAAGATAGGGTAACAGCCAGGACTTAATTTTCCTACCCCAAACAACCAAAAACAGTAGACAAAAATAATGAAAAAGCAGTTTTCAAGATCCTGGAATGAGGCAACAAAGAACAATGAGTTCTGCCCAAGATTTTGGAAATAAACCAGGTGAGCCCCATGAGCCCGCCAGCTTTTGCTTTGAGAGTTTTCAAGACATGGCAAAGGGAGGAGGATGCAGGCAGAGCATGGCTCCCCGAGCTGAGGAGATGGAGCAGAAAGTCTGGGGAGAACAGGTGACCAGGGTTTGCAGGGGAGAACAGGTGACCAGGGTTTGCAGGGCAGAGTACAAGAGAGAGAAGCCTGGAGAGCTTCAGGGAGTCTGCTGTGAGTCCTTAGCAAGTACTGATCCCTGCAGGCAAGTGAGAAAGCCACAAGGCCAGGGAAAGAACCATCCAAAGGGATTAGAGGGAACAGGACTGGGAATAGTAAATATTCCCAATAATCAGACTAGAAGAAATCACAGGGCACTGGGTAGAGAACTCAAAAAGATCAGAAGTGGGAATAATCAGCTAGAGACTGAGCAGTGTTTCACATCTGCCTAAGAAATCATAAAACCAGACTCAAAAGGGTCAAACTGTTTCTAAGTCAATTAACTGCATCCCAGAGCAAAGCTCACGAGTATTTTTAGCACCTGAGTGACTCAGTCGATTAGCCGTTCGACTCTTGATTTTGGCTCAGGTCATGATCTCACGGATCCTGAGACAGAGCCCTACATGGGGCTCTATGCTCAGCAGGGAGCCTGTTGGAGATTCTCTCCCTCTCCACCTCCCCAAGTTTGGGTGTAAAAAAAGAATATTTTTAGGAATACAAAAATCCCAAAAAGTAAAAATCCCCAAAAGTAAAATTATCGGGTATGCAAAAAAGTAGAAAAGAGGAACCATAGCTTAAAGGGGTTTAATATGATTGTGTATCTTTTATTATTTGATTTTATCTAATTTGTTGACTTATTAGCTACAACTCTATCATTTTAGTGGTTGTTTTAGGTTTTGTAGTATACATACAACCTGATAACAGGCAACTACAAAAGATCCACAGCTAAACTCATACTTAATGGTCAAGAATAAGACATAGAAAGCCACTTTCTCCATTCCTATTCAACAATGTATTAGAATAAAAGGCATCCATGGGGCACCTGGGTGGCTCAGTGGGTTAAGCATCCGCCTCCGGCTCAGGTCATGATCTCAGGATCCTGAGATCCAGCCCTGTGTCAGTCTTCCCACTCAGAGGGAAGTCTACTCCCTCTCCCTCTGCCCGTCCTCCTGCTAGTGTTCTGTCTCTCTCTCAAATAAAATCTAATAAATAAGTAAGTATGTAAATAAATAAATAAATGACATCCATATTGAAAGGAAGAAATAAAGCTACATTCAGAGATGACATGATCATCTATATAGAAAATCCAATGAATCTACAAAAAACTACTATTAACTACTCAGTGAATTTAGTTAGGCTGCACTATACAGGATTAATACACCCAAATCTGTTGCATTTCTAAATGCCACAAATGAATAATCAGATGTTAACATTTAAAAAGTAATACTAGCTCATATCAGGGAGATCATATGATAGTTGTCTTTCTCCGAGTGACTTATTTCACTAAGCATGATACCCTCTAGTTCCATCCACGTCGTCGCAAAGGGCAAGATTTCATTTCTTTTGATGGCTGCATAGTATTCCATTGTGTATATATACCACATCTTCTTTATCCATTCGTCTGTTGATGGACATCTAGGTTCTTTCCATACTTTGGCTATTGTAGACGTTGCTGCTATAAACATTCGGGTGCACGTGCCCCTTCGGATCACTACGTTTGTATCTTTAGGGTAAATACCCAGTAGTGCAATTGCTGGGTCATAGGGTAGTTCTATTTTCAACATTTTGAGGAACCTCCATGCTGTTTTCCAGAGTGGTTGCACCAGCTTGCATTCCCACCAACAGTGTAGGAGGGTTCCCCTTTCTCCGCATCCTCGCCAGCATCTGTCATTTCCTGACTTGTTAATTTTAGCCATTCTGACTGGTGTGAGGTGATATCTCATTGTGGTTTTGATTTGTATTTCCCTGATGCCGAGTGATATGGAGCACTTTTTCATGTGTCTGTTGGCCATCTGGATGTCTTCTTTGCAGAAATGTCTGTTCATGTCTTCTGCCCATTTCTTGAGGGAGAGGAGATGCAACATGGGGGGTTAAGGGGGTAGGAGAAGAGTAAATGAAACAAGATGGGATTGGGAGGGAGACAAACCATAAGTGACTCTTAATCTCACAAAACAAACTGAGGGATGATGGGGGGAGGGGGTTTGGGAGGGGGGGTGGGGTTATGGACATTGGGGAGGGTATGTGCTATGGTGAGTGCTGTGAAGTGTGTAAACCTGGCGATTCACAGACCTGTACCCCTGGGGATACAAATATATTATATGTTAATAAAAAATAAAATTAAAAAAAAGTTTTAGGGGGAAATAAAAAATACTCATTTCATTTATTAAAAAAAATAATAAAAAAATAAAAAGTAATACTATGCGTTAAAAATATGAAAAATGATAAAATACAAAAATATTAACTACTTAGGTTATAAATCTGACTGAAGGGATACTGGGACACCAAAAATACAAAAAACACTAAGAGAAATTAAAATCTAAATGAATGGAGATATATACCTCGTTCATTGGTGAGCAGATTTTGCTAAGGTGGCAATTGATCTGTAAATTCAACATGATCCCATTAAAATTCCCAGGAGGCCTTTTGTAAAAATTGACAAGCTTATCATAAATTCAAATAGGAATGCAAAGTATTGAGAACAGCCAAGACAACTTGAAAAAAGAAACTCAAAGTTGGAGGGCTAATGCAACCTGATTTCAAGACTTACTATAAAGCTAGAGTAACTAAAACAGTTTTAGTGAACTAAAACTATACTGAACTAAAACACAGATGCATGGATAAATGGAATGAGCAATTCCAGAAAAAGACCCGAACACTCATGGACAATTTGATTTCTGACAAAAGTACAAAGGCGATTTAGTGGAGGAAGGACAATCTTTTCAACAGATAGTGCTGGGACAACTGGAGTATCTTTAAACAAAAAAATAACTTTGATCCATATCTCACAGCGTAAACAAAAATTAACTCAAAATGGATCATAGACCTAAGTACAAAATATAAAACTGCAAAACTTATAGAGGAAAACACCAGAGAAAAACTCTGGGGCCTTGGGTTAGGCAAAGATTACTTAGATATGACACCAAAACACAATCTATAAAAAAATAAATTGGTAAGTTGGACTTCATCAAAATAAAAAAAATTTCTTCTCTATCAGAGACACTGTTAAGAGAATGAAAAGGCAACTGATGCAATGGGAGAAAATACTTACAAAGCATATATCTGATAAATTACAGACTTGAATCCAGAATATATAAAGAACTCTCAAAAATCAATAATAAGAAAACAACCCAATTAAGAAATGGCCAAAGAAATTTGAACAGATACTTCAGCAAAGGTATACTGAGGCCAAAAAAGCCCATGAAAAGATGCTAGTGGAGGGGGAAGGAGAGTGGGGGAAAAGGTAAAGGAAAGATGTTCCACAGGAATCCATTAAGGAAAAGCAAATTAAAATCACGATATTTCACTACACACTTAAGAGTGGGTAAAATTAAACAGATTGACGACATCAAATATCAGTGAGGATGTGGAGGAATTGGAATGCTCGCACTGTTGATGGGAATGTAAAATGGTACAACCAATATAGAGACAGTTTATCAGTATCTTAAAAACTTAAACATACACATGCCATATGATGCAGCCATTCTACTTGTCGGTATTTATCCAAGAGAAAAGAAAGCTTATGTCCATGCAAAGGCTTGAACACGAATGTTTACAGCAGCTTTATTTGTAAATACCCCATCCTGGAAATAATCCAGGCTGGAAACAACCCCAAACTGGAAACACCCCCAATGTCCATCCTTAGGTTCATGGTTAAGCCAATTATGATAAAGGTATACTACAGAATGCCACACCAGCAGGAAAAAGGAATCAACAACCGATACACACAAGAGGAATGAATCTCAAAATAATGATACTGAATAAAAGAAGACAGAAAGAAAGAAGTATATACCATGTGATTCCATTTACATAAAATTCTAGAAAACAGAAACGCATTTATAGTGACATGGGGGATTCCAGGACGGGAAGGAGGAATCATAAAGGGGCATGAGAAAACGTTTGATGGTGATGACCATGTTTACTATTTTTTTTTTTAAGATTTTATTTATTCATTTGACAGACAGAGATTATAAGTAGGCAGTGAGGCAGGCAGAGAGAGAGGAAGAAGCAGGATCCCTACTGAGCAGAGAGCCTGATGTGAGGCTTGATCCCAGGACCCTGGGATCATGACCAGAGCCAAAGGCAGAGGCTTTAACCCACTGAGCCACCCAGGTGCCCCCATGTTTACTATTTTGATTGAGCTGATGGTGCTTCACAGGTACAGACAAGTCAAAACTTACCAAATTGTGGACTTTAAATACCAGTTTGTTGTGAATCAGTCATACTTTATATGCTAAGATATATACTGCTAAAACTTTAAAAACACGTATTTTCAGAATCACTCAAGAAAGAGATTGAGATAAATGCTGACTTCCGGACACACCACCATACCTTGAGTTCTCAATTCAAAATGCCAAGTGGAAGAGTGCAAAGAGTGGATTTTACATCAGGAGATACTGGCCAAGATCTGCGTCTGTTACAAACCTACTAACCTCTTAATCTTCAGTGTTCTTCAGTCTCTAAAACTTCCCTGCTTATTTTATAAAACTAATGAGAAAAAACAAGCGAGATCAGGGCTTTATAAACTGTTACATCTCGCATAAATGTGTTACATTTGCTATTATTTACCGTATCTCTTACTATTTTATCGGACACGTGAGACCTACCGTATTGATGTATATTAGTATTAGTATTTAGGTTGGACTTAAATTCTCTCTTATGGCCATAAGCATGTGGTAAAGACATGTTTTCTTTAGACAGCAGTTTAAAGGGAGAAAATGAAGTGTTTGAAACAGTTAATAATTGGTTTCCTAATGTGGAAAACAGTGACCTTCCTACCTTTACTAAATTCTAGAGATTCAACAAGACAACAGGTATGATATGCTTTGAAAAAATCTTTGAAAACCTTTTACGAATGTAAGATGCTATTACTATATGTTTTATGTCCATCTGGCTAGTGTAATATTTAGAGGTCTAGGGTACTGGTGGTTCAAAGGACCAAAGATCGGGGCACCTGGGTGGCTCAGTTGGTTAAGCGTCTGACTTGATTTCAGCTCAAGTCATGATCTTAGGGTCATGAAATCGAGCCCTGCATCAGGCTCCACACTTAACCAGGCATGGAGCCTGGTTAAGATTCTCTCTCTTCCTCTCTCTGTGCCTCTCCCTCCCCAGATCATACTCTCGTTCTCTAAAAAATAAAACAAACAAGCAAACAACAACCAAAAGAGTAAAGTGGGATTCTCAATATTCAAATAATTTTGCCATTTGTTAGTAGGCATTGGAGATCTAAAGTTCAATGATATGTCTTATGTTCATCACCAAATTAGATCCCTAAAGCAATTAGATAAGGAAAATGAGGCTTGGAATGGGTTAAGTAGCATCTAGCAAGTAAGAAAACTGCAAGTAAGAGAATCTGAGCCCAGATTTTCCAGACTCCAAAGTCTGCTCTTTTCACTCTGCCATCAAAATTGTTTATATAATCACAAAAGCACTTGCTACTAGCAAATCAGGGGACCTATGTGCTGTACATAAGTATATATAGAAGGTAAGGTATATATGTCACATACATACACCTATATGTATGTATATATTATGTATATATTATATATATACACTCACACACACACATATATTACAAATTAAAAATTAGAAATTCCCCTATGTTCTATATCAAAGAAGCCAATACATACATCTGTACCATAGATGAGGAAATCAGCAGTTAAGGCATGGCATAAAATACGGCACTTATCATCCACTGCTGGGAAAAGCCGGGTCTCCCGTTCTTCCTGAGCATCCAAGATTTCACTTTCTATCTAAAACATAAAGAATAACAGTAGCTCATAGATTGAAATAAAGTTGGTCTGCACCATCTAGGGAGACAGAAGAGAGTCATCTTCTTAAGTTCGATTCTTAAGTTCGATTAAACATTCAGACTCATCAGACTACCCGTCTATTGAGAAAGACATCAGACAGGAACCCAGCTCGCCAGCAGGGCAGCATAACATCCCTCTTGAGTAGAAATAATCTTTGCAGCTGGCTCTCCAGGGGTCTGGCTTCCCAGAAGCAAAGAGCCAAGAAATAGATGTAGGAGATGCCCCTTGCTTAGAAGACCCATTATTTCAGGAGCCAATATCTTTTGAACAATTTTATAAGTATCATTTCAAGGATCCCCACAAGTGACCTGCCCAACTGTGTAAGTCAATTCATGGCAGGGAGCCCAGACATAGAAGGTTCCCATCAGTTTTTAGTTTTCCACTAGATGCACTTTACCACCAGAGCAAAAAAGTCAAGTGAGCATCTCATGCAGATGGGTGAAGAGTTTTGTTAGTCCTTTATCTACACTTGACTTTCTAGCTAGCCTGTATGTGGTTGCTTCCTGAACAAAGTTCTTGGTAATCTGACATTAGGCTGTTCCTCATCATCACTAATTGGAGCATCGAGAATCCCCAGGGCTCCAGGACATCAAAATTATACTTACTAAATGCAACTGGACTTTGCCTTCAAAAAGTGCAGCAGCATAGTCAGAATAAAGGCAAACACTGGTGACTGTCCCCAGATATTCCACATCTTTCAATTTTTTAACAGCTGTAGCAATAAAAAAACGCATACACATTAAAATATATTACATTAAGATTACATTAAGTTTGCAACTAATTTTTAAATGGGTGCCTTTTTAAGGGTACTCTGAATCTAAAATTTTTATTTTAGCCATTCTAAAGAAAATCGTAGTTGTCACATAAATTTGCCTTCAGGAATTCCCTAGTGATTCACATAAAACAAAGGAACAGAAAATAAAATTATACGTGAAACAACCAAAAATTTCACTTGAGTGACCCTAAGCTTAATGGTATACTATAGCTGAGGCTGTATCTCCGGGTGGCTGAGGGTTATCTGACCTCCAATGAGGAGAAGAAAAAGCCAGGCTCCCTTCAGATGCTAATGGTCACAACGTAAAGAATAAAAGGAAGGGGGAGGGACCCAACTTCCAGCCCAAGGAGTGCCTAAGAAAGTCATTGTGCAAAGGTGTATCACATTTTATTTCCTTTAGTTTTCCTCATGAATCCTTGACCCCTACGTGTAGAAGAATCCTCATTTTTCTGGATGAAGGCTTCTTTTTTTTTTTAATTTATTTTTTTCAGTGTTCCAAGATTCATTATTTATGTACCACATCCAGTGCTCTACACCAAGGCTCAGAGGGGTAGAGAATCTGTCTACAGTCCCCTCCAAGAGGCAGCCGGGAAATTTCCACTCAGGGCCTCATTCTAAAGGTCATACTCCGCCCACTATACCACGCTATGCTCACTACAAAGGTTAAGAATAAAATCTTTCCAAAAATTATGCACAATTTTTAGAGGATTCACAAAACTGTTTAAGCTTCTTAAGAAAGAGCTGAAGCAGGGCGCCTGGATGGCTCAGTGGGTTAAGCCTCTGCCTTCAGCTCAGGTCATGATCTCAGCGTCCTAGGATCAACCCCGCATCGGGCTCTCTGTTCAGCAGGGAGCCTGCTTCCCCCCACTCCTCTGCCTGCCTCTCTGCCTACTTGTAATCTCTCTCTCTCTCTCTGTGTCAAATAAATAAATAAAATCTTTAAAAAAAGCTGAAGGGAAAGCGTGAAAGGCCTGGTCTTCAAAAGAACCTTTCAGTGCTCCCCAATTAATAACAGAAGTTATACACTAGATAAGAAGATGACAACTGGTTTGAGACTTGCCATTCTCTCCAAGGACATAAAACCAAGCTCGATTATTCATTCCCACGGCCAGATGATAAAGCCCAACCGCTACGAAGTTGGGCTCCACATCGACAGAAACTGTGATCGGCAGCTCCTATAATGCAGGAAAGGAACAGTAGCAGATCAACTGTTGCAACTGCTGTGATTTTACTAATGAATAAAGTCAAAATAACACCATTTTCATACCCCTTCCACGGGGTTGGCTACTGTGACTTCAAGCAGGGAGGTGAGGTATGCAATCCTCGTGCTGCAGGCAGCCCCAAGTATGGGAAGCTTGGTCAAGAAAACATGCAGCGAGCCCCTCTGGGTAGACAGTGCCAGCAACTGGCCATCATCTGTCCAGGACAAGGCGCCCAACCCTGCAACGATTGACAGAATAAAGGATCAAAAACAAGTGATGTTGTGGCAGGCAAACAAGCATTTTCACGTAAGCTGCAGAGACATAAAAATCTTCAAGTGTTGTCTTTCATAGTTAAGTCTGTACAGAGTAAAACTTCACCACGGACAGGCATGTGAACATGACCATCGATTCATTCTGTAGTGGCTCAAAGGGAAAGGATGTAAGAATTTAGGTTTTATAACTGAAATTGAGATTAAATTCACTATAAATCTTTAGATCAAAGTGGACTTACGGGCTTCTATAATTACTAAAATAAGTAAGTTATTTTAGGGAACTCGCATGAAGGGTGATAATTTTATTCCTCCTATAATGAATGCAAATCAAATAATAATAAACACATTACTCTGATACTGCAGTGATAAAATGTCACTCTGCTTCAGAAAAATTAGTACCTTTATTCTCATCATCCAGGTTGATTATAGCATACATGTCCTTTAATTCTGCCAAGTCATGAATTTTAATGCTGAAAAATGAAAAAAAAAATTGTATATGGTAAATGTAAGTGTTAAATAAAATTGGTTTCGTTCACAAGAAAATTGTAAGCTACAGAACAGGTCAGGGTTTTCCAGAAAGGGATGTGAAGGATAATCTATTGGGTCAAGGTAAGAAAATAATAGAATTTCTATAATTGTATTTTATCTTAAAAAATATCCCTTTGGGGCGTGGTGGTTGAGTCTGGGTCCTGCTTAATTCTCAGATCTATAGTTTCAGGAACAAGGAGGTTTAAGTTGCCCTGAAGAAAAGTTTGAGTAGGAAAACATTCTCTTCAGCAGCACTAATTTTTTGTAAGAGGAATAAGGTTTCTCTTTGCAATGTGCTCCCCCCATCACCCTGACTTCTTTCATACAAAAAGTAATGAGGTAATACAGAAAGAGCATTCAATTTGGAATCACAAGGCATAGGTTGAAAGCTCTGCAAAACTGGGGACATATTACTCCATAGGGTTATAGGGAGGATAGGTGGGTTCAAGCCAATGAAAGCTGTGTGGCACAATGTTAGCCCCTAATGGCTGTAAGATTATCTTTCTTCTTTGGCTCCTTTCCTCTCTCCTCACTTCTGCCCTCCCAGGGTTTTCCCTTTATATATTTCCCCTCATTGTTTTCACTTAACTTTTTATTTTGGTAGAATGGTAAATCTACATGCAGTTGTAAGAAATAATACAGAGATTGTATATTCCCTCCACCTTTCCCCCAAATGATGACATCCTGAAAACTATAGGATAATATTATAATCAAAATATTGACATTGACATAATCCATGAACCTTTTTCAGATGTCCCAAGTTTTACTTATATTCATTGTGTGTGTGTGTGTGTGTGTGTATTTAGTTCTAAGCAATTTTATCACATGTAAGATTCTTGAGACACACAACCACAGTCAGAATACAGAATAGTTCCATCATCACAAGTCACCACAAGTCAGGATATAGAATAAATAGTTCCATCACCACAAGGACCCCTTATGTTGTCCTTTTATAAACACACTTAAACGTCTTCCTCCTCTAGGTTCTCGTCATCCTTCACAGCATTTGATGGTATCACTATTTTTAATATACTAATACTGTGTTTCTGTTTTATTTGGGTCTTCTTTCAACAGCATTTTGGAATTTTCAGCACACAGACCCCTACATGTTCCATGAAGGTGATATCTAAGTATTTCATTTTCTTCGGAGTGATTAAAAAGGCATATTTTTAATTTGATTTCCACATGTTTGTTGCTAGTATATAGAGACGTGATCGATTTGTGTGTGTTGATCTTTGATTCTGAAACCTTGCTGCACTCATTAGTTTTAGTTCTAGGTGTTTGTAGATTCCTTGAGATTTTCTACATGAGCAATCATGTCATCTACAAATAGAAATCGTTTTACTTTTTTCTTTCCAAACTGGATGCATCTTATTTCTTTCTCTTGTCTTATTGTAGTGCCTAGAACTTCTAATATTAGGTTGCATTAGGGTAGTGAGAGTACGGGTCCTTATTTTGTTCCCAATCTTAGGGGCAAGCACTCAGACTTTCAGCATGAAGTATCATGTTAGCTATCAGTTTTTTGTAGATGTTCTTTATCAAGTTGAGGCAATTCTCCTTTATCCCTAACTTACTGAGAACTTTTATCATGAATGGGTGTTGGATTTTATGAAATAATTTTGTGTCAAATGATATGATCATATGGTTCTTCAGCTGTTGGTTTAATTACTTTGTTGATTTTTTAATGTAAATAAGCCTTGCATACTTGGAATAAATCCCATTTGGTCATGAGGTGGAATTCTTTTCATATATTGCTGAATTCAGTTTGCTAAGTTTTGTCAAGGATTTTGTGTCCAGTTTCATGAGAGAGATTGGTCTCTAATTTTTTTTTTAATACTTTCTTTGATTCTGGTATTGGGGTAATGCTAGCCTTACAAAATAAGTTGAGACATGTTCCCTCCACTTTTATTTTCTGAAAAGATTTTGTAAAATTGGTGTGAATCCTTTTTAAAAATATTTGATAGAATTCTCCAGTGAAACCACCTGAGCCTGGAGATTTTTAAGGGGTGTAAAATTATATTTCGATTTCTTTAAGAATTACAGGCTGATTCAGATTATCTGTTTCATGTGGGTTGAGTTTTGATAGTCAGTGGTTTTTAAAAGAATTTTTCCAATCTTCTAAATTGTCAAATTCCTAAGTTGTTTGTAGCTTCCACACCTGTAGTAATAATCCTATTTCATTCCTGATATTGATTTGTTTTTTTAATTTGTCACTCTTGCTAGAGGTTTATCAATTTCAGCTGTTGCAGATTTTTTCCCCTATTCTATGTTCATTGTCATCAGCTTCTGCTCTTTATGATTTTATTCCTTCTGCTTTACCCTTATTTTGCTTTTTTTTCTAGTTTCTTGAGGTAGGAACTTAGATTACATTACTGATTTGAGATTTTTTTTTCTTTTGTATATAAGCATTTGATACTACAAGTTTTCTTCTCAGCATTGCTTTAGCTGTATAGCATATTTTGATATGTTACATTTTCACTTTTATTCAGTTGTATGGGTGGGGTTTTTTTTTTTTTTGGTCTTTTAAACTACTTTATTAACTTCACAATATATAACGAACATCTTTCCATACAGTAGAGTAAAATTCCCCCACTGACAGAATCTTACAGATTGAGCCAAAAGACAACATTAGAGTAGAAGCTGGTCATAGGAGACCCACAAGAGACACGTAACACCAAAAGGTTTACAACAAAGGTACACTGAGAACATGTAAGTTTAGGAAACAAGTGTGTCTTCCTATTAACTTCAGGAAAAAAAACATCAGGATTCAAGGGGTAAGGCACAAGTCCTCGTGATGGTCATGTTGAGGAGGGTCAATGCTAACTGCCCCCAGACCATGACTGAATTGCTTCTCCTTCAGCTGGCTCACCTCCTCCCACCTCCCTAATCCTTTCCATATTCTCTTCTCTTATCCTTGCCTGTGGTTCTCCTAGACCTGAATCATGTCCCACCTATACTGTGGGATGGGATGCCTAGCATGGAACCACCTATGATTTACTCTAGGCACACAAAGTCAGCTTCTAAAGTGAGGGCCAAAGGTTCTCCTTTATTAGCAACTTGATACTTTTGATCCTTTTTATCATTTTTATCATTTTCCTGGTTGGATATTGTCCATGTTGAGACTTTTTACTGCTTGCTCCTCTTTGGACGCCATTGCTCCTGGCCCCATCCTTGCAGTCTCCCGCTCCTCTCAATTCTTGCTCCAAGTGCACAGACGCAGACGCTTAGACCTGTATACCTGCTCCCCCTCCACCTCCTACTCTTTGGGGCCACCCCTGGCCCACACACCCTCAGGGCCACTGGGAGCAAGAAGGGAGAGAGCGAAGGCTGGGTCTGACGCTAGAGAGAGGTGTTCCAGTCGGCGTTGGAGGGTCATGGCTCAGTTGCATGTATTTTTCAATCTGCTTTGAGATACACTCGTGAATTATTTGGAAATAGGTTAATTTCCAAGTGTTCATTGAATTTTCCTGATGTTTTCCTGTTATTTAAGTGTGATTACGTTATGGCCAAGGAACCCATTTTGCATGAATTCAATTTAAATTTGTTGAGGTTTCATGGTTCATGATATGAACTACCCTAGTGCATGTTCCATGGGTGCATAGAAAAAACATGGATTCTATTGTTGGGTGGAATGTTCTATAAATGTCTGTTAGGTCTAGTGGGTTTATAGTGCTGTCCAAGTCTGTTGAGAATTTAGCTAAGCTCCTCCGTGCTGCTGCTGCCTCAGCATCCACCCTGTTTGGCCAAGTGGCCTGCAGCGACCTAACACTAGTCCCTCCTGCAAATGCGTGCCCTAGAGAGCAGCTCGCAGAGTCCCAAGCAGATGTAAGATCCTGATGTGACTTCCCCAAAAGCCCCGTGATCAACAGCCTCTCCTGCCTCCCAGCATGTATTTACTTTATATGCCCCTAGGATAAAATCTCTGGGACTTACCAAAACCCCACACTTCTGGTTAGAATTGACCATCTGGCCTCACCCTGGGAACCCAAAAGCAGTCTATTCAGGGCCCTGTTGTTTTTTTTCATAAACCCTATGGAAAGCCCGTGCCCAGGGATCTGTGTCTTTTTGTCTGCACTGGGCCTTGACCTCTCTCTGAGGTCAAAACAAGCCGGTTACTTCCTCCAGAACCTGTGAATAATGAACTTTTCTATTTTGATTCTTCTTCTTGCGTGTTGTTGAACCACAGCTCAGGACCTGGCACCCTGCACTCTGCTTAGTAAGTGTCAATTTGACATGTTTGTTTCCTTGTTGATCTTCTGTCTAGTTGTTCCACATCTTATTGAAGGCGGAGCCTTGAAGACTTCAACTATTACTGTTGTCTATTTTTCCCTTTAGTTCTGCCAGCTTTTCCTTCCTCTATTTTGGGGCTCTGTTGTTAGGTGCATACTCACTTAGCATCATTTTATCTAGTCAATATGCAATACACCTCTTCATCCCTGGTAATTCTCTTTGCTCTCTGTCTGATACCCGCCTAACCACCCAGCTCTCTTTTGGTTAGCATTTAGATGAACTTTTCCCACCCTTTTATTTTTTACCTAGTTGTTTCATTACATCATTACATTAAAGTAAGTTTCAACAGGCAACAGGGTCACTTAAAAATCCTATTCTAATTGTCTATGTCCAATAGCATTGCCATTTATATATTTATCATAATTAACTGATTTGTTTGAACTTAAATCCACTGTTTTTTTGTTTTCTGTTGTTACTTTTGTTCTCATTTCTCCTTTCCTGCTGCCTTTTACTTACTTATTTTTAACTTGGCTCAATTTTTTAAAAATATAATTTTTATTTTTTTATTAACATATAATGTATTATTGGCCCCAGGGGTACAGGTCTGTGTCCTGCTGCCTTTTAGACTTGAACATTTTTCAGTATTCCATTTTAATTTACTTATTATTGTGTTTTTGTCTATATCTTTGCATATTTTTAGTGGTTACTCTATTATAGCATACATAGTTAACATCTCAGAAGCTCTTTAGAATCAATATTTTACTAGATGACACAGCGGCTCAATCCCAGGACCCTGAGATCATGACCTGAGCCAAAGGCAGACACTTAACTGACCCTCTCCCCTATTGTGCTCGTCGTATGTACTGCATCTTAAACACTGAACACACTACCAAATAATATCATCTTTACTTTCAACAGCCCCATATGTTAAAGATCTCCAAAGGAAAAAAAAAGATCTATTTACCATTTCTGCCTCTCTTCATTCTTTTTTTTTTTTTAAAGATTTTATTTATTTATTTTTGAGAGAGAGAGGGAGGGAGGGCAAGATGGGGTAGAAGGGTAGAGGGAGAAGCAGACTCCCTACTGAGCAGGAAGCTGATTGATCCCAGGACTCAGGGATCATGACCTGAGCTGAAGGCAGATGCTTAACAAACTGAGCCATCCAGACACCTGCTCTTCCTTCATAGTGATGTCCCAAATTTCCTTCTGTCATCTGTTTTCTTCCATCTGAAGCAATTCCTTTAGCAATTTTAGAGCAGGTCTGCTAGCAGTAAATTCTCATTTTTCTTCATCTGCGAATGTTTCCATTTCACTTCATTCCTGATGGATACTTTCACTGGGTGATGAATTTCAGCTGACAGTCCTTTTCCTTCAGCACTTGAGAAAGTCCTGATGCTTCCTCCTGGCCTTGAGGGCTTATGGTGAGAAACCCACACTTAAAATGTTGTTCGTTAACTGCTTTCAAGATTTTTTCTTCATAGTTAGTTTTTAGCAGTTTGATTATGATGCGTCTGAGCTAGGTTTTTTTGGACTTATCCTTTTAGGGATTTGCTGAGCTTCTACAATAGACAGGTCTATGTCTGTTGCTGAAGGTGAGAAGTTTCCAGCCATTATTTCTGAGACTCTTGTGACATAAATGTTAGACGTTTCGGTATTGTTTTACAGGCCCCTGAGGCTGTTTATTTTTTTTTCCAATCTTTTCTTTCTCTGTGCTCACTGGGATATTTCTTTTGGTCTAGTCTTTTGGTGTAGCTTTTGGTCTAGACATTTTATGATCTCCATTCTGCTAGTAAGTACTGCATTAATTATATTTTTCAGGTCTAAAAGCTTCCATTTAGTTTTTCTTTCTAGATTCTCTTTCTTTTCTAAGACTATATTTCCATCTGGGGTGTGTGTGTGTGTGTGTGTGTGTGTGTGTGTGTGTGTGTGTTTATAATAGCTGCTACCTGCGTCATCTTGGCACTGGCATCTTTTGATTGCCTTTTCCCAGGTGAGTTGAAATTTTTCTGATTCTTCCTACGTCAGGTAACTTTGGGTTCTATTTTGGACCTTCTGAACATTACATCTGAGACTCCTGCATCTTGTTTAAATCCCATGGAGAAGGTTAAAGTTTGTTTTTTTAATAATCAACCCAGTTGGGTTCAGGCTATGAGTATCAACCAGCCTTCTGTGGGTTGTGGTTTCAACGTCAGTTCCATTTTCAAAGGCTTTGCAGTCGTACTCAGATATGTCCCTGTTCTGCCCACTTTGTGGTCCACAGGACTTGCATTAGGGTCTATTCCTTAGTTCAGTTCTCGAAGTCTTTGGTATATTCAGAATGATACACACATATATAGCTCAGGAGTGAACCTGGGAGTTCACAAATGTCTTTAGACGGTTACTTTCCAGAGCTCTTTCCTCTCCAGGATCTCCCTGGTATGTTCTGATTCTCTGGGGCTTCCCTTTTTTGGTCTCCCAGAAGGAAAGCTGGGGCTCTAGTTACCCTGAAGTGCCTTGCCCTTCCACAACTGGACCCATACTTGTGGCCAAGCAGTGTGAGGGCGCAGAGAACAAGCAACAGGGGCTGCCCCACTTCCTGGGACCATAGCTCCTCTGCTTGGAGGAAGATTACCCTCTGTCAGAGTTGCAGGTGTCTGTGGGTCCTTCCTGACACTGCTGTTGCTGCTACTGCCACGACAAAGTGGCATGGTGGCTGGGGCACGAAAGAACAAAGATAAAGAAAGGAAGCTGGGAAATTTCCCCAACTCTAAGTGTTACTGGAGTTCTCTTTCAGTTCTCTTTCCTGCAATTTGAGCCGGAACCAGAAAGCTTCACTCAGAGCCCTCCTGTCTATACTCTAGTGTCTACTTCCGGACTTTGGTTGCCTTGAGTCTCGAGAGACTGGAAGACAAACGGGGAGACTCCTCACTGGTTCGGTCGCACTTCAAGTTCTGCTCTTCTTCGATCTGTCTACTATTTACTTTCCAGAGTCCTTAAAGAGCTGTTCCATGCATTCTGCCCCGGCTTTATGGTTGTAATTAATCAGTGAGAGGGACAGGGTAGAGTGTGCTGACTCCACACTACCCAGAACTACCTATTTTAAGATTGATTTTCAAGCATTCTCCATTTTAGGTTTTGTTGTCGGTAAACATTTAGCATTTAGGTTTTAGCCTGCGTGTTCTAGCAGGAGTCTTAGAAATTTTCAATTGCAAAAATGTTTTAAGAGTGCATGAGAGGGGGCGCCTGGGTGGCTCAGTGGGTTAAGCCACTGCCTTCGGCTCAGGTCATGATCTCGGGGTCCTGGGATCGAGCCTCACATCGGGCTCTCTGCTCAGCCAGGAGCCTGCTTTCCCCTCTCTCTCTGCTTGCCTCTCTGCCTACTTGTGATCTCTCTCTCTGTCACATAAAAAAATAAAATAAAAAATGAAAAAAAAAAAAAGAGTGCAGGAGAGTTCTGCTGACAGATTCCCACTAGCTATCAAAGTCTTGTTGAATATCTTTTTTTTTTTAAAGATTTTATTTATTTATTTGACAAACAGAGATTACAAGTAGGCAGAGAGGCAGGCGGCGGGGGGTGGGGGGAAGCAGGCTCCCCACTGAGCAGAGAGCCCAACATGGGGCTCAATCCCAGGACCCTGGGATCATGACCTGAGCCGAAGGCAGAGGCTTTAACCCACTGAGCCACCCAGGCACCCCTCTTGTTGAATCTCTTAAACATTCCTTACATAAGCTTTCCTGGGAATTTTTAAGTGTAACTTACCAATTATCGCCACACGTAGCAGCTTTATTAAGGGTCTGTGAGACTGCGATACTGGTTAGACTATCTTTGTGGTCACGAGCCTGAAATATCTCTTGACCAATCTCTCGAATATGAGTGGAAATGACCACAAAAATTCCACGTGAAAAACCAATCATGATGTAGCCGTCACCATACCTATAGCAACAAAGGCAACAGTACAGTAAAAGGAAGGTTAGCTATCATTGGCAACCCAGTAAATCAGCAAGTACATTAGAAGTAAGGAACTATAGAACATAATTTGTCGAGGGCCAGATAATATGCTAGGTTGTTTCCCATGTGAAGTCATAGCCTACAATCCAGAAAATGTGACATATAGAATTGCAAATGCTATGGGCAGAAATTAAATATAATGAGTAAGGAAGAACACAGGGACATCTTTTGGTAATGAGCTGCTTGTACATACCAGCTGTAGCAGACAATGTTCCCATAGCGCTGCTGAAATTCCAGATCAATTGGACTATCTGGGTCATTCAGGTTATAAAGAAACAATGTTTTCTTGCCAACCACCACGCTGATCTGCCAGGAAAGATTAAGAGATTGTGGAATAAGTTATTCAGGACTTCATGAAGACCAATAAGCAAATTCAAGTAGATGAAGCTAACTGATGAAAACCATGAGCCAAGTTTACATTAAATGTTTTAACCAGGGGCACCTGGGTAGCTCAGTGGGTTAAAGCCTCTGCCTTTGGCTCAGGTCATGATCCCAGGGTCCTGGGATCAAGCCCCACATCAGGCTCTCTGCTCAGCAGGGAGCCTGCTTCCCCTGCTCTCTCTCTGCCTGCCACTCTGCCTACTTGTGATCTCGGTCTGTCAAATAAATAAATAAAATCTTTTAAAAAAATACAATAAATGTTTTAACTAACATGATAACAATGTGACTTTAAAAAATACATTGTACTAATATACAGTCTGGGAAGGGTCCTTGGCTTTGCACCTTTGAGAATTACACTAAAATAGCTGGGTTGATTAACTTTTTTTTTTTTTAAGATTTTATTTATTTATTTGACAGAGAGATATCACAAGTAGGCAGAGAGGCAGTCAGAGGAGGAAGCAGGCTCCCGGCTGAGCAGAGAGCCTGATGTGGGGCTCGATCCCAGGACTCTGAGATCATGACCCGAGCCAAAGGCAGCGGCTTAACCTACTGAGCCACCCAGGCGCCCCTGGGTTAACTTTTAAAAATTCTCTATACCTCTCATTAGAGTACTGTGCAGCACAGGGCCAGAAGTCCAACACAGTTCCACTGAAACTGAGCACATGTTCGGAGTACAGAGTCTTCTTGCCTAAGAGGTCATTCTGATTTTGAGCCATTGGGGATTACAGTCCACACAGTGTGGATAAATGAGCTTGGCTTTTTGCATTATTCTTTCCATCCCCTGCAGGTGATTGGTCAATGCGCCTAGACTAGTGTCCCTCTGTCACTCACATAAGTCAATACTTAACTGTAATTCTCAGTGGAAGGTGTAATTGTGTGAGGGAGAGAAAAGAGTGTATTACTTACTTGGGCTCATTAAGGGTGATGGATTCATATAAGAAGAGAAACACTTTGACATAGTTCCTTTAGTCTATCAATTATAAGTCATTACCGAGTCAATAATAGCTTTTTAAGAAAAAGAAGAGTATTGCATTTAAATATATTCGTATTAATGGTTTTCTCCAAACTAGCTATTGCCTGGATAATTGTTACCCTGAATTCCCTTTCTGACATACTGTTCATGTCCATATCCAATAGCTCTGATGGAGAGGGCACAGTCTCTGAATTTTTCCTCTGTTGGGCATTTCTCCTTCTAGTCATTTTGGTGAGAGGTGGCTGAGGGGATGTGTAGTGAATATATCAACCACAATCCAGGCAAGGTGCACCCTGAAACACTTCTGTGCAATCAAGAGTCCCCACCAAAAAGAAAGAAAAAAAGAGAGAGAGAGAGAGAGAAAGAGAGAGACGGGGAAAAAAATCAAAAAAAGAAAGAAAGAAAAGAAAAGAAAAAAAAGAGAAGACCTAGCCAGAATGGGCCCCAAGGTAAGATTTATAAAGTATACAAACAAAAACAGACAAAAAGACTGACAAAAGTAAATGACAAGAAAAAAAGAACCCAGCCAAATGAATCCCAAGTGTACTACCAGAACAAAAACAAATACACAGAAACACTGACAGAAGAAAAAGATGGGAGGTGGTTATAAATCCTCAGTGTGGACAAGGAAGGTTATTTTGATTCTTCCTGTTTGTAGCTTCATATCTTTGTTAAAGGACTCCACTTTCCCGGGATAAAGGGGGATTAAACTGGTTTATATATAGAGGTAGTATTGATTGGGGAAAGAGGATTACCTTGAAGCTCATCTATATATGAATATTAAAAAAAATAGAAAAGCAAGAAAAACACAGGTATATGTATCAAAAAAGTTCAAGTTAAAAGGTTATTATGGATGGGACGCCTGGGTGGCTCAGTTGGTTAAGCAGCTGCCTTCGGCTCGGGTCATGATCCCAGCGTGCTGGGATCGAGTCCCACATCGGGCTCCTTGCTCATCAGGGAGCCTGCTTCTCCCTCTGCCTCTGCCTGCCATTCTGTCTGCCTGTGCTTGCTCTCTCTCCCTCTCTCTCTCTCTGACAAATAAATAAATAAAATAAAATCTTTAAAAAAAAAAAAAGGTTATTATGGAATTTGTTGTATTGAACCTCTTGTGATGGTAAATAGGTTAAAATTTTTTTAAAAAATTAAAAAGAATGAGAATAACGGGAACGAATTAAAAATAAAAGTAGTATCTATGTAGTATACAGGTTTTAGGGCAATACCAGGGGCTTAATATCTTCTTTTCCCTTGATACTGGGGTATTACAGTTTCATGGGGACCCTGTGGTGGTTGTCCTCTTGGTTTTTGTTTTGTTTTCCCCCTGGCTGGTTTTCTGGGTAATTGCGAAGGTCCTCTGGATTTCAGAATAATATGTGGCAAGGAAAATGCACCTAAGATATTAAAAATAACTACAAATTCCAGAGTTCTGGTCACCACCTCCAAGAGAGAGAAAATAAAAAATCACATAGGAATCAGTACTTCTGTTTACAAAGGTAGCCTCACTGTTTCTGCTACCACAAGAACGAGGAAAGCAACACCAAGTATAGTAAGAAGATGTCCTCATTTCCTGTGCTATTGTCAGCTATTGTCAGCAGCAGCAAAAGCAACGTATGCCTCAGACACTGGAGTCTTTACTAATTTAATAAGTGACACACCATAATTTATTTATCCGTATACATTCTGAACCATCCTGGAAAAGGAGAGAGCATAGCCTATGCAATTATCAAAATAACTTGGACACGGATGTGACTTTAAATTCTTACCGTGCTTTCAGTAGCAGACGTTCGGTCATCTGTCTTCATCATGGAAAACTGCATGTCGCTAGGCTCTGACCTCACTGGTGTCTGCAGGGACAGAAATATTATCATGAGGAGTAAGTGCAACACTTAAATTCGTTCTGAATTTATAATAAAACCAGTAACTTGCTTTCACTTCTGTTATACCTGAAAACCCCACAGCTACAAACATCTGGAAACTGTGGATGAAACAGAACACATGTCTTATTAAATAGAGAGAAAAGCTTGAAAGAAGGCAAGGAAAATTTCCGGGGAAAATAAGCAAAGAGCAAACCACAAACCAAAGTATGTGTAGAAACTGATGCTGTAGCTATAAACTGATGCTGTAGCTATCTAGAGCAGTTGGTAAGGAGACAATAAAGAAGCCTATTTGACTTGGGCTGAGCTTTGGGTCAGAAAAAAATACTGAAAAAGTTCTTTTCATTTCAAAGACCTTCCTATCTTCACTATGACCTGAAGTTCAAATTTATACTTTGAGTGGGCTAGAAACTCCTTGGAGTATTTGTCAAAAACAAATCCAAGGCCTCTTCCAAAGCGATAAAAAATTTCTACAGACAAGCCCTGCTGAAGATGAGCTCACAATTCAAAATGAGAAAAGTCACAAGACATAACACGTCAAGAACAAAAGTCATCAGATCTAAGAAACATAGAACTAGCAGAGAGACACTCCACTAGACACTTTAAAAATGACCAAAGATGTAAAGGACTCATAAGTATGACAAAAGATTTTAAAAAAAAAAGTCCAGACAGATTTTTTTAGAGAACTACAAAGTACTTTTCTTTATTTATTAAAGTACAGCTGACCCTTGAACAATGTGGGGGCTAGGGGAGCTGAGCCCCTGAACAGTTGAATATTCACATATAATGTTGAGTTCCCCCAAATTTAACTACTAATAGTCTACTTTCACTGGAAGTCTTACCAATAATATAAACAATTCATAGACATTTTATATGTTCTGTATATCTCATACTGTATTCTTACAATAAAGTGAGCTAGAGAAAAGAAAATGTTATTAAGCAAATCATAAGAGAAAATATACTTATGGTCCTGTATTATATTTATCAAAAAATATATGCATATAAGTAAATCTCCACAGTTCATATCTCTTAACCCCATTTGCCTATTTATCTAAAGTACTTTCTAATAATAAAAAGCAGAATCATTAAGATTAAAAAAAAAAACTTAGTAAGATAAATGGCCAGATAAATTTGAAGAAAGAGTAAGTAAATTGATTAAGTAAAAAACCCAGGAGGTTGCACAGAATGACAAAAAGATATGAAAGAGAGATAAAGAGGGGCACGTGGGTGGCTCAGTTGGTTGAGCATCTGACTCTTGGTTTCACCTCAAGTTATAATCTCAGGGTCATAGTCTCAGAGTCATGAAAGTGAGCTCCATGTTGGGCTCCCCATTCAGCACAGAGTCTGCTTGTCCCCCTCCCTCTGCTCCTCCCCCAGCTCTCTCTAAAATCAATAAATAAATTCTTAAACAAAAAGAGAGATAAAGAGGTAGAAGGTCCAACGTATGTCTAACAGACACTCCAGAAGGACAGAATAGAAAGGGCAAGAGGTAATACTGAAAGAGATAATGACAGAATTTTCCAGAATCGATGAAAGACAGCAAACTTCAGATTTAAAGAAAAAGGCAAGTCCTTAGTAGGATAAATAAAAAATAAATCTACAAAAGAAACACTGGAGTGATCTGCAGAGTAGTAAAATCAAAGCAATTCAGAGACAACACAAAATAAAGCAATAATTTTAATGTATGCTTACCACAGGACAACTTAGAGAGTATACCTAATTCTAGAAGAATACTTCTTAGAGGTCAGCGATGGGAAATAGCTATCTTGTATGTAAATAACAACTGAATGTAGTTATTTCCTAGGATGTGATGTAGCAAAATATTGTAAGGTCATGTCCTGATTCAGTGGAGGAAAAAAATGCCAATATCTACTTATGATGTCTGATATGGATACAAGGAAGTGAGTGCAGAGCTAAAGCATTTCAACTTGCATATCTACCATTCTAACTCAAAATGGCACCAAAATAGAATGTCAAAATTTTAGGTTTCTAGAAAATATTTTGTTATACTAATTAATCTTAAGAACAAGTTTAATCATGGGGCGCCTGGGTGGCTCAGTGGGTTAAAGCCTCTGCCTTCGGCTCGGGTCATGATCCCGGGGTCCTGGGATCGAGCCCCACATTGGGCTCTCTGCTCAGCGAGGAGCCTGCTCCCCCCACCGTCTGCCTCTCTGCCTACTTGTGATTTCTGTCAAATAAATTAAAAAAAAAAAAAAGAACAAGTTTAATCATGCTATGGTTCTACTCAACATGGCTGAGTAACTTCTGCCTAACTTTCAGAGCTGTCCAGATACAGAAACCAATGTTCTTCTTCAGTCTTATTTTCTATAAATTCTCAAAACCCCTATCTTCAGTAGGCCAATCTTGAACAAGCTATGAACAAGCTATAAGTTCTTCCTCCTACCTCTGTCCATGTCGTTTTGCTAGGGTTGAACAACAGACTGTTAAATGTCTTACGATATCCACTTAAACAAATTTCAGTAGGGTACACAATTACAGAGATGATATTTGCGGCTTCACTGGCAGCAGTGAAGTGTGACTATGTGACTAGGTTCTAGTGATATGGATAGAAAAAATAAATGCATCTTCTAGACGAGACCCTTTAAATATCTCTTGCACTCCACCTTCTTTCTCCTTTCCATGGAGGGGAAATGCAGATGTGGTGCGGGTAACTATGCAGAAGAGGACAAAACATCCTTGCAAAAGACAGAGCAATGTGATGGAAGGAACTTGGGACTGTGTAGCGCCTTGTGAAGCAGAGATGCACACATGATCTGCCCACCTGTCTCTGTTCCATGAGGAAGAGAAAGAGGAAAAACCACCCAAACTAGCATATTTTAAGAGCCCTTGTAATTTTGGAACACTCTGTTACAGCAATTTATCCTACACCTTGACTGATTCAGATTGTCTGTCTTTTAAAGGTTCATAATTCAACTTGCATTGATCTCCTCCATCTCAGATATTATGGGACTTGTAAGCTATACCAAAAGATATGGCAATCATTGTATAAGGTTGTGTGTGTTTTATCATGATTAGTTCTGTCTTCTTGAGAGTAGGAGCCTATGGTTGGCAGCTTCTAAGATGAGCCACAGTAATCCTCACCTTCTGTGTAATCCCCATTCCTAGCTGAATGTGGGCTGGACAGGACTCACGTCTACATAACAGAATATGGCAAAAATGATTTTGAGATCAGGTTATTTATTAAGAGATTGTGGCTTAAGTTTTAAGTGGCTGCTCTCCTTGTCTTACCACCTGCTATGTGGTGAGGCACTCTATGGAGAAATCATGTGGCAATGAAATTAGGTGGGGTTCTAATCAATGGCCAGAAAGGAACTGAGATCCTAAGCCTAACAACCGATAAGGAATTGAACTCTTGTCAAGAACCATGCGATTGAGCTTGGAAACAGACTTTTTTCCCAGTCAAGCCTTCAGATGAGACTCCAACCTTGACCAGGAAAATGCAGGCTTATGAGACGTTAAAGCAGCTAGGCTACATCTGCATTCCTCATCCATAAAAACTATAAAACAATAAATGTATATTGTTTTGAATCTGCTAGGTTTGGGGGGTAATTTGTGATGTAGCAATAGAGAACTAATACAGGACCATATTTCACATTTCTTCTTAAGTACATAGCACAGTGCCATATACCTAGAGGGTATTCAAAGAATTTGCTAGTCAGTATTGTCCTGGCAATACTAAGTCATATGCCAAGTGGTCCAAAGTAAAATTTATCCACTGGTGAGATTATGTAGTAGATACTGGCAATACAAATTACCTCAAGGAGCTGCTGAAGATCTATTCAATTGGGAAATTTGAACAGTAGTAAACTTTACTCCTAAAACTAAATTTAATAAGGATTAGCTTGGAAGCAATTTAACACACCAGTTAAAGGCATGGGCTTTAGAATCAGGCAGCCCAGACTCTGAGCCCAGTTATTAACATTTATGACTATACGCATATAAAATCAGAGTTATCTCACAAATATACAGCCTAGCTATAACCACAGAGCCAATAATTCATGCCAATACTAGGTAATGGCAAATGTACAAAGGAAGACATTTAGATAAAGGATTCCTAGGAAAGAAAAGTGTTCTAATACCTAAGAAGAACAGTTTTTGTTACTTTGGAAAGGAAGTTATTGCATACAGACCCCACACAGAGATTTTAAAATTTCACAGATTAGTTTGGTAGACAAACTTTATATCAGGGAAAATTTTGAATACACCAGACCAAAGATGATACGGAATTACCTGTCTTATCGTGTCACCTTCCTGATTGCTAACGGTAATCATTTTATCTTCACCACCTAAAGCAAGCAGATTTTCTGCATTCCAACATCCGCATGTGATTCTCTTAGTATGTTTTCCTGAAAAAGAGATGATTTTTGTACAGACACGTGGGTTTCTCAAAAAAATTAAAAGATCTGTGCTGTCAATCTAAAAGTCTAGGTAATAGGCCGTCGATATTAAACAGATAAGGAATGCAAAATCTCATCAAAGTAGTTAGTGTCTAAGCAACCTTACTTAAAAGTCATTACCAAGTTCTAAAGCAATATAACGGTCTTCAACTAGTTAGGTGGGTATGAGCACAGGCTCTAACATGAAGAGATACTCGGCTCCTGGACAAGTTTGTTGGCTTACCATATAACCAAACCATATAACAATAATGTCTTACCACGAGCACTAAATCCCAAGGCACTCAAGTTACTTTACTACACTCAGTTTTACAGCATGGTAGACACCTTGGTATAAACAGATTCAACATTCAGTTTGGGTTACTCATGTAAAACTAGAACACATTTAATTTCTGGTCATACTGAGGTGCAAATCTGAATGTACCTTTTTGAGACTGGCGTGGAGAACTGAGTCACTTAACTAGGAAGTGATACTGGACGGAAGCGATAAGTATCAGGAGACTTTCCCGCTGAGGAATCTAGCCAGTATAAACACTGTATTTTGGGGGTAAAAACATATACTTGACACCAGGTGCATTTGTTGAAGGTCCTAGGACAGATAAATCCTTGAGTCTCAAGATCCATTCTACAATGAGGAGTAGATTGGTTAAGTCTACATATTCTGGAGCTAGCCTGCCTGCATTTGAATCTCAGCTCTTCCACTGACCATAAACACTGGGTAAGCTACCTACCATTTCTATTCCTTAGTCACATATCCATAAACTGGGGATAATAGTAGGGCCTGTCTCATAGAATTGAGGATCAAATGAGTTCAGGCATTTGGAAGAGTGCCAAGCATACAGAAAGTGCTAGAGAAGTTTAGCTATTTTTTATATAGCTTTTTTTTATATATATACAGAAAGGGCTAGAGAAGTTTGCTGCTTTTTGAGAGCACAGACCACATTAATTTTATTCCTTCTTGCCCTTACAGAATTGAATACGGTACCTATACTGGAAGTAGGTTCTAAAGAAGTAGTTGTTAAGTGAGTAGACCCTGAGGCCAGAGTCCTGGTGTGTCAGAGGCTCAGGAGGAGGACAGTGTGGCTGGAGCAGAGGAAGGAAGAGGAGAGGAATCTGAGATGAAATCAGTTTGTAAGGCCAGGTCATGCGGGTGTTGGTTGGCCACTGTAAGGACCCTGGCTTTGACCCACTGGAAAGGACTGAGCAGAAAGCTCACTCTGGTCCCTAGCTTGAGAATATTTTATAATGGGGAAAGAGCTGGAGCAGGGAAACCAGTTCCGAGAGCACAGAAATGCACGTGGAAGATGTCCGAGGCTCACACACACTGGTAACAGGAGAGATGGTTGAGAACAGGCTAGATTCTGGAAATATCTGAAGCAAGAGCCTACAAGATTTTCTGGCAAATTAGAAGTGGAAGGTATGAGAAAGAGGAGAGTCAAGGAGGATTCTAAAGTGTTAGCCTCAAGATCTGAAAGGATGGGATGTCATCAACGGTGAGAGGAGTAGCTGTGGTTAAGAACGGTTTTAGAGATATGAAATTTGAAGTGTTTACTGGACATCTTGTCAGAAATGTTGAATAAGCAGTGGATACAGGAGTCTAGAGATAGGAAGAGATCAGTATGGAACTGGTCAGGATTTGGCTGGCATTTCAAATCAGGAGACTAGGGCACAAACGTGAAGGGACCATTCAGAGAAGACGCTGAAATGGAGAGTTTGGTGATCATAGATGAAGGGACTCGTGTCGTACTTTGCACTGGGCCCACAGAGATGCTCATTAGGAAGGGAAGAAGAGTGCACAAAGAAAGGTGGGAAAAAGCCAAAGACAAACTTCCTTCTATACCCCAGAAAGGGAGAAGAAAATCCCTTCTTCCCCCTTTCTGTATACCTCATGGCCTCTTTGTTTCTTCCAGGGCTCGGAACTCAGGTTAGCCTTAACATCAAGATCAGTTAACCTGTTTTGTGTGCCTACTTATAGTATTCTGGGCACTTTACACACACTGACTTATTTAAATAATATTAACTCACAGTTAATCTACTATGGTAACTGAAGTTTGAACCATGTTATTGGGAGACTGGCAGTATTTAATCAAACCGTAGTAAATGAATAATATAATATAATATAATATGTAAGAGTCACACAACATGAGAACTGCCTGTATGTGGTTTAGCTCAAGGGAGTAAATCAGTACAAGATGCAACAAGGTTAACAGATTTTAGTTACTGTGAGATGCTGGCAGCTCATGGTACCACGGAGGGGCTCTCTAGAGTGGAAAGCCTTGGATTTAGGAAAGTGAGTTATTTAAAAGGAAAAAAAGCAGAGCCACAAATCATAACCAACTCTGAGAAAGGCAGCTATATATTTAGCTAAAGGACCTAAGACATATAATTGACCTGAATAATCTCCTCAGGCCCATTTTATAATAAATGAGAAGAGACCCAATATTCATATTAAATACAAAGATCACCTATAAAATTATGTATATGTGACAAATACTTGACATAAAGTAATTATGCTTTGACAGATTATTTTCTTATATGTCAAGTGTCAGACTTTCTGGGGCCTGTAAGTTAACTGGTAGGGTGTTCCTACAGATGAAGGGGGATACGAAAAAATGCCTAACTGAGGTCAAATAGTCAACTTATGGTGAAAGTTGATTTTTATAACTCAAAATATTTTGTTTAGGTTTTCAAATGGATCAATGGCATTACCTTTTGGCGGGAGCACCAAAAATATAAATATTAAAGATATATATGTATGTGAAAAAAAATTGAAATAAATTATGTGTCCTTAATAGTATTCTGAGGGCACTCTTATCTCCAGAGTTTAATTCCTTCCTTAGCAATAAATTATAATTATTTGGCCACCTGGGTATAATTAAGCCTGCTAGTTTCACCATTCACCAGCAGGATGTTATGATAATTGAAAAGAATCGATGTGTTTCTTCTTAGGTGTTCAGAAGGCAGATGGTAAGTGACCAGAGACTGGGGGAATCAAAGAGTCTGAACCCAGGTCAAACAAAGAACAAACACCCTCTAGTCATATACCCTGAGGTTCAATATAACTCACAGGGCATACTCAATTGGTGTTTGGAGAGAATAAGAGGTCAGAATTAAGAATCTAAATATATTCTGACCAAAACAGTCACCAAATGTTTCAGTCCATCTACTAACATGCTGTCTATCCCATGTCCACAGGTACAATCTGCTGTTAATGTCCTGGTGTCCAAAGGCACAGGCTGACCTGCAACTATTCTGTGTGGCCTGGTAATTCTTCATAAACAGTGAAGAGGGATCTTGTAGTTTAGCTAGCTGTGAGGCTTACCCGGGGGAGTTTTACTGCTACACAATTTCCCTGGCGATATCAGAAAAATCTGAGGCATAAAACATTCCATTTATGTAAAGCATCTCAAATACAGAGCGGTGTTTCCAGCTATAACCTACCCAGTACAGGAATCTTTCGAGATGTCTGACGATTATAAATAAGCAAATTTCCTTTAACGGTTCCAACGGCCAGGAAACTTCCAATTTTTGACCAAAGAAGGAAAGACATTTGATCCCTGTAACGTTAAGATATAAATCACTAAAAAACTCACAATCATAATCTCCAGGTAGTTCTTTTAAAAAGTATTTCATGAATAATTTTAATATCTACTTAGAAACTGAAGTACAAAATTAGAACTTACTGCTTTAGGACAAAGACTAGGGCTAAAGGCATTTTGGAGAAGCTATAAGATGATGTTATGGTCAGTTAGACCTAACATACATATGTAATAAATACAAACTCTACTTCAGTCATGCTGGAACCTCAAAGGTCATAAAACGAGTCATGATGAGACAGTTTAGTCAGACTGATAGTTGTAAATGTGTAAAAATCTTAATGGATGATGATGCCACATGCTTTAACAACAACAACAACAACAACAAAGTAGGTTCCAGGGCGCCTGGATGGCTCAGTCGGTTAAGCATCCAACTCTTGATTTCGGCTTTGGTCGTGATCTCAGGGTTGTGAGATTGAGCCCCGCATTGGGCTTCACATTGGGCATGGAATGTGCTTAAGAGTCTCTCTCTCCCTCTCCCTCAGCTTTCCCCCAACCCCCGCTTAAAAAAACGAAATAAAAAAAAATGTGTTAAGTAGAGTCCTCTAACATATTACATTGGAAAAATCACTGAGAATTCATCACCTTAAATAGGACATATCTTTTCCAGCTCTGTCACTTTTTAAAGTTTTTATGTCAATTCCAAGTAGTTAAGAGTATAATATTAGTCTCAGGTGTGCAATACAGTGATTCAGCACTTCCATACATCACCCGGTGCTCATCATGACAACCACACTCCCCAATCCCCGTCACCACTCTCACCACCACCTGTCATCATCTCCCTTCTGGTAACCATCAGTTTGTTCTCATTAGATAACAGTGTTTCTTGTTTTGCCTCTTTTTTTTTCTTCCTTTGCTTGCTTTGTTTCTTAAATCCCACATAAGAGTAAAATCATATAGTGTTTGTCTTTCACTTGCTGACTTATTTCACTTAGCATTATACTCTAGCTCCACTGATGCTGCAAATGGAAAGATTTCTTTTTTATGGCTGAGTAATATTCCATCATCTATATGTGTGTATATATCTGTGCATATACCTATAGATATACACATATGTACACACACATGCATACATACATACTACATCTTCATCCAGTCATCAGTCAATGGACACTTGGGCTCTTTCCATAATTTGGCTATTGTTGATAATGCTGCATCAGGGTGCATGTATCCCTTCGAATTCATATTTTTATATTATTTGGGTGAGTATCTAGAGTAGTATGATTGAAGGACTGAAGGGTAGTTCTTTTTTAACGAAACTCCATACTGTTCTCCAGAGTGGCTGCACCAGTCTGCATTCCCACCGACAGTGCAAGATGGTTGCCCTCTCTCCACATCCTCGCCAACACCTATTGCTCTGTTTTTGATTTTAGCCATTCTGACAGGTGTGAGTGACAGATCCAGCCAAGCACCCCTATGGTGAATGATTTTTTTAAAATATATTGTTGGATTGGGTTTGCTAGTATTTTACTGAGAATTTTTGCATCCATGTTCTTCAAGGATATTGGCCAATAGTTCTCTTTTTTTTTTAGTGGAACCTTTATCTGGTTTTGGTATCAGGGTAGTGTTGGACTCATAGAATGAATTTGGAAGTTTTCTTTCCTTTTCTTATATATATATAAAATTTAGTTATTTGACACAGAGAGATACAATGAGAGGGAACACAAGCAGAGGGAGTGGGAGAGGGAGAAGCAGGCTTCCCACTGAGCAGGGAGCCTGGGGCTCGATCCCAGGACCCTGGGATCATGACCTGAGCTGAAGGCAGTCACTTAATAACTGAGCCACCCAAGCACCCCTATTTTTTGGAATAGTTTGAGAAGAGCCATTAACTCTTCTTTAACTGTTTTGTAGAATTCACCAGTGAAGTAATTTGATCGTGGACTTTTGTATGTTGTGAATTTTTTGATTACTGACTCAATTTCTTTGCTGGTTATTGGTATGTTCAAGTGTTCTATTTCACCTGTTTCAGTCTGGGTAATTCATTTGTTTCTAGGAATTTAATCATTTTTTCCAGGTTGTCCAATTTGTTGGCATATAGTTTTTCATAATATTCTCTTATAATTGTTTGTATTTCTGTTATGTTGGTTGTTATTTCTCCTCTCTCATTTGTGATTTTGTTTATTTGGGTCCTTTCTCTTTTCTTTTTGATAACTCTGGCTAGAGGTTTATCAATATTATTGATTTTTTTCCCACAGAACTGGCTCCTGGTTTCATTGATCTGTTCTATTGTTTAAGTTTCCAAATCCTTTATTTCTGCTCTAATCTTTATTATTTCCTTCTTTCTGCTAGCTTCAGGCTTCACTTTTTGTTCTTTTTCTAGCTCCTTTAGCTGTAAGGTTAGGTTGTTTATTTCAGATTTTTCTTGCTTCTTGAGGTAAGCTTCTTTGCTATATGTTTCCCTGTTAGGATTGCTTATGCTGCATCTCAAAGGTTTTGGACCATTGTGTTTTCATTTTCATTTGTTTCCATGTAGTTTTAAATTTCTTCTTTTATTTCTTAGATGAACCATTGTTTGGTAGCATGTTATTTAACTTCCATGTATTTGTGGTCTTTCCAGGTTTTTTCTTGTGGTTGACTTCTAGTTTCACAGTGTTGTGGTCAGAAAAGTTGCATGGTATGACTTCAATCTTCTATTTGTTGAGGCCTATTTTGTGACCTAATATGTGATCTCCATTCTGGAGAATGTTCCATATGCACTTAGAAAGAGTGTGTATTCTGGGGCACCTTGGTGGCTCAATCAGTTAAGCAAGCAACTCTTGATTTTGGCTTAGGTCATGATCTCAGGTTTGTGAGATTGAGCCCTGTGTTGGGCTCATCCACTGAGCGTGGGGTCTGCTTAAGATTCCCTCTCTCTCTTAAAAAAAAAAAAAAAAGGAAAGAAAGAATGTGTATTCTGCTGTTTTAGGATGAATGTTCCAAATATATGTTAAGTCCATCTGGTCCAGTATGTCATCAAGGCCATAAATTCCTTGTTGATTTTCTGTTTAGATGTTCTGTCCATTGATGTAAGTGGGGTGTTGAAGTCCCCTATGATTATTGTATTATTGATTAGTTCCCTTATGTTTGTTATTGTTTTATATATGTGGGTGCTCCTGTGCCAGGTGCTTAAATATTTATAATTGTTGTATCTCCTTGTCCCTTTTATTATTCTATAGTGTTCTTCTTTGTCTTTTGTTATAGTCTTCATGTTAAAGTTTGTCCAATACAAGTACTGCTCCTCTGGACATCCATTTCTCTTGACATCCATTTGCATGATGTTTCTCTATCCCCCTCACTTTCAATCTGCAGGTGTCTTCAGGTCTAAAATGAATCTCTTGTAGGCAGCATATAGATGGGTCTTACTTTTTTTTTTTTTTTTACATGCACTCTGCTCTTGTGTTTTAGCTGTTCTATCCTCCAGTCATCTGCAGAAGCTCTCCTTGCTTGCTGTATGCAATGTTTGGCTCCTGATCTGAATGTGGTGAGTTTTAACTAGGTGTGCTTTTTCTGATTATGAAATGAGACCCGTCACCACCTCCACCAGAACTAAGACCCTGCAACACTCTCTGGCTGGGAAACATGGTGTAGGCCGGGGTTTGTGCTGGTCTTGCTGGTCTGGTACACTGGGACTGAGGTAAGCATCACTGAGAAAAGCAGTTCCACCAAAGCACAGGGAGTGCTTAGTGTAAGCAAGTTAGGCGGCCAGTTTCCACACTGCACTGCTTCTGCAGGTGGCTCTGTGTTTATGCTGAGCAGCAGGAGAGGGAAATGTGCTGACCTGCTCCTTTGTTCCTGGGGAGGTGTCTCCATGAATAATATCACTCAGGGACATGTTCTGAGAAGAGCAAATAATATCCCCATTTTGTACCCCGGGGTCTCTTGAGATGTTGTTTCCATGCTGTACATCCCTGTCATCTCACCAGGAGTGTGGCAGTACCTATCTATCCTAGCCAAGCCCAGTGACATTGAACACTCCAGGCTTTATGCCCCACTGGTTGCAAGAATTCATGAAATTCAGACCCTCTCACTTTCCAGGCCAAAGGCTTTGGGGAAATGTTCTACATCTGTGTTCCCCTGTGTGCTCCGCTCTCTGTTGCCCTTCTCTGCAACCATGGCTCCTTCCCCTCCACAGCAGCCAGGATCTGTTTCTTCACCATGCCTCCACACTTCTTACCTTCTTTAGTATGGTCTCTTCTCTCCCTTTAGTTGTAGAGTTTGTCCCGTCAGTCTTCTGGTTGACTTCTGGGGTATTTGGGATGATTTGATAGTTATTGAGCTGTATTTGTAGGAGGAGATGAGCCTAGGGTTCTCCTACTCCACTGCCGTCTTCCCGTCTCTCCCACCTCTGTCACTATTAAGATTAGCTCACTCAGAAAGAGGTAGAAAGCACATTTGTCTACCACCAGTTCTTAAGTACATTCTAAGACCTACTAGTTGAACTTTTTTTTTTTTTAAAGATTTTTTTTTTAAATTTATTTGACAGACAGAGATCACAAGTAGGCAGAGAAGCAGGCAGAGAGAGAGGAGGAAGCAGGCTCCCTGCTGAGCAGAGAGCCCGATGCAGGGCTCGATCCCAGGACCCTGGCATCATGACCTGAGCTGAAGGTAGAGGCTTTAACCCACTGAGCCATCCAGGCGCCCCTACTGGTTGAACTTTTATATAGTTCTCTATTAAATGGAATCAGGACTCCAGGGAAATCGGACTCCTAGCTCATTCTCTAAATGGAGGGAAAAAATCACAATGGGTATAGAAAAGTGGTTGCGAAAATCCAATCCCAAGACCAATAGCATCACTTGGGAACTTTAGAAATGCCAGTTCTCTGATCCCACCCTAGCCCTTCAGAATGAGAAACTCTGAGGGTGGCACCCACCCATCTGTGTTTCAATAAGCACTTTGATACAGCTAAAGTTTGAGAACCACTGATAAATCATTTACTGTTTACAGAAAGCAACGCTGCCCTCAAGAAAGCTGATAATATGGAAGACCAAAATTTCACTTAAAGTATAAGAGAAGTTTGGTTGCAACAACAATATTCATAATATTCAGTTGAATATGAATAACATATTCAGTTAGAAAATTATTTCTAATAAGTACTAATATCCCAGGCTGCTGGGTTTAATTTATAAAGTGCATGTTTTTAAAAGACCAATATGCTTGTTTCTCTATCTGTTTGAGCAGGTGTGACAGCCATGAGAATACGCCTCTTAGGTCTCTAGCTATGGAAAGTGTAACTGATGAAGGCCTCCACTGGAATCCACCACTTTGACGTGCTAGGGCCATGCCTTCCCGTGGGCTGTTCCCAGACAGTAACTGAGTGGGCAGGGATACTATTGAGGCCCATTTCTGGGAAACACAGGGTTCCACTGATGGGTACCTCTGGCTTAAAGTCTCCTCAGAGGCCTAGTTGAACTTAGAACTGGGCTACAGTATAAGATGCTTCTACCCAATGTTTCTTCCTTCCCTCTCCCCTTTACAAGGATCAGACATGCACTGTGGTCTGATGGCTTTTCTAACCTGCCCCCTCTATGTTACCTCAGAGGCATTTCCTATAATAAATCTCACATGCTCAATCCTATTTGAGATTGAGAAAACATGAACAGAAAGAATTGTGAGCAAGATAAATAGCACCAGAGAGAGGAGGAACTGTGTGAGAAGCACAAATCGTGATCAGCACCAGCGGTCACACTGAATAAGAGCAGAGTGACAACAGTCCATTCCATAGTCTATCATTACTAACAGTCACATGACAACCAACTAGAAAAGGAGTTAAACAGTGTGTTCCAAGAAGATCAAGTAACCAAATATCCTCAAAAGAAGAACCAGCTGAACAGACTCCATCTTCCTTTTCTTCAGAGAAAAGGCCTCTAGAAGGCCCTACAAATTACTGTAAGATGCTATGGCACATTTAAGTTCCCAGTAATGCTTGCAGATCAGGATAATATATAGGAATTACACGTACTTTTGGCCAAGTTAAACTAAAAGAATATACTTTTCAAGGGAAATGCACATGGCAAAAAAAAAAAAAAAAAAAGCAACCTGTATGAAAGGCACAGGCTTGAGAGAGTCTTGCTGATAAGACAAATGAAGATCAATTAGGAAAGAAGCTGGGTAGGGTGACCAATACTCAGGTCTGAATGGCCATGGGAGAAGGAACCATGCCCATAAGTCAACCACAAATTAATTGGCTGATGAATGCGATGCTGTATTTAGTGTTTTCTCTGGAAAGACTGCTGTACTCCAGTGACATAACTCTTATAAGTCTAAGGAGGATCAAGGGAAGTACCACTATAATTCTAAGAAGTTATAAAAATACATGCAGTAAAAACTAATCCACTTAATCCATTGTGTTACCATAATAATTTAAGATAGTTAAGTGACATCGTAGTAAGTTTTGCAATGATTATATTTGAATACACTTTGTGTATTATTTAAGATGTTCAAAGGGCTCAAAAGAATAAATTCCAATTAAATTTCTAAATGGAATTTAAGTTTTTCAAGGAAGTTTGTTTGCCAAATGAATATATTAAAGAAAAACTGATATTCAAAATCGTGTTTAAGTATCTTAGTATAATATTGACCTTTAAATTAAAAAACAAATATGAAAAAAAAAAAACAAATATGGGGGTGCGACTTTGTATATACAAAATTCCTTTAGGTATTAAATATTAATATAAACTAATAATTAATTGGTTCCACCTCAATAATTACAATAACATCTACCATTCATTCAGTTCCTAGTTTCATGCCTGGCCATGACGCACAATTAAACGTCCCAACAACTCTGAGATGATGTGAGGAAATGGATCTGTGGGAAGCTAGACAGCAGAGGCAGATATACACCAGTCTGAGACACCTTGGATTAATTATGCATTTTTCCCTGGGTGAGCACGTGTTCTCGCTGATGCTGAATTTGGTTCAAGAACCAGTATTTGATGTTTATAAATATTCTTTTTGAACTGAAGAGCAGAGTACGTAAAATCTTTCTAAAAAGTGACATATACCCAAAGTGCAAAAGGACAGAGCAAGAAATGAAGATTCTCAAGCCCGGCAAGACTTCACGGTGGGTGGGCAGTATTACCCGTGAGTGCACGCCTCATGCGTCAATCTGGAGGGTTAAGGGAAACAACACTAAGGTCATCTTTGGTCCTGTTCTGCATGGCCACCTGGCTTTCTCTGGGTTGTTACTCCTTGGCAAACTGGAAATTTACAGTCTTATCTTTCAACATGTGTGTGGCCTATCTGCAGGTCATGTGACACCATGAGGCAGATATTATTACACACATTCCATAGAGATGAAGAAACTGAGGTCTAGAGAGAGGTAAAGCTACTTGTTCAAGGTTGAATGGCCAAGTTTTAGTTGTAAATAAATGTTTCTATTTCGTATGTTAAAGTGGTTTCTATTTTAGCAGAGATCTGTAATTTCTTCTGTTTGCCAGTATATTTTCCATTTGGGAACTGTCCCACCTTTACCCCACTCTTCACCTGCTGGGATTTTTAATCCCATGGCCCTGTCGACCCTACTCAGAGGCCTTTTGAGTAACCGAGTGGACACGGATAAGGTGATGGGGATATGCTCTCTTCGGTGTAACTTGCTGTGAAGATAAGCCAATAGTTGGCAGCAGCATAGAGTCTGACTTAGAATAAAGTCAATACAGAGAAAGGAAGAGCTCAGAGATGGAGAGTCTTGACTGCATCCCTAGAACCCCTAAATCCAGCAATGCCTGAGGCCAATCCCATTTCCAGAATTTTCCATATGTTTTGTCTCATCTTTGGACATTTTAGTCTGTTCCAGCGAAAGCAAATTTTAAGAAGCTACTTATATTTTACAATCCTAACAATTTATTCTAATTAATTGGGCAAAATCAATAGGATTATATGTAACAATAAAAAAAAGAAATAAACTTTCTTTCATGGGAAAGCATCTCACAAACACATCTTTATAATAATAGCAGTAAGCATTGTTAGCATCAGACCTACAAATAATATTTATAAGTGAAGATTTAAAATAAAAGTTATTCTTACCTCATACCACTGTCTAACTGGCTGGTTTTATTTGTGTTGGCATCCCATAGATAAATGCAACTAGATTTCTCAGCAATCACTGCTAGGATATCTCCATCTTTGTCCCAATCCATAGCAACACAGTTACTTTTTAAAAAGAAAGCAAAATATCACTATACATTTTCTTCAAGTAAGGGAAAGAAATTTAAATGCCTATTTACAATTTTTATCTACAATAAGATCATCCAATTTTGAGTAGGTCATAAACTTCCTAAAGTGAGAACTACAACTCACTATTCACTGCTTAGATAACACTAAATTTTTTTTTTTTTTTTTTTTTTTTTGAGAAAGAGAGTGTGCAAACAGGGAAGGGAGGGGACACAGGGAGAGAGAATCTTAAGCAGATTCCACACTGAGCATGGAGCCCGATGTGGGGCTCCATCCCATGACCCTGAGATCATGACCTGAGCTGAAACCAAGAGTCGAATGCTTAACCAACTGAGCCATCCAGGTGCCCCCACCAAGTTAAATATTTTATTGTTGTTGAGGGAATGGGAAAAAATTTTAATTCTATTTTAAATATCATTTATATACACTACACTAAATATAATTATACCTAGTAAGTTAGCAGATTTTCTTAGATCCTATAAAGAACTTGGTCTTTTGGTAAAACAAACCCATAGAGCACCTCTACAAAGGAATCACATTGGAATCAAGAGGTAATTTGTTTGACCAAGTGCTGAAAGGTTATTTCAGATTTACAAAGAGAAAAAGAAGGTACTGATAAAAAATGAGTTTCATCTAGTTAATTTGTGTATAAAACAGATCATGGCTGGGTAGATATGGGATTGTAAATAATAGAAAACCTAGATTACACATGTTATTTCATTTTATAGCATCTTGCCATAATAAATTAAGAGTGATTCAACTAAAATGACTTAAGAGTTATAAATAGGAAATGCTTTTTAAATATGATATTGTTTAAAATTATTTCAAAGAGCTTATTATAAATCAAAAACTTCCTTGAGGATTAACTTTTTCTCCTCTGATGTTATTTTTCACTTTGAGACTCTGCTCTGGGATATTGGCTAAGCCAAACTCAGATTAATAAGACAATAAACTAAGACAACTGGGAGTTACTTTGGTCATTTTTTTTTTTTCGAAATGTTAAAATATGTTTGGGGATCTTCGTTTTCTCTAGTATTTTCAGACCCTACTTAGAAGTCCTTCTCCCCATCTTCCTCCACCCCCCACTGCTGGCTGCCTAAAGCACACACTCTCTCTTTAAAAAAAAAAAAAAAAAAAAAAAAGTTTAACAATGACATAGGGGCACCTGGGTGGCTCAGTTAGTTAAGCATCTGCATTTGGCTCAGGTCATGATCCCAGGGTCCTGGGATCAAGCCCTGCATTGGGTTCCCTGCTCAGCAGGGAGCCTGCTTCTCCCTCTGCCTCCTGCTCCCCCTGCTTGTGCTCACTCTTTCTCTGACAAATAAATAAAATCTAAAAAAAAAGTTTAAAATGTATGGTGAAAGCAACTATTTTCCAACAATTTACGAGAGGAAACAGTACAGTGATGTGGGCTTATCTTTTCTGCCTATGCACAAAATAAGGCTTGTTTATAATTAAGTAAGAATCTTTCATATAGATTTATTTATAATTCTACCTTAAAGCTTCCCTGCAAGAGTACAGAGATTATAAATATCAACTCTAATGCATATGCTATATGTCTACATATTTCACTAACAACTTATGTATAAAACAACAAATCCCTGGGGTGCCTGGGAGGTGTATTCAGTTGGTTTTGGCTCAGGTCGAGATCTCAGGGATGGGAGACGGAGGAGCCCCACCTCGGGCTCCGTGCTGAGCATAGAGTTGGCTTGGGATTCCCTCTCCTTTTCCCTCTGCCCCTCCTGCTTATGTTCTATCTCTAAAAATAAGTAAATGAATATTAAAAAAACAAACAAAACAAATCCCTTTGCAAAGGAAGAAAGCAAAAGAAGAGATAGATTATATATGAGTTGTAAAATTCTATTTGATTACAGCTTTAAGGCAATAATACTTTTTTTAATCTTTTAGGAAAGAAAGCTTGAAAAAGCTTTCGATCTACCTCTGTACTTACCCAGGTAAGTTGATTTCACTTTTTTTTTGACCATGGCGATCAAAGATTTTCACAATATGATCGGCTCTAAAAGTAATTAGAACATAAAAATATAATTTGAGTGTTTCTTCTTATAAATGTATATTAAAAAATTAAGCTGACATCTAAGTAATTTCAGTGTTCTCTCATGACAGTTTCATAATTTGTATCTACAAAGTTATTACCAGGGAAAAGATTTTATGAACTGTGATATTAGTGGAAGTGAATGTATCATTTTTCCCACTATACAACCATCACACAAGAACTTCTACTAAATAAATGGCGTGGTTATGCAGGCATACAACGGTTGCCTGAAGTCAAGATGATTGACTTAAAATACTCACTGATATCTTACCCTGTTACTGCAAGGTAGTTTCCTGATGTTTTTTGCCAAGTGAACTGTATTGGTGTGCCAAGCCAAGTCTTTTCCAGCAGTGAGAAAACACGCTAAAAAGATAAAAGTAATTTTTATATTTTCCAAACATACAATTTAAGGGTTGATCAAAGATATCAAAACGTGATCTTGAAAACAGTAGGGTTCAAGATGGCAAAAGCTTATTATTAGAGCTTATCTGGAAAAAGTCAATAACGTAACAGACAAAATGACTAACTGGATCAACCAATCAACAAACTTCTACAATCTAGTTGTTTGTATGGACAAACAAAAAACTTTGTATGAAGTATGGGCCTCAATACACAGGTAAGCATTTATTATAAATATATTATAAATATATTGTTATAATATAAAATTTATAATGTTATATAAATATTACAAATTTTGGTTTTAAATGTTTTTGAATATTTTAGAAAAATTACAGTTTTAATATTTTATATGCTAAAGTAAAATAATTTAAACTCGAATTCAGCTAATAATCAGTAGCATGGACTTATAAAAATTTTTTATTTAAATTCAGTTAATTAACATAAAGTGTATTATTAGTTTCAGAGATAGAGGTCAGAGATTCATCAGTCTTATATAATACCTAGTGCTCATTACAGCACGTGCCCTCTTTAATGTCCATCGCCCTATGTTCCCTATGATTGAGAGTCTCTTATGGTTTGTCTCCCTCTCTGGTTTCGTCGTGTTTTTCTTTTTTTCCCCACTCTTCCCCTATGATCCTGTTTTGTTTCTTAAATTCCACAAGTGAGTGAAATCATATAATTGTCTTTCTCTTATTGTGCATAGCATAATACACTCTAGCTCCACCCATGTTGTTGCAAATGGCAAGATTTCATTTTTTTGATGGCTGAATAATATTCCATTGTGTGTATGTGTACATACATACATATATATATTTCTTTATCCATTCATCTATTGATGGACATCTGAACTCTTTCTGTGTTTGGCTATTGTGGACATTGCTGCTATAAACATGGGGGAATAGCATGGATTTTTTATTTGTATTTTTTTTATTTTTAAAGATTATATTTATTTATTTGACAGACAGAGATCACAAGTAGGCAGAGAAGCAGGCAGAGAGAGAGGAGGAAGCAGGCTCCCTGCTGAGCAGAGAGCCCGATGCGGGGCTCGATCCCAGGACCGAAGGCAGAGGCTTTAACCCACTGAGCCACCCAGGCACCCCAATAGCATGCATTTTTTAGATTAAACTTAATAAAACTACCATTTAAAACATCTTAACCATGATAAAAATATAAATACTTCACTCAAAATTTTCTCCCTTTACCCATTAGTTATATTTACTTAATCATTAAGTGTTTAATTTAGCTATTGAGTGGACAGTCTATCAACTGAAAAGCCTTTCTTTTCACTCAGTCCAGAACTGGGGTATCCAATTCGGAAGCCGCAAAACAAAGCTGGACTTGAAATTTTATTGAGGGCTTGAAATGTAGGTAGTCTGAATTCATATGTGTTGTAAATGTAGACTACACATGCCTTTCAAGGAATATAAAAAAATGTAAACTATTCCATTGATAATATTTTATACTGATTACATATTGAGATAATATTTTGGAAATACTGGATAAAACAAAATAGTATTTAAATTAATCTTACCTGTTTCTTTTCGAACATTTTAATGTGGCTACTAAAAATTTTAAATTACATTGGCTCACAGGAGATTTACATCAAACAATATTGATCTAGAACAATTAAGTACAGCCTGAATGAAAAAATTTAGATTTTAATATTAGGTTAAATTATAAACATATCTAGGCACATGACGTTTACACAGTACTACAGGAGGCTTGACAATCTGAGTGGCCACACAAAACTGATCCAATGCTTGAAATTAAACACCAAGGGGCACCTGGCTAAGTGTCAGGCTCTTGATTTCTGCTCAGGTCATGCTCTCAGGGTTCTGAAATTGAGCCCTGCACTCAGCAGGGAGTGTGCCTGAGATTTTCTCTCCCCCTCCTTCCTTGCCCCTCTCCCTGCTCACCCATGTTCTCTTTCTAAAAATCATCAATCATTTTTTTAATTAAACACCAATCAATAAGAATTCGGTATGTTAAGTAGATGAAATCCACCTCTATGGGAAGGAGTGTTCTATAATCAGTGCATTTTGTGGAGCTTGAAAACACTTTGAAGGCATGGGGATAAAAAAGCACAAAGGCATCTTTTGCAGTTTTGTGACCACAATGACGCTGGAACCCCCTTCATGCAAGTGAGGGATCCTTAAACTTAAATTTCATTAGCTTCGTGGTAGACCTCTCCTGGCTGTGATCTTACGTATCTTTCTTCTGTGGAGTTACATTTACATGCTCCGTACACACTACAATCAAAGAGTGTAGCTTCACAACCAGAAAACCAAGGTTTGAATTTTGCTTTTTACTTCTCAGCTGTAGGGCTTAAAACACGTCGCTTAAATGGCCTCAAGCACAAAATTCTCAATTGTAAACCAAGAATAATTATCTCCTTCATTCTGATATTTCATAAATTGTGCAGTGTTTTTTGAAATGTTATGATTACCGGTCTGTCAATTCCAATTTCCATGCTAAGAGCCAGGAGGAATCATTAGGACTTAATTTTTAAATTGAACTGTCGTTTCTTTGCCAGATCAGGGCAGAGAGCTATTGCTGTCGTAAAGCAGAGGGTTTTGGAAATGAGCTGCAGCCAGTGACCCGGGATGGGGTTCACCAGAAGCCCAAGTGTAGGAACGGTGCGTGCCGAAGATGCTGCTCTCGAGCGGACCTGCGTGTTCAAGTGCAGATTTCTCCGCGAATTATGTACATTAGCCACTGAGTGATTTGTACATTCAAGTAGTCACAGGCCATACAATTTGACATTATCCTTTCGGAAGGTTTTCACTCTGTTTATGGCTGAGCAGCCGCGCAGCTTGCCAGGGGCTCAGAGACAGGGAAAGCAGCAGCTCTGATGCAGTCAATTTCGCTGCGACCCTCCAAGCATACCGCTCTCTCCGCGGTGCGAAGTTCAGGGGGCTTTCTGACCCACTCCGCTCATTTCAAGCAGTGCCTTCAACTCCGTTCGCGGTCCCAGAAATGAGGCCTCTCTCTCCGCCTTCTCCTCCTCTCCAATTTTCTTTCTTTTCCCCTCCTTCCTTCAACTTCGCCCCCGCTTTTCCCCCTCCCCGGCCACCCAGCTGTCTTCCCCATTCCTAACGCACTCTGGAGGGGTGGGGTGGGGGCACAGGCCCCTATCCTCAAACTCATGCTCAGCGGGCTACGAGCCAGTGGTCGCGTTTTCCCGCCTCCCCATCCCCCGAGTTTGTAAGTTATTTACCTTCATCTCAAGGCTCGAGAGGCCGCGCGATGTAGCAAATGCGCAGGCGCACCTGGTCTGCACCAAAAGGGCTAACGCGTTCCCGTCACCCAGGAGACCGCGCGAGCAGTGACCAATCAGCGAACAGCAGCTGAAGGGCGGTGCTTCGCAGGAGCCTCCGCAGGGGAGGGCGGGAGGCAGGGGACCTGGAATCACGTGACGCTGTCAGCGTTAGGCCCCGAAAGATTGCGCGTCTGGAGGCCCTGCTGCGCCCTTGCTTCCTGGTTGGGCTCTGATTGGATGAGCGAGGGACTCGCCCGAGAGAGGTGGGCTCTATGAGCCCGGAAAGGCGCCTGCGTAAATTTCGCTTTCTGGTTACTAAGCTGCCAAGGGTGGCGGGTGGGGGCGCCCAGAATCAAGGAAACGAAGAGGCGCTGACTGTTGGGTGAACCGAGAACGGAAATTTGCTCTTGGAGCAAATACTCTTACACAGTACGCGCAAAGAGGACTTGGACGGGCCCATGTCTCATCTCTTCAAGCTTCTGGGCTAGAAGAAATAGGATGTTGAGAAATAGTTCTTCCCCACCCCCGCAGGCGTTAATAGGCCAACTAAATTGGGCAAGAAAAATGAGCACTGAGTGCTTCTCTCTTTACACTTTGGACCTGGCAGCTTTCCCCTAAATGTTATACCCTGCCATAGATTTGTGCTTATATAGTCCTGATTTTAGTAATTTGAATGCTTTCTTGTTTTTCCTGTCTAGTTTAGCTAAATATGTCAATTTTGTTGGCCTTTTAAAAAAATGGATTTTGGTTTTGTTGATGTGATAAGCTTAATTGTGTCCCTTCCAAAAAATAGGTTGAAGTCCTAACCCCTGGTACTTGTGAATATAACTTTATTTGGAAATAAGGTATATGCAGATATAATTAAGATGACATTAGCATGGCCCTAATGTAATATGATTTATGTACTTACAAGAAGAGGGAAATTTGAACACAGATGTACAGGGAGAATGCTGTGTGACAACAGAGGCAGACAGTGATGTAGCTATATCCAAAGAATGCCAAGGATTGATGCTCACTTCAGAGCTAGGAAGAGGCGAGTAATAATCCCTCCTCCCCACTCCCCACCCCCGTTTCAGGGGAGTACAAGGTCCTCAAACACCTTGAAGTTGGACTTAGAGCTTCCAGAACTGTGAGATAATAAATTTCTGTTGTTTTAAGTTACATGGTTTGAGGTATTTTGTTACAGTAGCCCTAGGAAACTAATACAGATTTTGGTACCAGGAAGTGGTGTGTTGCTAAAACAAATACCTAAAATGTAGTAATGGCTTATGGAGAGAGGCTGGTAGGATTTTGAGGTACTTGGTAGTAAGTGTAAATTGCTTTGAAGACATGGTTGGTTGAAATGTGAACATTAAAGGTGTTTTGAGAGCTCATACAGGAGAGCTACAGAGGAAGTTTCTGGGTTTTTTAAAGAGGTGGTTATATATAGATATAGATATAGATATAGATAATATCCTATATGTTATATAGGTTGTTAGAATGTTGCTGAAAATATCAATGTTTACAGTGCTTCTGGGGAGGCCTCAGATGGAAATAAGGGACAAGTTATTGGATGCTTGTTATAAAGTGGTAGAGAATTTGGCTGAATTGTGTTGGGTGGAAAGCAAAATTTGTAAGTGATAAACTTACATATTTAACTAAGGAGATTTTCAATTAAGGTGTTTGAAGGTACAGCCTAGTTTCTCCTTGCTGCTTAGTGAAATGTGAGAGGATGGAGATAAGATGAGAATGAACTGTTATGCACAAAAGAAACAGCACTTGATTATTTGGAAAATTCTCCAGCCTATCCAGATAGCATATTCTGGAAACAGGGTCAAGGGTATGGATACAAAACCATTTAGTAAAGAGATTAGGCATGTGACTTATGAGTCCAGTCAACCAGCTCAGCAAAAACAAAGATTAGTGAACTTCAAGATATGGCAACTTAAACAATCCCCTCCCAAAAAAACCAACAGCCAGCCACTGAGAGATGTACAGAGCATCACAGAGTTGTGAAACAACTCCAGGAGCCCAATTTATGTGTAACTGGAGTCCCAGAAAGGGGAGGGAATAGAATATTTGAAAAAGTAAAGGCCGAAAAAATTTTCCAAATCTGATGAAAATCCTAACCCCACAGATCCAAAAACTCAATGAACACTAAGCAAAAGAAACATGAAAAAAAAAAAGTTATTTAAAACCTGTGATGAGAGAAAATCTTAAAAGAAGCCAGGTTAAGAAGATAAATGCATAGAGGAACAAGGATAAGAAAATGAGTAGACTCCTTCTTGGAAACCCTGCAAGCCAGAAGACTATGGAACAACATACTAAAGCGCTGAAAGAAAAAAGTTGTCCATACAGAATTCTATACTCAGAAAAAAGATCTTTCAAAAGTGAAAGTGGCCAACAAACTGAGTCCAGCAATATTTATATTAAAAAAAGAATGTACACCATGACCAAGTAAAATTTATCCAAGAAATGCAAGCATAGTCAGTATCTGAAAATCAGTTAATACAATATGCAATATTAATATAATAAGGGACAAAAAATGTATGATCATATTAATAGACAAGAGAAAACCACTTGACAAAATCCCCAACTCTTAAAATTCAATACTCAATAAACTCAGAATGAAACATATTTTCCTCAAACTGAGAAAGGTCATCTGCAAAAAACCATATAAATAACACTATACTTTATGGTGAAAGACTGAATGCCTTCTCCCTAAGCTTAGGGGGTAAAAGGGATAACCACTCTTGCCACTTCTACTTACCATTGTATTAAAGGTTCTAGCCAGAGGAATTACTGAAGAAAAGAAAACAAAGGCCATCTAGATTGGAGAGGAAGAAGTAAAACTATGCAGATATCATAAATTTGTACAGAGAAAATTCCAAGTAATCCATTAAAAACCATTATAATTAATAAATGAGTTGAGCAAGTTTGCAGGATTTAAGATCAATACACAAAAAGTGGATTGCATTTTTCTATTCTAGAAACGAATAATCCAAAAGAAAAATATTTTAAAATCTATAATAGCATTAAAATAAAATAAAGTACATAAATTTAATAAAAATACAAGATATATACAGTAAAAACGATAAAATTTGTTTAAAGAAATTTGAAAAATAAATGTGAACACATGCCACATTCATGCATCAGAGACAATATTCTTTTTTTCTTAAAGATTTCATTTATTTATTTGACAGAGATCACAAGTAGGCAGAGAGGCAGGCAGAGAGAGAGAGAGGAGGAAGCAGGCTCCCCGCTAAGCAGAGAGCCCGATGTGGGGCTCGATCCCAGGACCCTGAGATCATGACCTGAGCTGAAGGCAGAGGCTTTAACCCACTGAACCACCCAGGTGCCCCAAGACTTAATATTCTTAAGATGGCAATACTCCCCTAATGTATAGATTCAATAAATCTCTATTAAAATCGCAGCTATCCTTTTTGAGGAGATTGAGAAGATGATACTAAAATTCGTAAGGAATTTCAAGGGACTCAGAATATGCAAAACAATCTAGAAAAAGAAGAACAAAGTTGGAAGCCCCCCATTTTTCGATTTTAAAACTTAAATTGCAAAGCTACAGTAACCAAAACAGTGTTATTATCATAAAGATAGCTATATAAATCAATGGAATAGAATTAAGAGTCCAGAAATAAAACCATACATTGGTGTGCAATTGATTTTCAAAAAGATTGTCAAGACAATTCAATGTTGGATCCCTAACTCACAGAATATGCAAATATTAACTCAATTAAAGAAATAAATGCAGTAGTTAAAACTAAATATTCTTAGAAGAAAACATAGGAATTTATTACTTTAGTTTAAATGATTGTTTCTTGGATATGACACCAAAACCACATATGACAAAAAACAAAACAAAACAAAAACTGTGGACTTCACAGAAATCAAAATTGTTGTCCCTCAAAGGATACCACCATGAAAGTGAAAAGACAACCTACAGACTGGGAGAAAATATTTGCAGATCATATATTTGATAAGAGACTTGTATTTAAAATATGTAAAGAAACCTCACAACTCAATAATAAAAAGACAACTCCATTAAAAATGGGCAAATAGGGGCACCTGGGTGGCTCAGTGGGTTAAAGCCTCTGCCTTCTGCCCAGGTCACGATCCCAGGGTCCCGGGAGCCCGGAGCCTGCTTCCTCCTCTCTCTCTCTGCCTACCTCTCTGCCTACTTGTGATCTCTGTCAAATAAATGAATAAAATCGTTTTAAAAAAATATGGCTAAATAATTTGAACAGACATTTCTCTAAAGAAGATACATGAATGGCTAATAAACCCATACAAAGTTGCTCAACATCCTTAGTCATCAGGGAAATGTAAATGAAAACTACAATGAAATATCCCTTTACATGATATTCATTGTCAGGTTTATTTTTTATTTCTTTAAAGATTTTATTTATTTATTTGATAGAGATCACAAGTAGGCAGAGAGGCAGGCAGAGAGAGAGGAGGAAGCAGGCTCCCCGCTGAGCAGAGAGCCTGACGCGGGGCTCGATCCCAGGACTCTGGGATCATGACCTGAGCAGAAGGCAGAGGCTTTAACCCACTGAGCCACCCAGGCGCCCCCTCATTGTCAGTTTAATTTGTATTTCTTTGTGTGCTAATGAGTTTGAACACTTTTTTCTTGGCCATTTATGCTCTTCTGCACATTATTTAACAGTATTCACTAATGTTACTGGGTTGTCTTTTTTTTAATGTGCCAATTTGTAAGAGATCTTGCATAATATTGTGTGTTTAAGTATTTTAAAAGCAGCTACTTGGTTCTAGCCTTGGTTTTGAAATTTTCCCCTGCTTATCGACTTTATTGATTTTTTTAATTCTAATTTTTTTACATTGAAATCTTTAATATATAGTATTTATTTTTGTAAATGGTATCAAATGGGGGGGGAGGTCTTCTTTTACATTAAATGTGGCCCAAACTCTTCCCTAGACATTCACTCAGGGTAGAGCTTGGTCTACCACATGTATTTTTATTATACTCAAGAAAGGAGTCTGCAGGCCAGAGCAACTTAAGTTACTCCATTTAGTTTCAGAAAAAAATCGTTCCATCTTGATCAAACTGCTACTA